ATGTGAATATTCAGGAATGGTCAAAACAAACTGAACTTATCCATAATCCACATTACCAAAGTATTAAGTGAATATTTCAAATGTTAAGGCTTACAAAAAAAGGTCATTACCTTAATATTGTGAGAATATTAGGTAGGCTAAGAACAATCTGAGCTTACTTGAAAATATGTGAATATTCAGGTAAACCAGGTGTTCACTTTACCTGGAGCTCAGTAAGTGTGATGAGGAAACACGTCCCCAGTTAATGTGACATTCAGGATTGTGAGATACACATACACTATAATACAGTTGATGGGGAGACCAATTCTGCACAGATGTGAATTACCTGGGAACATGCAAGTCAAACAGGTCACTGTTAAATGCATATCAGAATTACAACACATAAATATGTATGAAAATAAATCTTCCTGACTATATATCATACATCCAAACTCAGGATACAGACTATATATTAAATACTTGTAAGCTATAAAAGCACTATGACAGATCAGTGACTGACGTGTCATTCTTTTCAAGATATGATAACACAATCAAGGGAGGTAATTGAATGAGTGAGTTTGGTTCAACACAGCTTTGAATAGCATTTCAGTTCAATAGCTTGTGTGGAATGAAAGCCCAAAGTGATCCAGGTCGGAGACGTTTACCACTTTGGTGAAACCCACGAGCATGGTACTGACAAACCTAGAAACAATCAGGGTGCAGATTCGAACCCATGATCTTAGGTTTCTGGCACACCAAAGGGATGCAACTTAAACATCAAATTGCAGCACCTTAGAGTGAGTTGGCTTTAACGCCGCTTTTAACAGTATTCCAGTTATATCGCGGCGTGTCACCTTAATGTGGGAGGAAAGCCAGAAGTGATGCAGGTCTCAGATGTTTACCACTTTGATGAAACCCAAGAGCACGGGTATGGTGCTGACAAACCTAGAAACAATTGGGGTGAACCAGGATTTGAACCCACAATCATGGGTTTCTGGCGTGCCCAAGGGCCACAACTCTGCACAGCGAATCGTGGCGCCTTAGACGACTGGGCCACCCATGCCCCCGCAGCACCTTAGAAAACTGCGCAACCCGTGCCTTAAGGGAGAACAGCAAAAGGACCACTTCCACTCATATTACAAATACTTCTATCACATTTCAAAGACAGAGAAGACAGACAATGGCACTGATTCTATTTCTTTACATGAATCAAACAAAAATTAACACTATTGTATTACAAACAGAATTCAGTACATAATATTGAGATTTTTCAAGAAAATCGAATGCCATTTTTGTTTTGTCCATAGACTTGCATTGTTTGGCTTTGTTTTAATCAATCAGTGAGGGAGGTTTGAAAATTACATCTATTTTCAAAACCATGAGACATGGACTTGACAATGGGTAGGAATAACAGAATATATAGACATTTATTTGATATGATAAAATGTTGAAAATATACTGGCAAGATACCAAGACAGCAGGATCAAGATCTCAGCTATTATACACCAGTCACTTGGGTGTTGAAATTCAAAAGGACACATGGGGCCGATAACCGACTACACAAGGATTACATAGTACCATCATAGAGCGAGAGTGAGGTTAGTCTAGTGCTGCATTAGCAGTTTTCAACCCATCGACAGTGACTAATAGATCAGAAAAATAGTAGGAATCTTCCATCATCTATATCTTGCACTATTTCTGTGGTCAAAAATATCAATTCACTTGAGACTACGAACATTTTGGCACTATGGTTACATTGTTGTTTTGTTTGTTTGATTTTTGATGCTGCACTCAGCAATATTAGATGATGGCAGACTGTAAATAATCGAGTCTGGGTTAGGCAACCCAGTGATTCAAATCATGAATCCTCACAATTGAGATGCGATGACATGCAATCAACCAAATCACTGAGCTTGATCACCTGATCCCTTTAGTCACCTCTTACAAGCATAACTATTTAATTAATGATGCCATAATTCTGGTTAGCGTTTCCAGTATGTAACCATAATAACATAACATGTAAGTAAGTATACATAAAACAACAGATTCAACAGAAACATTGATCTAACCTATCTAACAGGAACTTGAGATTGCACCTCAAAATGATTAACTTTACCGTGAAATTACATGATTTGAAGAAACCAGAAACCAATAGTTTTTACATTAAAGGAATTAATCAGGAATTCTTACATCATAATGGGTACAAAACAGATCTAAATCAGAATTAATCAATGCTTGGAGTGGGTTTAGTCAAACCTCTGAACTGTATATACATATATATAACAAGATGTTATGTTAATGAGTGAGGAAAGCCCCAAGTGATGCTCTTTGTGATTTTACCACTTTTAGGACAGAGATGAAAATCGTTAGGGACAGGTCATTTATTAAAGGAGGGGATGTGTCAGAGGGAATCAGGGAAGGGTCACCAAAAACTATGAGTCTTTAGGGGAGGGTCATAAAAAATCGATACACATATTTGTGGAGGGGCATCAAAAAAATACTTTTGCATTTTCAGGGAGGGTCATGAAAAAAATGTACACGGACATGGACATCCAAAAATATGAAAGCATTAGGGGAGGGTCACTATTTTCAGCATCAAAATCCCCTGACCAACCCATCCCTGTAATAAATGACCGGCCCCTTATGGTGCTGAGAAACCCCAGATCTGTATCAGGGCAAATTTCATAAAAAACAAAAGATTCTTCATTCATAATTTTTGTTTGTAGGTCATTCTTCTGTCTAAAATCAGGTGTTGCTGTAACTACAAGAGATGGAAATACAAGGGAGATAGCCAGGCTGCCAACGGAGACTTGGAATGATTTAGACACACAACAAACTTCAACAAGACAAAGAGGATGGATACACAGGGTCAATTTGCATAAAAAAATCCTATTGTCAAAGGTTAATGTCATTTTAACATGTTTGAAGACACAATAAATTTGATCAGAATAATGACAAGGCATTCCTTCCATAAATGATGGAGTATTGAAATAATACAAAGACATCAACAACAGAGAACCTGTCTCCATGAGAAGAATCAAACAGGGTCTTCAGCAAGACAAGCAAACACTTTAACCACTTGGCTACTCCACCAACCCACAACTGCATGATGTCTTCAAGTCCTTACGAATTTAACAATTGTGATTTTTCTTATGTCTAATGTTGAAAATGCCAGACATATTTAGTGTCTTGTTTTTCAACTAAATTTTGGAAAAGTTATAAAAAATCCAAATGCTGTGACTTGTAATATACTGAACTCTCATTAATTAATTCTTTCAGTTTTGTCTCCTGCACTTGGCATATTGATGAAAATAATCCATAAAACATGAAAATAAATTTGTGGCAAAAACATGAAGAATTAATTAGATTTGATGACAATACATCAATGACCATGATGACAGAGAACAATCAGTCACAATCATCTGCCCAAACAGATTCCATTGGGTTTAAAAGGCAAAATAGTGGTGAAAATTATATAAATGGATCACTGAAAATCAGTGATGACACCAGGTGGTCACAAAAGGGGGTAAGCATGTCCTGATCTTTCAGTAAAACATTTTACAATTGACACATTTACAAATGTCAGCCACAAGTTTCTACATGAATCAAGACGTTTAAAGTTTGCTGTAGCAGGCTAGCAGCCCAGAAGATAGGACAAGATTGCCTATTATAAACATTATTGTTGAAAAGTACCTGAGAAGTAATGTTTTCCAATCGTGTTAATCTTTCAGAAGATGTGATAACAACATGATATATGAAGGCGTAAACAAGGAAGTTATCTTTGGAACAAAACACATTCCACAATATAGAAATGGTTATGATTAAATACCAAAGGATAATTATGGTATTGGTAATAATAATGTACAGAGGTGAACAATGAGGGAATAAGTGCAACATCGCTATTTCAGTTATAAATATGAACAGCATGTAAACTTATTGTGGGAGGCGAGCCCAAAGTGATGCAGGTCTGAAACGTTTATCACCTTCGTGAAATCCACGAGATCATTAATGGTCCTGACAAACCTTGAACCAAAATCAGGGCGAATCTGGGATTTAAACCAACAATCATAAGTTTCTGACGTGCCTAAGGGACGCAACTCTGCACAGGGAATTGTGCCGAGGACGACCGGACCACCAGTGCCACCATATGTTCCCCACGATTGTGACCCCCATCAGCACGGGTATACCGGTAATGCTAACAAACAAAGGAACAAAAACTAGGATTCGAACCAGGCCCAGTTGAACCCGGCATGGCAAACTCTCCCTACTGACATGCAGCAGCCCACTGGGCCACCCAAAGTTCGACAAACTATAAGAGAAGACATAATATACAAAGTAACAGATGCTGTACAAATGTGGATGATGAATCCAAGTTACTTCTTTAATATAAAGAAAACCATAACATCCAAGAGATTCCACCTGGATATCTTACTGATTGATAACACAATGTTTCCATATATATTCTTATCGTATCATCGTCTTATGTCGCTTTGAACAAATTCCCACCCATTTCACAGTGAGAAACAAAAGAAATGCTCTTCAAATATTTGGGTAATCAAACACAGGCCTTGAGCATGACGTGCAAACGCTTTAACCACTAGGCTACCCCACTACCCTTCACAAGAAGGGTTAAGGACCAGTCCAAAATATGTCGCAGAAGATACCAACACAGCATGCATGTTATGACCATTGTGTAAATGCCATTTAAGATGCTGGTAATAAAGTTTTACACAAGCATGTGAGAAGATGGAGACAATATAATCACTTTGAAATTCAAGACGATGAGCATATGATGAATGACTTCATGTTAATAGCATTTACTTTGTTTAATGCCGCACTCAGCAATATTCCAGCTATGTGACGGCGGTCTGTAAATCATTGAGTCTGGACCAGACGATCCAGTAATTGACATCATGAGCATTGATCTACTCATATGACAAGCATAGTCGCCTTTTACAACAAGCATGGGTTGCTGAAGACCTATTCTAACCCGGACCCTGAGGTTTTAGGCTGCATTTAGCAATATTCCAGCAATATCAAGGCGGGGAATACCAGAAATGGCCTTCACACATTGTACCCATGTCAGGAATCGAACTCGCATCTTCGACTTGACGAGCGAACGCTTTAACTACTAGGCTACCCGAACCACTCCAAGGGGAGGGAAGAGGGCATGTGGTGTGTCAACAAAATAAGATTCAGTCCTAAGATTAATCCAATCGGTCCACCACCCCTATAACAAATGACCTGTCTCATTTCAGGGTTGATATTGGCAGATTTAATCATTCTGAGAAAGATTACACAACTAACTTCCATGTCTGGGTTGAAATATCCCTGAAATAATCGATATGGGTGTATAATGACACAGATTTTATCTTACATCTTGAAATGGATTATATCATACACTTTCATCCACATTGCTACACTCCATTAAGTAGGTTAAGCTTATATTCAAACATCGTTGCATATTCAGTGTTTTATTTACTGTGTGAAAATGTTGGGTAATGTGGCTTCAATATGAAACATATAACCCATAAGAATACATACAATACATTATATTATTATATACTTATATGTTACAATAATGATCATCATGATCATGAAAACAAATATATAACTTATGAGGTAGCTAACATATTCTATTCTGCAATAGAGCCATACTACTAGGTTCATGTTCATCAGCTGCTTCAAAAAACCTTTTGAGTTCCTACTTAATTCGGCTTCTCAATTACTAGGTTTACAGAATCTTTATAACCATAGGGTCAACAGTTGAAATAAGAATAGAATTAGATATATAAAAACTGTTTAACAGTCACCTCAAAAACCTCTGTTGGTAGCTGAGACTTAACAAAAACAGGAAAAGCAATGTGCTGCTTGGAGCGGGATCATTTATAACACGTCAAAGAGTTGCTTCCCCTTTCAATTCCATGTAAATTATGGTTCAGCTCCAGGAGTCCCAGGCAAGCAGGGGAACTTGGTTACTCTTTGTTAGTAAGTTAAAATTTAACATACCGTCAACAATATTTCCACCACATCGTGACAAGGTTATTCTTTGTTTGCAGGATACAGAGTTAACATTCCAACGTCTTCCGTTGTTCTCCTTGCTTGTTATTCACAACAATGTTTGTACAGACTCTGACTTAATTTTTACGTTTTTGAATAAGTAGTTCAGCAGATTTGTAAACCAGGTAATAAAATCAGAAATGCCCAAGGGGAACTCTGGTGTAAGTAGTGTTAAGTCTACCGAGTCTCATAGCTGCTCAAGGCCGTTGTTAACTTTTTTTGACAGGGGGGGCAAATATTTGTACAAGTAGCACTTGTCCCCAACTTGATTCAAATAAAACAGTTTTCTATAAACAATCTAGGGGGGCAACTGCCCTCCCTGCCACCCCACAGCTGGCTACGGCGCTGCTGCTGCTGCCCTATAAACATGACCCATGTCCTTCTATTATATCACCACTTTCAGTCTTAGAGATGGACCTGAGGTCTGGTGCCAATTTTCTGCCTAATTCTAGATTTTGTAATTAATGCATGGGTGAAACTGAGACATATTCTCTGAATAACTTTGGCCACCACTAGCTGCTAAACCTCATAAAATGTAAAGCAGCAGACATTAGCAGTGATGTTTCACTTTTCTTCGTTGCTGCTATCCTTCCTAAAAAAATAACTCACATAATTTACATGTTGTAGGTTGTGCTGGCATTATACCAGGTGCTCCAACTATCATACATGAATGTTACATCAAGAATAGAGCTCTTTCATCATCTGTTAGGTGTTTAAATAGGAAATTTGTCCAAGTCAATTGCCACCCCTGAATTCTAGTCATAAACATTGTTTACTTTGTCTGCAAATTCAAGTCGTATGATGTATATCGATCAGGCAGTTAATGTATAACTTGTTAATTACACAGAGACACTGTTTAAAATTTCACACATTACTTTTTTCGTCCAGATCAAGGCTAAAAATGACCATTAAATGATGGAGCATACTCCCTCCTACACATATAACTTCAGGTCAGGGATTTCCTCAACAATCTGCATCATAACAGACAGGGATGCTTAATCAATCCCTTTCCTTTTTATAAGAAAAATACATGGCATAAGATAGGAAGGTGATCTGGCACAGCCAAACCCTGCTGGCACAAGAACAGCCCTGCCAACATGGCCATTAGGAGTCAAACTTCTTACAAAATTCAACAAGCAAAGGGAGATAACTGACACAAAGTGGATCTGGCTACTCTTTTATCCACAACACTTTCCTTGCATAAATATATGAAATGTCACAGAATTTTGATGTTAACTAAGGGTTTCCATATCACCTAGTGTGCCTCCACCAAATATATACAGGGATAAGCAATGTTACTTATCCGCCTGGTACATACATAATTATACAATGACTTTACAAGTCTGACTTCAGCACTACTTCTATCTTAAATCATTGATATCTCTTTAGTGTGTAGGTGTTTCTTGTTTACTCTGTATTCTCTGTATTCTCTGTTCAACCTGCTCAAGGCAGCACAGAATAATCACCTACTCGCTGATATGTAAGCGAAATTGAATAACTTGTCAAATCTAAGGTGCAAACCTTATGCGACAGTTGACTTAAAATCATAAGAGTAATACTTATAAATATATATACCTGCAGTTACTGAGAATGTCTGTAAATAAAAAATGTTTTGGCAGTTTTGTGTGATCTTTGGTTCTGAATGATGACTCAAACGTCCTATGACAAGCGGAAAACAAGTACATCGTATATGAAATCTTGATGTATGTGGTTTAGAGTGAGAGCAAAGAAAGTCAGCATGACCGCCACTTATGTACAAGCCTCTTTCCCAACATCCGTGATGCCGGTTGTCTCAAACAGTTTAATGTCTGTTGTGGTCTCGGTGTTCCCCGAGGTGGTGTGTGGATGGGGCTTGCCATTCTCCCCTTCCACTGTGTCCTCCCCACACTGACTCGTGTGCAGGTCACGGGACTCCGACACTAGGGAGTCTTGGTCGCTCTCCTCCGATTCTTCTTCAATAGACATGACCTCAGCCCCGTGGAACACATACCGACAGGGCGGCAGGAACAGGAACTGGTCATCTGGAAATACAAGAGCTATATCAGGGCCCCGTTCCACAAAGTGATCTCAGCACTATGACTATTGTAAGTCTATGTTAAAGTATGGGAGTTACGATCATATAAATAAAAAAAAATATATTTTTTTTTTTTAAAAACCAAAAAAAAAGAAATCAAAAAAAAAAAACCAAAAAAAAAAAATCGCTTGTGGAACAGTGCCCTGGACTGTGAACCAGTCGATGAGTAAATGAGAGAAAAACAAAAATTGACTGCCCTAAAACCATGGAAAGCCAGGTCCAGGTGAACCTGTGGTTGATAGCATGTGCACAATGTTTTTGTACGATCACACAAAAATATGCCAGATCACACACAGGTGTTAAAATCCAGGTTAGAAGTGGTCTTCAGCAACCCATGCTTGTCATAATGGTTGTCAGGCTGATGCATGTCATTGTATCTCAATTGTGTAGATCGATGCTCATTACATCAATTGTCTGATCCAGACTCTATTATATACAAACTGCCGTCACATAGCTGTGGCATTAACAATAAACAGGAATGGAGAAAGAAGCAACTGGATATTGAAATCAGCAGTGTATCAGCTGTATCAGAGCCAGGCAAACAAGGTGTTAACAGTGTAAGCCCCAATAACAGCCATCCGACACACTAGCCACATTACTGCTGATTATCATTATCTGTACTCAGTAGTCATGGTTGTGAATATTGCAACCTAATCCACATCGCCTTTCATGGCATTTTTGTGGATCTGATCTGTCCCAAAATCACTTAAGTCAAACACAGTTGCAAAAGAAACTGTTTGAATATGGTCAGTTATCATATATAAGAACACTTATACCATGCATACACCAAGACAAGGCAAGAAATTCAAGGCCACACACATAACAAAAACTGGTCTTGCCTTGTCATACATTCAGCATGTCCAACATTGCTAGTTTTTCTGTTTAATGTTTAACACCATATTCAGCAAAATGCCAGCTACATGATTGCAAATCCAGCGACTGATATTATGAGCATCGATCCACGCCATCAGGCTACAGGGACCTGCAATCTGCCAATCCATTAAGTCACCTCTTACAGTAAGCATAGGTTGCTGGGAAACTATTTTAACTAGGAATCCCCACTGTGGTCATTTTAGTCAAGTTTATTCAGTACTCATCATGCTGACCCGTGAAGATCCAGGGTGACTAAGCTGGTCATAAAAGGCGATAACAGGATTGGGTGGTCAGGCTCGCTGATTTGGTTGATACATGTCATCATATCTCAATTACGTTGATCAATGTTCATAATGTCAATCTCTGGATTGTCTGGTCCAGACTCAATTATTTACAGACCGCCGTCATAAAGCTGGAATATTGCTGAGTGCGGTGTTAAACAACAAACAAACATAAATATGTTATTCTTATTGACATGACTGTTAGTTCACTCGACATAAGGTTTAAGCACATATTTATTTGATGGAGACCTCTAATTACCTTGCAGCCTCTTGGCAACACTTTCTCTCTCATGGATGTGCCACATTTTCTGCATCTCCTGCAAAGATGTGTCCAAAGCTCCATACAGCTCTTTGTCCTCCTCGGTCACTGTTGCTTCCTCCCCTGTCACAATATCTATGTGAGCCTTGCTAGGGGAGATAACTCTCCCACCAGATTCGGTTTGTGTTTGTGTTTGTTCCGTTAATTCACTCTCATTTCTAGTCACGGTAACCTCTGATTCAGCCTTCCCACTAACGTCCTTACAAATTTCAATAGTGTTACTTTTATGAGACACTTCCAAGGAATCTCTTGCAAAACTGTTAGAGTCAGATTCAGCAACAGATGTCTGAGCATAAGCAGCTACTGGTGGTTTAACATCGGTAACAACCGATGTATCAACATCCAGAATATCAGAAGTATTAACATCCGCAAGAACCAATGTTTTAACATCAGTAGCATTCAATGTACTAACCTCTGAAATAGACGACGTTTTACCATCAGCAGCAATCAATGCCTTAACTTCAGTTGCAACCTTATCAATGTCTGCAACAACAGACGTTTTAACATCCACAACAACCGACGTTTTAACATCAGTAGCATTCAATGTACTAACCTCTGAAACAGACGACGTTTTACCATCAGCAGCAATCAATGCCTTAACTTCAGTTGCAACCTTATCAATGTCTGCAACAACGGCGGAATTAACATCCGCAACAACTGATGTTTTAACATCAGTGTCAACACATGTCGTAACACTATCAACACCAGCATTGTTTGACAAACATGGACTTGATTGTTGTAGGATTGTGTTTTCAGATGTCACGGCACTATCAGTGTCCTTCTCACATGTGTCCTGAGTGAGATCCACCCCTGACATGACAGCACTGAGAGAGGGGGGCGTGGCCAGCTCTGTTCGCCGGATCTGTATGAGGGGTGGCGTCTTGTCTGCAAGGTTGGACCAGCCTGGCCCCAGCCGCTTGCAGAGTTCACTGATAATACAGTCACAGTCTCCAAGCAACTCTACATCAAAGTTCATGTGAGACAATGGTTCCCGGTTGATGAGGACTTGAGGTACACTGGATGGGAGGGAATCTGAAAAGGATTAATATGCAGTGGAGTTAAGGCCATAATAATTGTTTATTCGATTTTCATCAAAATTAATAAAACAATGTAAGAAGGGAAATATATATATATCAAGTCATCCTTGTACATTAACAATGGACTATGAATATGGTGTACCGTATTCGACATAATAAGCGCCCCGCTCTAATAAGCGCCCACTATTTTACATATATTGGCTAGTGAACAATCCCAATAATCCCACCCGACTGATCAATGTACACAAGACTTATTTATTCGTGTATAATACGCACTTGTGTGTTATATGCACCCTTAACTATGGGCAATTAAATTCTGGAAAATATATCAGTTGTGTATAAGACTTTTCTTTTGTATCATTTCAGGCTGTCAGCATAAACCACGAAATTTACAATCTTTCAACTCTGTTTTTTCTCTCACAAAAATTATATTCTAATAAGAGCCCCTATTTCTAATTTTGAGAGCGCCCTGGGCGCTTATCACTTCGAATATGGTATTTAATCATGTAAAGAAAGAAGATAAAGATCTGACGGCGGCTGATAATCAGATCAGAAGTCTAAAGCATTTTAAGAGACACCATAGCTGGGATCATTCATAAGTTTCCACTTTGTAGAGTGTTTAGTTACAGAGGAGATGGCAAAAATGGGCAATGTTCAACATCATAAAGTCACTTGACTTTTACTCAGGTTACCTGAGAATCAAACACGGGGGCTTTAATGAAGAGACTTACTTGGAATGAGGGCAACAGGCCTGACTTTGAGGGAGGAGCCAATGACAATGAGAAGATCACACTCGTCTTTGTCTTCCGCCATCTGACGATGAAACTCATCAGGGAGACTCTCACCAAAAAATACAATGTCTGGTTTCAATATGGACATAGAAGAGTCCATTGGACACACTGGACAGCGGGGGATTATCTGTGGAGAAGATCACACAAACTTGGTTTTCATTCTCTGAGAACTAAATTTATGTAACTGTTATCTGGCACGTGTTTGAGAAATGGATGTAGGTACAATCTGTGCCAAAACATTTGAATATCTAAAAGCCTAAAATTGACTCATAGGATCATTTTCAATTGAGTTTGGTGTTTCTCATGTTATAAGACCAAACAGAATTTAACAAGATTGGGATTTGTGAATAGGTTATGACCCTTCTATGTCCCTCCTATTGACCAATCTGATTCCGCCTCTCATATCACTTGCATTTGCTTCTAACAAAATGACGGCGCCCAGTCAAGACAGGGGTTACTTCACGATGTGCATCAAATCATGTGAGCACCTTGATTAGAAACATGAAAGGATTAGGAAAATATCTGTTGACGCCAAGTTGGCAGTACACATGCTTTACACATTCGGCAATCGACAGGTAACTCCCTTGCCTCGGGAAGATGAATCAGGGTGAATCTGGGATTGAAACTGAATCACAGAATCATGGCATGCCTAAGGGCCATAACTCTCCATAGCAAAATGTGGGTCCTAAAGTACTGTCGGAAATACTAGAAAACTGCTCTTCTGGCTTCATGAAATAAATACGAGTCATAGGACTATAACAAAAGCATATATCAAAATAACGTGAATTGACCTAATCTAGCCTATCCTAACTGATATTGTGATTACCCTTAAAATGTACTTTTACAGGTAAAACAAGTATTTGTCACAGAGTGACGAAATATCCCCCGCCTGTACACCATAGTACCAAATATGAAGACAATCCAGCGATTAGTTCTTGAGATATTGTGGCAACACCGTTTTCCAACTCCAAAAACAGATTTGCCTGCTGTGACCTTGAAAATGGGGTCAAGGTCACCAAATCTGACAGGTGTATGCGGTGTCTGTATATACACTATAGTTCCAAATATGAAGACAATCCAGCGATTAGTTCTTGAGATATCGCGGCAACACCGTTTTCTAACTCCAAAAGCAGATTTGCCTGCTGTGACCTTGACAATGGGGTCAAGGTCACCAAAACCGACTGGTGTCTGCTGTGTCTGTATATACACCATAGTTCCAAATATGAAGACAATCCAGTGTTTAGTTCTTGAGATATCGCGGCAACACCGTTTTCCAACTCTAAAAGCAGATTTGTCTGCTGTGACCTTGAAAATGGGATCAAGGTCACCAAAACCGACTGGTGTCTGCGGAGTCTGTATATACACCATAGTTCCAAATATGAAGACAATCCAGTGTTTAGTTCTTGAGATATCGCGGCAACACCGTTTTCCAACTCTAAAAGCAGATTTGTCTGCTGTGACCTTGAAAATGGGATCAAGGTCACCAAAACCGACTGGTGTCTGTGGAGTCTGTATATACACCATAGTTCCAAATATGAAGACAATCCAGTGTTTAGTTCTTGAGATATCGCGGCAACACCGTTTTCCAACTCCAAAAGCAGATATGCCTGCTGTGACCTTAAAAATGGGGTCAAGGTCACCAAAACCGACTGGTGTCTGCGGAGTCTGTATATACACCATAGTTCCAAATATGAAGACAATCCAGTGTTTAGTTCTTGAGATACAGCGGCAACAAACAGGTGGGACGTACGGACGGACGTACGGACGGTCGTGAATACTATATCCCCCGCTTCGCGCTTTCGCGCGGCGGGGGATAATGATGATAAAAATATTGTGTGTTGTCATACATGTATGGAATGGCCTTTTACCTGAGGTAATTACCTCACACCGTCCCGTGCATTCTCCCAGGTGCAAATGTCACCGAGTTGGGTCTGGTCTCAATATATTGCTGTTATTGTACTTAATTGACATGTGTTGATGGGGTAGCAATTTAGGATATCTACTGCATCCTATTTGCTTGGAAACATGATGGACTAGTTAAGAGCTATGAAATGGGATGAGTATTGGAAGGTTGCGGTTTTGGAATCTAGAAATTATTTGTTGTTCTACAGATGGTTTCTTGAGGTAGCATTTATCTCCACTGATGACGTATATGAATCTGTACTTTTGAATGTTGTGTTATATCTTGCAACGAACCCGTTACACTTAGCCAAGATGGGCACAACAGGGTTGAGCTCACAATATCTGACTGCCGTAAGCAAGACAACGCAACCGTGTTGTGCTGCTAGCACATATGTCTTGTACTTTCCTGGATTGTTATTCAGCAAAATTTTCTCCATGAGTTGAACTTTCGTTTCATATGGTCTGAAATCGACAATGTCATATATTCCTGTATTGCCTTTCGGACTAATCATGGTTTGGGCGACAGTATCTGATTCCTGGACATTATATTAACTGGCGTTATCCATGACAACAACACTGGGGTTGTTTAAAAAGGGCAATAGCTGAGGTTCCAACCAGTCTATGAACACATCACCTCCTATAATTTCCTTATGAAAATCACCAGTTTTCTTTTTCGCCTCGAAAACTAGCACACATCCACCAATAAGCCCCATATCATGGGTTGCAGCATGCAAAACAATGACATGATTACCTTTACCTGATGCTTTTTGTCCATCTGCTGATAGCCACATGTAGTCAGTGGAATGATTCATCAAGGTAAATTATCTGGACGCCCTGACTGTGATAGTAATGAATGGTTCGGAGATAATTTGACCTCACAGACAGGATGGAATATTTTCCCCTGAAAAGCGCTCGGTCATCGTCACGCGCAGTGTATCAAAATCCCATCTCTTGGAGAGCAATTGTTAGTGCAGTCCGGGAAACATTAATTGTATCTTTAATTCCTCCCAAATTCTACTACCGGTCAGGGTTACCTTCTACTCATAAAGCTTGTACACCATACGCCTAATCAACCTGTATCAAATTAATAAATGGTTTCCCTCTATCTCTCTAAAGAGTAGAGAACTTGTATGCATTTCCCAGTACAGCCTCCATATCGTGTACCATGGTTATGGCTATGCAAGTGTAATGTAACATGCATCATGGGAGCAATGTTAACAAAATAAAACGCAGCAACATTTTGTCATTTTAGAAGTTGTACATCTAGAACTTTCTCAAAATAATTTTGGTGAGTGGATAAGATGTTTTATGAAGACTACATTATTATCATTATAACGGAGTCATGTGCGCATATTTCTACAGTCCATTTCAGACTGTCATTACTGGACTGGAATATGTGAAATTCCTGTTTTTATTTGAATTTGTCTTTGTTGATAGGACTCCTTGTGACTGAAATACTTCAAACCAAAGGTAGGGCGATCGGTAGTCACTCGATATTTCAAAAACAATAGTATATTATATCTTTTTTTAACAGGCAAAAAGCAGTTTTCTAGCGTTTCCGACAGGAGTTAAGGACACAAGGAACAGCATGCCTCCAAAGTTGGGAGAAATCTTTTTACTGTAAAACAACAATCAAGTCAATAGTGTTTGAAATATAGGAGCTCCTTGAGATTTGGTGCCACAGTATCTTCTTCTGGAGACCCCCAAATCTGAAACTGTTACTACTGGGCTCATGACAAAAGACCATTCAACTTAAGTTCAAGCACTGGTTCAATGTTTACCTGATTAAAGATGTCTTCTTTAACATCCTCGGCAGTAACTTTGTGTCGGCACACCATACACGTAGCACCAGCAAAAGAACCTACAAATATATAGTCAGTGAGTGGGTGAAGGAGTGAGTCGGTATGGTTTTACACCACTTTTAGCAATATTCCAGCAATGTCATGGCAGGGGACACCACAAATTGGCTTCACACATTGTACCCATGTTGGGACTCTATAGTGAACACTATAACCACAAGGTTACCTGACCATATCATATCCAGTCATCACCATGGTGACTTTCGTCAACAGGTGAGAAGTGAGGTGAAATGGTGTCTAAAATTGCATTCAAGATTATTACACTTATATCGTGATGTGCATGCACGTGTGTGAGTGTGTGTGTGCGCCTGCTTGTAATAGTCCAGACTAATGCCAACATCATAGTGCTAGCCCACTGAGATACCATGCTACAGTTTAACATCAGTACCCCACTCAGACACTCCATGTTTAAGCCCCTCAATGATGAGCGCTATCTTTTAACGTCTTTTGGTATGACATGGCCAGGGATCGAACCCACAACCTTCCACTCTACAGGTAGATGGAGGCTTTCCTTTAGTCAACAGAATACAAAGTTTTGTTTGTCTGTTTGTTGTTTCAACCACACTCAGCAATATTCCAGGTATATGACAGCGGTCTGTTAATAATCAAGTCTGGACCAGACAAACCAGTGATTGACATCATGAACATCGATTCAGGCAATTGTCATCGTTGACATGCATCAACCAAGCCTGACCACCCGATTTGTAAGTCGCCTCCTACGAGAAGCATAGTTGCCTTTTACAGCAAACCTGGGTTGCTGAAGACCTTCATGGGTTAGAATACAAAGTGTTATTTCAGGCCAATGAAAGCTATGTTATAGGTTCTGCTACACCATGTACTCAGGGCTGATAGTTACAATTCAGTGCAGCAATGGTTACAACCAGTTTTTCTTCAGGCATCATGTTTATATCAATGGTAGCAACATGTGTGTAGATGGTGTAGTTGAAATAAAATAACAAGCTATTAACAATCAGTTGAGTCAAAGGTCAGTGGCAGACATTTTCTTTCAAACATATTCCAGGTAGTATAGGTTAGGTTACTTTTACCCCCAATCACCACAGTATACATATGAATGGTGGTCAGCAGGTCTGGCGATTTGTTTATTTGTTTGTTGTTTAATGTCTCACTCGGCAATATTCCCGCTATCTGATGGAGGTGGGTAAATAATCAAGTTCAGACCAGACAATCCAGTGATTGATATCATGAGCATCTTCACTGGGTGTTGTTCAGGTGAAGTGACACAGGGTTTCATGTTGCATTCAATATTGTACTTATATAGGGAGGTGCGTGTGTGTGTCCACAGAGGCGGTCTACGTGTGAACGGTAGTGGGAACCTATTTTACAGTGACACCACCCAATCACCATGTTATGCGGCTGCTAGTAAATCTGGGTTACCAAAGACCTATTCTGGCGCTTCTAGAACATGTTGAAAGTAACATATGACAAATAGTAATCATGGTTATAGTGAGCTTGTGTTTCAGGCCATATTGAACAGTATGTCTGATCTTAATCAGGATGCATCTGGATTTGGACCTATGACCACAGGCACATGGCACATGGCACATCTACAGGACTCAGTTCTACACAAGAAAAGTAATATATGTAAGATGTTCGTGTGGTTGCTTACCATGGCACTGTATGACATTCCTGATGCCTGCTACTTGCTCCAGGGTATCAATGTTCTGTGTGTAGTTTCTCAGCAACTTGCCATGTTGCTCAATCAACTGAATAAACTTGTGACATCGAGATGGCTCAAACTGACCTGGGTAGATTTCCTGCAAATACAAATGGCATACCAGCGTTTAACAATAACAATTGATCAATTCGATAATTAGCAGTGTGACATGGTGAGAGCTATCCAGGATGGTTTCATGCTGTTTTGATATTAGCAATTGATTTAAGAAATAAACGATGAGTGGGAGTTGTTTATTCAACATTACGTACAGCCTCTTTAAGGATGTTAGCAAAAAGTACATGCTTTGAAAATATACCCGTATTTAAATTATGATGATTCCCTGAATAGAATCTGACCCTTGCTGACCGCGGCAATTTCGGACAAGTCCAATTTAAAAACGGGGATGGGGGTGAGGGGGTAAATTTGGTCTTTCCCGCATATTCTCACAATTTTCACATCGATTATCTGTACCTTTTCTCCCAATACCGATTGTCATATCTCTTTTTTTTGGTGCAAACATTCGGCCATTACGTTCATCTGCGCTGTCCAGTTTCATCTATGGGGAACAACTCACAAGACACTTCCCTCTCAAAAATAACGTCGTTCAATTTACAACGTCATCAGTTTGCGAGTGAATGTTCGAATCTCCAGAAATGTCACAATACAATCGTGTTTAATCGTGAAATAAACCACGCTTCGTTCTCCATTATTCTTTGGGATTTATCGCACAGCTATCTTATATTGAGCAATATTCCAGCTAGGACAGGTCTGTTGGTTGGTTGGTTTGTTGTTTTAAACAGTTTAACGCCGCACTCAGCAATATTCCAGCTATATGACAGCGGTCTGTAAATAATCGAGTCTGGACCAGACAATCCAGTGATTAATATCATGAGCATCGATCTACGCAATTGGGATTGATGACATGCATCAACCAAGTCAGTGAGCCTGACCACCCGATCCCATTAGTCGCCTTTTACGACAAGCATAGTCACCTTTTACGGCAAGTATCGGTTGCTGAAGACCTCTTCTACCCCGGAATCTTCACGGGTCCACAGGTCTGTAAATAGGTCAAATCCCTGAACATGTGTCAGGTATAGAAGGACGTAAGTAACAGGGGAGATAACTCACATCTTTACTTCAACAACACTGCAGACATGAAAGAGAAACAGTTCATATTGACTTCAGTGATGCCAATAAAAAAAAGAGAAATGTCGATTGTGTGGGTACTGGAGTACAGGACAGAGTAGTCAGAGAGTTTCTGACATTGGATCAATGTCAAGTTCTGATCCTGGGTCTTTGCATAATGAGCAAACAAGATAACCCCAAATCCCTCTGGATAATTAGAAAATAGTACAAATAACAGGGTAGATTGAGGGTAGATTGACATGGCTTCAAAATCTTGAAATCAATGCAAAGAAGAGAATGAGGGTCTCCATCGCTTTAAACTGATAAATCTTCATGCAATCAAATAGACAATTACTCACTTTTGCAAATTTGAAGAATGGCCGTGGGTCGTTTTGGAAGTATCTGATATCAAACATGGCTTGTGGATCGGGAAGGTCAGGGAAGTCGACTGCCAACCGGGCATAGATACCATTCCGAGATCGGAAATCAGGAATACCGCAGGAGACGGAAACCTAGAACAATCCTTCTTCATCAACATACTGGAGGAAGCTGTTCTTAAGGTAACAAGAGAGCATATTAAATGGAGACATGCTATACTGGATAGGGGTGTGTGTATGTGTTGCAAGTAGGGTAGCCTAGCTGGTGGTCAAACTCTTCTCTTGTAATGGATTCGGTTTGAATCCCCATTGGATTTGAGCGCATTTAGAATGTTCAGCTGAAAGTGCCAGTTGAGTGTCTATACCAGGGGATTCATTTTGAGAGTCAAAGACCTGGTACTACCAGTCAACCTTCAAGTTTAACAATCTACTCTAGTTTAACAATCTACTCTAGTCTAACATCGACCATTAGCATTACTGCATTTCACCAAAAAGTTATTGTTTGCAATAGTCAGAGATTTACCTTGAGCTATCTTCTTGCAAGTCCTGAGGATTCTTGGTAATATATCCCCATGTAACACGTTTTCGAGCCTCAACTATTTTCAAGCCCCTAAACAATATGCCCCTAACAACCTGTGTTCTGGCAAGGCTGCAGCCTCGCAAGATTCCCGCAATAATTTTTTCATTGGTGCATGGTATTTATGCTCAGTGGGACAACAGGCGCGTTCATGTCGCTAGGTTCATTTTATATAATTATGGGGGCCACTGACTGTCTTAAACTATTTTACATCACTTGCACAGCTTCCTCTTTTTCATGTCTCATTTGGCTACATGCACCTAAAATTGGCTGAAAGTCTCGAACAGTCCAATCAGAATCAAGCGAACACATTTGTGCACATATAGTAGTCATATGGACGATTTTCATTGGTTCTTTACCGTAACTAATAAAACATGGCCAAACAGCAAAATTTGAAAGCATACAGTCGGAAAAATGTTCTGAGATAGATCAATTTTAAATTTATTTTCGTCGTCTACACATCCCAAACCATCCTTGGATACTACCAAAGATGTTTCTGCTTTGAATGACCGCAGTACCGCAGAATCACCAACCACAGGTAATGTGAGCAAAACACACAAAGTTTGGCATGCAGCACGTACCTGACAGTGATAGACTGAGAAATGTAGAAATTCTCAATGAACCTGGCTTCGCGACTACAAATGGTTTCAGCATAACTCAGAAAGAAATACTGTGACATGTCAGCCTTGCATAAATCATGTAAAATCTAATTCAATGACAAAGCTAAATTATCATTTTGGAACGAGTTCCTTGAAGAGACATTCTAACGATGATCACAAACAAGCTGTTGAGACTAAATATATGACATTGGACATTGTTGCAGCAATACTGTCATTACATCTGAGAAAGAAGGCCATGGGAAACATGCCATATATCGCTCGTGTTACCTTCCAGAGACAGGGATTCTGCATCAATATAAAACCTGCATATCAGATTTTAAGGATTTTTTATGATCTCTCAGAGGGTGGCCCCATACTTTTTTAAAATGACCCCATGTTCTTGTGTTTAAGGGGTCCCTGTCCCAACTTATTCAGTTTCTTAGCAGAACACTGGACCACATCACAATGAAATAATCAAGTAGACACTTCAAAGTCCACTGAAGACATCAAAGTGTCCACTGAAGACATCAAAGTGTCCGCTACTTGCCACTGAAGTTATGTTGCAATTGAAGCTATACACAAGGAAAGATATTTAAATAAAATGAAAACATACCTCAAAACTTACATTTTCACTTATGCACATTTTAATCATTTTTCATCAGAACACTTGTATGCACCGACGATGTACCGGCTGCTGTTCGTAAACTTCCTGCCTGTAATGTCATGTGAGTGACCATGTTGTGCATCTATTTATGACTTGACTATAATGGAGTGGCTCGAAATCATGAGACGGTAACAAGATGGCACCTGATCAACTCTTCTTGCACGGCAAGGTATTGCTGCTATAAAATTAACAAGACATGGTCATTTGACCATCCAAGTGTTAAAAGAAATAAATGTTCTCAAAAATAAGACTTAATTCTAGTGTATTGGAATTGTTATTAGACTTGTAATCAGAAATACTTCTAAGGAGCCCGAAAACCCATAACACAAACATATATTTGTGGTCCCGGGCTGTCTGCCATACCAACAATACAAAGTATGTGTGATTCTGCATGCTTGTCAACATGTTATAGTTAGAGATTTCCTTGTTTGAATCAAGACTTAATGACTAATGTTAAGAATGAATGTGCAAGGTTTTACGTAGCTATTTGCAACATTCCAGCAATATCATGGTGGGGGAACACCAGAAATGGGGACTGAGTGAAGGAAATCGGACATGGACTCTGTCAACTTTGACTACTATATATTATCGAACAGAAATATCAGATGAACATTACGTTCATGCTTTAACATCCACTCTTTTGCATCCAATGGGACTCGCGTTGAGTACTATTTGCATCCATTCTTACCTATTATCTGTATAGGATATAATATATTGTGTGTGACTAAACTCTGTATTATTGTATCTGCATGCGAGCAGTGGTTATCGAAAACACTATTAATTGTCCAAACTTACTCCTGCGCCAGTGAGAACCATTATCTTCTTGCATGTTCTCATCAGCTCCAGCACATCGTCTAGAGTATTGATGTTGTGTAGTTTCTTGCGTTTAGGCGGCTCTGACATCAGATTTATGATAATCTGCCACAAGGTGAAGTCATCCAAATCAGGGGAGATAACTGCATCAGCCGTCACCAACTCCCTAAGGATGTCCCTGGGATTCTGGCCTTCAGACATCTGCCGCTGTACCCAGGAAAGCGGACCTGCTTAAAACACAGAACAGAGTGATCAGTTTAACTTCAAAGGGAAGCTTATCAGCTCAATATAATCTGGCTTGGTGCTAATGACACATAGTTTGGTGGGGAAAAAAGGATGGTGCTGACAGACCAAGGATGATAACTGACAAATCTAAGGTGTCAACCAACAACCAGCGCATCCTGGTATGGCAAAGGGATGTAACTCTCCACAGCAAGATAAAACCCATTTGAACAGCATCCCCATCTCAACAATCATTTTCAATTCCAATCTATGACTAAAGAATTGTAAGTAAATTAAATTGTAAACACCGAAATTTATGATTTTGAATTCATGATGCAATTTGAAATATTTCAACAATGACATAAGCACTTCATCATGCTCAAATATCACGTAAAAATATGATTCTATTTAGACTCTAAGATGTACACATACTCTTACTGCCTATCATCTTTCTTCTATCTAAGTCTTCAAATTAATCATAGCTCTGTCAAACAGTTGTTTGAGAATATTTCTACCTGCAATGGGTTTCCAGGCATCTTCACTCATCCCTGACAAGTCACTCAAGTTGTCAGAATTGTCAGAATTTTCACCTGTCGTTATATCCACCTGGAAAAAGAATCTATCTTTTAAAATACACAGTACAAACTCTCATTAATTAAAGCAGACAAAGTAAACACATGTAGTAACATGTTCTTTGTGTTTTATTGGTTGTCATTGTTCAAGACTTGAGCATAGTCGTACTACAAGTTGAAATGCTTAAGAAACCTTCAGAGAATATACATCAGAGAATAGTATTTTATGTATACCTTATACCATGTATACCAAAGAAGTTACACAACAAAATACAAAAATACCCTTCCTTACAAAAATGTATAATTGTTTGTCAACATATTTCAGGGCTCGATTTAAGGAACTTGATTTAACTTGCACCAGGGACATGTTTACATTAAAACTTTGTTGCACCTGACTAAACCCAGTTGCATCCTTGTCCCATAAATTTATCAAAGATGAAACTGGAGCTTAAACAAGGCTAAATAAATAAAATCTCAGGTCTCTGATGACTGTGCCATGTGTAAGGAATAACACAAAACACAGGACTTAGTGATGACATGATGTTGTATGGTAAATAAAGCTTCGACGTATTGAGTAGGTTCAAAGATCAGACAAGTATTACAGTAAGGCAAGACTTTTTATACATGCACTAGGCGCATGTAGATATAATTATTGGTTGCATTTATCAATAATAGGTTGCACTGGTGCATGTTTTACATAGCTGTGTATTTTATCACACAATCATGACAAAGGCACAAATTATTGCAATGCAAAGATACTTTCTATACATGTATATACAATTACAATGCTATAGACATGTGATAGATATTAGAATGATTAGATGCGCTTTAGCATGTTTAGAATGGACATGACAAATGGATACAGGGAAACATGAACATGATTAACTCAATATCAATTAACCATTTAACTCAACAAAATTAATTAACCATGTAATTTCAACATATTATTTAAGTTGACATAAGATTGTCCCGAAACAAGCATTATTTGTTCTGTGGCCTAATCAATGAATGCAATCTGCTTTTTCTTGAACTACAGTGAGTGAGTTGCGATTAACGCCGCTTTTAACAGTTTTCCAGTCATATCACGGCATGTCAGCTTCATGTGGGAGGAAAGTCCCAAGGGATGCAGGTCTTAGACGTTTACCACCTAGGTGAAACTCACGAGCATGGGTATGGTGCTGACAAACCTAGAAACATAATCAGGGCTCACCGGGATTTCAACCCACAATCATAGGTTTCTGGCGTGCCCAAGGGACGCAACTGTGCACAGCGAATTGCAGCGCCTTAGAAGACTGGGTCACCCGTGCCCCCTCTTGAACTACATAAACAATGATATATAACAATAACAATGATGTAAAGACATGACTCTCCAGTGGTAGACACAAACAGTTTTAGTCCACTCGTCCTTAAGATGATAACATATAGTTAAACCCTTGAAAAGGACAAATTTCTAAAAGTCCTTTTGATACCTTAACTATTGGGCAGTTTGGTAAGAACTTCAGGACTAGTGCCAATTTCTAACGCTACACTCAGAATTTTACATGAAATATACCTCTTCTGATGAGGAACCATCATTCACTTTCATGGAGTCTGTCTCCGTCATTTCTGATGGTGCTCGGGCTGATGGATATGAACATGCTACAAATAAAAAGAAAACAGTTCAAACATATGCATACTCAGAAACCTGCAAGCACAAGTATGGATCTGACAAACCATGTTTGTTTCTTTTTTTAAATATTTCAGCAATATAACCATGATGATAGCAGCCTGAAAATAATGCCTGGACAATGTTCAAAATTATGCATAAACATGAAAATTGAAGGGGTTGCTGTCATAACTGTAAATATATTGGTTAAAAATTCAGGGGGTCCCTAGATTCAAATACTATAGGAACAAACCTCAAGGACCATTTTAACATTAGAGTCATGGCCATTGATCATGTTGATCCCTTGTCTTTTAGCCTAATATTAAACACTGCCAAACAGGGTTGTGTATTGGCAAAAACTTAGTATTGCAATATTGTGATACATATTGTGATATATTAGGATATAAAGTGTTTGGCAGCAATTGACACTATATGCAGATTTTATTGCAAGGATGTCAAAACCAGCATGGTCCGTCGTTGCCATTTTGTTGTCATGTACACAGGGGAGATAACGATGTGAGTTAATAATCACTTTGTTTTTTCAATCAGTTTGGATGGGAAACATCATTTGTGAATAAATGTCTGTGTAGATGTAAGGTCCCCATGGTTACAATACAAGTAATAACAAACTTGTAATAAATTTACAGAAAAAATATTGCAATGCATATCATTTGAAAAGCATATTGTAGTATACTGTGGTTATGATGGTTTACTGTGCTGTCCTACTGTCAAATACTGACAATTAGCATTTTAACTTCTGAAACAAACAATTGTTTCATACTGAATATAACCCAAGAAGAAGTGTCAGGATTACATTAAATACCAACCAAAGATTGTTGGAGATCAAAAGTTAAACTGGGTTTATTGCTGACCTCCAAGAAAAGTTTTGACAACTCTCTAAACCCAGCAATCAGGTGTTCGAAACAGGTGACATCATTCCAGTGACAGGAAAGTTAACAAACAAGGTAGTGGAAGTCACTCCTTTAACAAGTTTTATTGAGGACTCTCTTCAGATCAGCATGTAGATTAATTCTAATTTTAAAGAAATCAGTTATCGGTTGTAAACAGAATATGCATTTCAAACAATTAAACTTGCATGCAGTGATGCATATTATATACAAAACATCAATCTTTAAAATATGAAGAGTGATTGTAAAATAATTTTATAAAAACAGTACCATTAAGTATATTAACAATTAGATTCGCTTTAGGTACTTGAGTTGAACTAAAATGTGAAATTTGAATTCTGTTCAATAACGTTCACTGAAAGTTTATTTTGAAAATCTGAAGTTTCTCTATCAATCAAAAGAGTGACAGTTCAAAGTCTACATTCACACCAGTGAAAGGGCATGCACATCTACAGTATCCTTCTGAGAGAAAGTGGTTGGATGTCCAAGCGATCATTATGTAACACCAGTAATCATGATATACTCTTTTTGAGATATTTTTGTGACAGAACTAACCAATTCTTCAGCATAAGAATAAGCTTCAGATGTCATTTTACCTGTGCCTACAATCGGCCCTCCAAGTTTGTCAGGTGTAGCTGTGTCTTTATTTTCACAAGTATCTACCAAGGTTCCATCTTGACTAGGTGGACCATCACAATCAGTCCCGTCAAGTCTAGGACGTTTCAGAGGGATTTCACATGCTGAATCTTCCTGGTTCGCCATATTGAGTTTGACGCGAAAGTGAACTGCGCATGCGCCACGAAATCCCACCGAGAAGGGAGTATCTGTGTTTCTCCTTGGGAAACTATTTAAACCTATATCTATACAGCGAGTTAAAAAAATGTATATCAAACAATATAAATATTTGTTATTATTGACCGTTTCATATTAATTCACTGTTATACTCCTTCCAAGCGCCGTTTGTGTTTGTCATAACAATACAATAATGATACCTCCCTTCCCTTGTAAACAGAATTCGCAGAACGCACCTGTCAGAGAATTAGGGATGGAGGAGATACTGAACTTTGAAAGGAAACTGGAAGATGATTATTACCAAATTCTTGGATGCGACGAGCTTTCAAACGTAAGTTACTGTCGCATTGTACTGAATGACAAAAGAAATACATATATTCAAGAAATTGTTGACTCTAAATGACATTTTATGTTATGACAGCAAATATCTGGCCAAAGACTTTGGCAAAGTACAAAACATATCTCAGGGAATAAGACATATGTCAAGAGTAGATTTATTAACGAGTATGTCGACCACACATGCATATACAGAGACCATTAGCCTCTCATGAGAATACTTTAAAGGAAATGAAGAAAAACAATTGCTGGAGCACCTGATGATGTTCATAAAAAGTTATTTCTATTACCAGTCCATGTGATAATCAGATGCTGTATATATGTTTGTGGGTTTCCTTTTGCAGACTGAACAGATAGTTAAAGAATATAAAGCAAGAGTTCTTGACTGTCATCCAGACAAACACCCAGAAGACCCTACAGCAGGTTTGTTCGTGGAAGAATCATATTTTATTGTAAAAGGGAGGGCCATGTATAGACTCGGGCAAATTGGCTGTCCAAGCAGATATATTTCAGGTCATTCAAACTCTGTTAACTCTAATTTTGTTATCCATCAATCAACAGTTTACTGTTTATGATTACTCTAAATACTTATAATGAACCCAGAGTAGGTCATCCACATCTATTATTTGTATATGCACTCAAGCAAGGTTCAACCCTTACCAATATGACAAATCCCTTCAAGAAATTGGCTTAAAGGGAAACCATGCTCCAACTCTTAGTCGTCTAGCAGCACCGTTTTAATTAGTGCATGTAATCACCGGATGCCAATTAGCATCAGCGAGTAAGTGCTGAAGCTTCTAAATTCTTGGTACCAGAAGTGAAGCACTTAGAGCAGCATATTTATGATTTCTAGAAAACAAACATAAACGGACAGTTCCAAATGTAATATAACAAGCCCCACATGTGCTGTGTGGATTTTCTTTCCATTCATGAGATTGACTCAAGAGTTCATGCATCCTTTATTTAGATTGCTCACGGTTCACCTGACGCGACCTAAGATGGAGGTTTGTCTGATCTTTAATGCAGAAAGGTATTGTATCAAGAGTACAAGATTTTAGTTTTCATGTTGATGCTAAATGCCTGTGATTGTTACAGCTGAGCAATTTGCTCGTCTACAAACGGCAAAAGAAACACTTTGTGATCCCGAGAGCCGAGCCAAGTATGACCAATGGCGCCAATCTGGCATGATGATGACATATGGTCAGTGGAAGGGGCTAAGAGATTCTGTACACACAGTAAGTATATCATAGTGTCCTTATCTCATGGCAAAATATCATTTACAGAGCTCCAGATCAACTGCCTATCTGCGTAAAATACGCATCAGAAATACGCAGTAAAATAAAGTCCAAGCGTATCAAATACGCAACGAACATTACAGATAAATACAAAAATAAAACTTGTGCGTATCACCAAAATATTGTGAAGTAACCCTGCGTATTCGATTAGGAAATCAGCAACTTATCTTGAAATTATAAACGGGCATTCCGTCAACCTTGCCAAATCCACGATGACAGTTACATTATGATCATTTGCCATCACACTTTCTTGTGGAAGTATCGTGATATTTTTGAGTCCTATAAAGCTCTTGAACCCACACGACACCAGTTTGCAGGGACTAGATGAATAGTGTTTTAAAATATTTAACTTAAATACCCACATGTGTAAAAACTAGTGGGTAACAGCAATTTGAATACCCAGATAGAATTACTGATACCCAATGATTTTAAAATGCATGGGTAAAATACCCACAACACCAAAAGCTTATCTGGAGCTCTGATTTACGTGTTGATTTGATAATAATTGGAAATCAGTGGTTTGCTAAAACTGTGCTTCAAAGTGCTCAGCATGGTCCAGTCATTCAAATGAAAGATTTGGAAACTCTAATTTGTATTGACATTAAGTATAGAACTATTTGTGAACAGTCCTTCAATCGGAGTAAGCAACTCCCTAAGTGCTGGAGGTGTGTAGCATTATCCAAACTATATCCATCAACCAGCCTAGCTTGTGTGAAGACCTGGACCTTGTTCCACAAAGTGATTGTGGCTCTACATCTGCTAAACATGTTGCTGAAGAGTCAGATTGTCTCAGTGATAAAATGACTTTGTTTTTTTAAGCACTGAATTACCTACCTTATGCAAAAATAAGGTACCTAATTACTGTCTAAATATCAGCAAAACATGGCATTGTTGTTGCCTGCAATGAATTTCACAAATTACAGAAAAAAGTACATTTACTATTTATATATTATACTTATGACACAATAGATTAGATGATCAACTTCTTTATTGGACCAGTAGCAATGTTTCAGTGTAAATTCTACCAATGCTTGATGATACTGTCAGAATCTACATCAGCACTGCTGCTATTATAATTAAAAAAGTGGATCTTCCATACTTTATTGTGATTGGTTACATATCCTACTTCTAAATGTCACTCAAGGGTGTTATTTCTAATTTTATGTTTCCAGTCAATGCATTGGGGGTCTGTGAAAACCAAACCGATGCTTGATGACAGTCAGGGCAGTTCATTCAGCTCACCAAAACATGGGCAGACCACTCTGCTTGCTGTGGACTCAACATCTGCAGCTACTGGTATGTTTGGTACAGGTCATGATACGAGGGGGATGGGTGGTCCAGTGTAGGGATGGGACGAGTCCAAATGTACTACCCGGGCACCCGACCCTACCCGGGTACCAGCTGTTGGTCTCAAGAGTTGGGAACAAAATGTCTGATTGGGAATTGTTTTATCGCAGCCCTGGCATAAACTATTTAGATATACATTTGAAATGATCAGATCATGCGTACACTGAAGTCGACTGAAGCTTTATTTTTACTCAAACATATACAAGTCAAAAGGAATGTGTGTGTCGTCAAAAAGAAATACGAACATTAGCAACTTGTAGTGTAACCACTGAGCTATAATGAGTTTGTGTCGTGAAACAATATATCACATGGCTAACCACGGGTCAGGGTAGTCCTGTTGGTACCCAGGTCCCACCCGACCCAAGTACCCGAGTAACCTGTCCCAGCCCTTGTGCAGTGGCTAAATGCACTTCAATTTCTGTGAAGAGTTGTGTCCCTTGGCTGTGGTCCTGTCCTCTAGTTGTGGGAGCAAAGATAAGCCCTAGAATTGAACCTTGATTTGTTCCCTACATCCCTATACTCATTGCTTTCACCAAAGTGGTAGATGGTTAGGAATTTGTCACTTTTGTTTTTCCATCCACAATAAGTGACATGACATGATATAAATAATCCCTGTGAACATAAGAGTGAGTATTGGTCTTCAGCAACCTGGGCTTGTCACAAGAAGAACTAACAGTGTAGTGTGGTCAGGTTCGTTGACTTGGGTGATTCTTGTCATTGTATCCCAGTTGTGTTGCCTGATGCTCAAACACTGGATACTTGGTCCAGACTAGATAATTTCCTGACTGCCGTCATATAGCTGGAATATTGCACATGGCAGCATCAAACAACAGGCAGCATCAAACACATTCCATATCTACTGTAGTTTAAGAAATATGTGTTTGTAAAATAGTTGACTAAATAATTGCATTATTGTAAGTGTTGTGTATTTTAATCTTTTCCTGTCTCATTTAAAATACTGAAAATAAACAAATGATTGTAATGACAATATACACAACACAGACTAAGATCACCTTCTCCATGTGGAAATGATGTTCCAGGAACACCAGCAATGAACAGTTCTCCAGGAACAAGCCCGAAGAAAGAGGTGCCCTGGGAGAGGGACCCAGCATCAAATATGCTGCGGAAGTTCAGGAACTATGAAGTATAACACAGCTCAATGACTTCTTACATAGAGCTTATAAAAACAGTAACAGGAATTATCACCGGGCAGGGTGTTTTATTTGATGCTTGGTTTATGGTGAAACCATTCTGGTAATATTTTTCTCGTAATCAATGCTTCATATTTTAATGACAATACTTTTAAAACATTAGTTCAAAATGTCCTTTCAAATTCTTAACCATGATCTTTGTCTAAGAGAAAATCATTGGATGTTGTTATTCGAGATGTGAATCATGTATACTTGGCATATAGTCATGAAACATTCAGGGTATATAGAGGAACATAGTATATATATTACCCTGAACAAAAGAGGATGGCTTAAGATATGATAATTAGTTTATTGTGGCCACATGTTTTGGGTTATGATGTAAATTCTTTCCCAAACTATGCTTTGAACATTTCAGTGCTGTGAAACTTTGCAAAAGGTATTCCAGTATTCTCTCAGTATTGTTAGGGAGACAGTACCGGTAATATGAATACTGCTTCCCAAGATGGTGGTTTTGACTCCTGTTTTTATAAAACTGAATATTCTGACATAAACAATTTTATGATATTCAGAGTGATACAAGATAAGAATATCAAGATCACATACATTTGTATTATCCTGGGTGATAGAAGTGTTATGTAATGTCTGGATGACACAGTTAAAAGAATCTGGACGATATTTGGTTCATTTTATGCTGGAGAGTGCTGACAAGGTGAAAAAGAAGTATACTGGCAAACTTTGAAAATACAAATTTAATTTTTTGTAATATTTGGCTAAAATGGCCACAAAAATCAAATTAAGTTGTTGTGTATTTTGGTAACACAACAATGTTGTTATTAAGGTTTGAATCTCATTGGATGTATTTCGAGACGGACTTGAGCACGAACACATATTCTCTGATGCTTGAAAACATAATTATTCATTTTCAATGTGTGTCAGTATATCAGTCTCAATCTAGTCTTCAATGTGTTAAAGTTGGTTATTCAGCTACCTGTGATATGTATTAATGTCCGCAACAACATCATCTATTGTATTCATACTGTGAGACCTGTGGTTAGTTTTAGTCTTGTCATGCATTTATTAACGTTGACACATTCCTGTTGGATGTTCAGAATATTTACATGGTTTATTTACAAATATTTGGCATGTATTTGACATTTATTTTTCATATGTTACCAGATGATGTAATTGTTTTTGTTATGTAAAATATATGATACCATCAAATGATGTAATTATTTTCACTAATGAGTTCCACCCGGAGAGCAGAAGGTCCGGGGTTCGATCCCTGGCCGCGTCATACCAAAAGACGTTAAAAGATGGTACTTGTTGTTACCCTGTCTGGGGCTCAGCATTTAGGGGCTAAAACAAGGACTGGTAGGCTCGGAGTCAGTATACTGTGTCTGAGTTGGATATTCATGTTAAACTGCAGGATGGTATCTCAGTGAGCTAGCACTATAAATTGGCATCAGTTGGACTAGTACAAGCGCACGCACGCATGCACACACACACACATTGCTATATAAGACGTTAAACCCAAATTCACTTCACCTCACCTCACTGATGACTTTCTGCTTGTTTTTGAAAGAAAGCCGATGGCAGCATGTGAGAGACTTTTTCAGGTGGAAGATCAGAAATGCCCTCAGATTTCATCATTCATTTTCCTCCATTTTCCTCCAACAAAGAAATGTTTCTTCGGCATGTTTAAGTTTTTAAAGGGCCAGGGTGACTCCATCATCTGTGGTTCCGGAATTCACTGTGTAGAGTTGTCTCCCTTAGACATGCCAGAAACCTGTAAGGTTTTATCTACCCTGATTATGTTTACCCTGATTATGTTTCTTGAATTGTCAGCACCAAACCCATGCTCATGGTAAATGTCCAAGACCTTCATCACCATCTCCCATATCAAACCCACACACCCAGATATGACTGAAAAACTGTTGAAATCATGGTCAAAATGTCAGGAGTATGGTGTCTCTCCTTTTGGTGCCCTCTTTTGATACATGGGGTATGTAGGTGATTTAGGGTCGGTAGTGACCTGTGCTAAAAGTCCCTGTCATCACAGAATGCTCACTGCCACTGTACCTGCTTCAGGGGGCACAGGTGGCCCAGTTATCAAAGGCGCCACGTATCGCTGTGCAGAGTTGCGTCCCTTGGGCATGCTAGAAACCTATGATTGTGGGTTCCAATCTCGGTTTGCCCGATTATGTTTCTAGGTTTCTCAGCACCATACCCATGCTCGTGGCTTTCTCAGAAGTGGTAAACGTCTGAGACCTGCATCACTTCGGGCTTTCCTCCCACATTAAGCTGACACGCCGTGATATAACTGGAATACTGTTCAAAGTGGCGTTAAATCCAGATAACTCACTCACTCTACCTGCTTCCAAGTGTATTACTGGCTCCAATACCTTGGGACAACACTCACTAGTAACCACTGCAACTCTTTACCCGCTTCCTTGTGTATCGCTGTGCTTGCAAGAGAAGAGGTAAAAAATACAATATTGACCACTGGTTCTTCCACACTCTACCTGGTTCACTCTTTGGGGATTCTCAGTAAGGATTTGTCCACAGCAATCTATGCTGGTCATAAGGGGGACATAATAGATCGGACCAGCTCGTGTCTTGTTTGACTGTAACTGTACCCTGACAGCACAGTGTGATCGTTGCTCACCGGTTCCACTGGTCCAGGCTTGATCATTGACAGGCCGTCTGCATTACATAGCTGAACTTATGCAGTATTGAACAACACTTTACCAGGTTCCAAGGTATCACTGTAACCAGGATGAAGATCCAGGTTCGAAAAGGTCTTCAGCAACCCATGCTTGTCATAAGAGGCGACTATGCTAGTTGTAAAAGACAACTAACGTGATCATGTGGTCAGACTTACTGACTTCGTTGATGCATGTTATTGTATCCCAATTGCATGAAACGATGCTCATGCTATCAATCACTGGATTGTCTGGGCCAGATTATTTACAGACCGCTGTCATGTAGCTGGAATATTGCTGAGTGGGGCGTCAACAACCAAACAATGTATAACTGTATCCTTACAACATGGGTCAATACACACACTAATGAAGTTACCATTATAAAAATCAACTCTCGAAGACACCAATAAAATTATTATACTCACCAACAAAAGAATCGCAAACCACAGAAACATAGAGAGAAGTATGTACATTAAGAAGAGATTTTTCTAATGTCATATTATGAGTACCAATTAATGGCAAAACTAACAATCGGTCAAGTGTTACCACAGAATGTCTGTATTCTCATCACCATATGCTGCACGTGATTTCCAAACTTTACACTCTAATCCTGCACGAGAGACATGGTGCATCGTGAGTAATGGATTTATGGCGTCACATGTGATGCGTTCATGAGCATCGGTTCACACAACGTAACAGTATGTTCTTTTGTGTATTGAACCATTCTAATATCTCTTGAATATGAGTTAGTTTTCATATACTTACCAACATGTATGGTATTTCCTTTTCTTTTGTCGTGAGTATATTTTATATTCTGGACTTTGTAGTATTTGGAAGACAGACCCCTGACAAGCTCGAGTTGAGACCGACAGGGATGAACACATTAATAAAGATAGAACGAGATGTGTGAGAAACCAAACAGTGTTTGAGGTGACCTAATATCTTGCTATCAGAATCCTCTCATTTGGCATGTGCAGAGGTGATGTAATAGTCATGTGTTCATGGATAAGAGGGGCGGTCAGCTAGCCCAGTGGTTAGAGCGTTCGCTCGTCACGCCAAAGACCCGGGTTCAATTCCCGACATGGGTACAATATGTGAAGCCCATTTCTGGTGTCCACTGCCGTGATATTGCTGGAATATTGCTAAAAGCGGTGTAAAACCATACCCACTCATGGATAAGAGTGAGTGACTGAGTTGGGTTTAACCCCGCTTTTAACAGTATTCCAGTCATATCACGGTGTGTCAGCTTAATGTGGGAGGAAAGCCCGAAGTGATGCAGGTCTCAGACGTTTACCACTTCGGTGAAACCCACACGGGTATGGTGCTGACAAACCTAGAAACATAATCGGGGCGAACCGGGATTCGAACCCACGATCATAGGTTTCTGGCGTGCCTAAGGGACGCAACTCTGCACAGCGAATCGCGGCGCCTTAGACGACTAGGCCACCCGTGCCCCTCATGGATAAGAGTGAAGAATGGTAATACCAGTAACATTAGGTCACTACTTAAGGGTTCTGGACTGGACTGATAGATAAACAGAAATAGAACTGACTGACTACAGTCTGCATTTGCTAGGTTTCATTAAGCTCGGACCGTCTCCGTGGTTTAGTGGTTGGGCGTCGTCAGCCCGGAGAGCGGAAGGTCCGGGTTCGATCCCCGACCGCGTCATACCAAAAGAAGTTAAAAGATGGTACTTGTTACCCTGTCTGGCGCTCGGCATTAAGGGACGAATACAAGGACTGGTCGGCTCGAAGTCAGTATACTGTCTCTGAGTGGGGTATTCGTGTTAAACAGGGTATTTCAGTGAGCTAGCACTATAAATCGGCATCAGTACAGACTAGTACAAGCAGCCACACACACACACGTGCATGCACGTAGCTATAAAAGTACAATAATCTTAGACGCGACGTTAAACCCCATTTCACCTTCATTAAACTCAAACTCCATCAATCAGCAGTGGTTAACGACGGAGACGAACAATTTTAGCATGCCTGTGCAGACACTTATATATAAAGACAAATAAAAGCAAATTTCCAAATCGTGCAGTAGCTAAAGGTAGTTGTACAGCCCGGCACAAGTCATTGCTTAGTGTAGGTTGCACCAGTTGAGCTGTTGGGAAACGTGATCTGTATGTTTCATGTGGGACCTCACTCTGACGTTTTCAGTACAATATGTCTCTGTTCGTTTGGTTTGTTTGTTGTTTAACGTCGCTCTCAGCAATATTCTAGCTATCATCGACGGTCTATAAATAGTCTGGACCAGACAATCCAGTGATTGATATTGAGCATCGATCCACGAAATTGGGATACGTTGACATGCATCAACCAAGTCAGCGAGCCTGACCACCCGATCCCGTTAGTCGCCTTTTACGACAAGCAAAGTCGCCTTTTACGGCAAGCATGGGTTGCTGAAGACCTATTCTACCTCGGATCTTAACTGGTCCTGTTCGTTTAGTGTCGTAAGGTGACATATCAAAAGACACCAATACCGAGGGGGTGAGTCACCAGATAATTATAATCTGAAAGTACGTGGAAAATACATTACATTGGCTATATCTAAGATGTATTATCACAGCGAACAGGCAAAAAAAAAAAAGCAGACCAACAAAGCACAATTATCAGCAAGACCCATGTGCGCACGGATTAGCATTTAAACTTATGAAGAATAATTTTTTATCATTTTATCATTTTCGGTTTTTTCCGACCACCAACCGTTATTACGTTGTCTACATCAAATTGAGTTTCATTATTGAGAAAATAAAACAACAATAATAATATTTTTAAAAATATATATGCATGTGTAGGGGTTGCAACACCGCCATCTGCAAACCCGCTTGACATCCACGACACTGACAACACATCGTGATTCGACAATGTCAGGGATAAATATCACACTACGCGACCTCCATTGTCAAGGTGAGATTATCAAGGATCGACACTCCGTAACGTACCTGTAATTAGGCAATCAGTTATTCAGGTGATGCCAAAGTCTACATACCCGGAGTCACTTCCACAAGTATGCACGTATCTGCTTCATTCCTGATTCATGAGTCGGACGGTCTGTATCTGATAGTAGGAGGACATCAAATTCTCCTGAGGTGCATTCAGTCCACCTTTACCGTTTAAATGTGGGTGTTGGTCTGCGTACTTTTGTGCATTTGTGAGTATGTACATGTAACATCAAGAAACTTGTACATATGTACACTTTGAAAAAAATAAGTACCCTATTTTCAGTTTTCAAAATTTCGATCCTCCAAGCATTTTTTAGAAATATCTACATATGACGTTTTGATAAATATCTAAGATAATACTGATATCTGATGCAAAGTTCCAAAACACTGTATGTTGACCCAGATGTGCGCAAGGACGGGGTCAGACGCTCCAAACCGTCTGGATGAGATGATACATGGGCACAGCTCTCCTCACACTTCACTTATTTCACACGTTATATTTACACTTCTATAATAGCTACACGTGACATCGCTACCCCGAACCACAATTCCCGTCCCTATCTACTCCTACACCCCTAGCCACACCCTATCTACTCCTACGCCGTCAGGAACATACACTCAGCCACACCCCCACACCCTATCTCCTCCTACACCCTCAGCCACAACCCCACACCCTCAGCCACACCCCCAAACCCTATCTACTCCCACACCCCCAACCACACCCTATCTACTCCTACACCCTCAGCCACACCCCCACACCCTCAACCACGCATCCACACCTTATATACTCTCACACTCTAAGCCACACCCCAACACCCTATCTACTCCTACAACCTCAGCCACACACCACACACCCTATCTACTCCCACACCCCCAGCCACACCCCCACACCCTATCTACTCCTACACCCTCAGTCACACACCCCACACCCTATCTACTCCCACACACCCACACACTATCTACTCCTACACCCTCAGCCACACCCCCACACTCTCAGCCACACCCCAACACCCTTTCTACTCCTACACCCTCAGCCACACACCAAAACCCTGTCTACTCCCTCACCCCCACCCTACCTACTCCTACACCCTCAGCCATACCCCCAAACCCTGTCTACTCCCACACCCCCACCCTACCTACTCCTACACCCTCAGCCACACCCCCAAACCCTGTCTACTCCCACACCCCCACCCTACCTACTCCTACACCCTCAGCCACACCCCCAAACCCTCAGCCACACCTCCAAACCCTATCTACTCCCACACCCTCAGCCACACCCTATCTACTCCTACACTCCCAGCCACGCCCCCACACACTATCTACTCCTACACCCTCAGCCACACCCCCAAACCCTATCTACTCCTACACCCCCAGCCACACCCTATCTACTCCTACACCCTCAGCCACGCCCCCACACACTATCTACTCCTACACCCTCAGCCACACCCCCACACCCTCAGCCACATCCCCAAACCCTATCTACTCCCACACCCTCAGCCACACCCTATCTACTCCTACACCCTCAGCCACGCCCCCACACACTATCTACTCCTACACCCTCAGCCACACTCTCAGCCACACCCCCACACCCTATCTACTCCTACACCATCAGCAACACACCCACACCTTATATACTCTCACACCCTAGGCCACACCCCAACACCCTATCTACTCCTACACCCTCAGCCACACCCCCACACCCTATCTACTCCTACACCCTCAGTCACACACCCGCACCCTAAGCCGTACCCCCATACCCTATCTACTCTTACACCCTCAGCCACACACCCACACCTTATATACACTCATACCCTAAGCCACACCCTATCTACTCCTACACGCTCAGCCACACCCCTACACCCTATCTACCCCCACACCCTCAGCCACACCCCCACACCCTATCTACTCCCCCAGCCACACATCCTCGTTCTATCTACTCCCACACCCCCAACCCCACACCCTATCTACTCCCACACCCTCAGCCACACCCCGCATTCCCCATCTACTCCCCCCCCCCCCCCCCCCCCACCCCCTATCTACTCCCACACCCTCAGACACAGCCCGCACCCCCTCTACAGCCTCAGACACAACCCCCGTCCCCTGTATCACCTGGGCCAAAGCAAAATCGAATAGTAAACATTGATCTGACAATACAATTCTAAAAATAGCCATGAGGCACATTTGTAAACGCATTGATCCTAATTAATCATGTCTAGAAATACATCTCTACTAATAACATCACTTTCTCTATACGGGTCACGGAACACATACCTCACACGATTGTAAATGCGAAGCCCTTTTACATTAGTTTACTTCTGAATACTGAAACAGCTTTTCAGATGGAGGTAAAAGGGGAAATCCGAAGTACAAACTTAACAGTATACGGGTTTATGGTATCTACATCCTGAATATTTTTTTGCTTGGTTACAAACATACGCCGGGTTACACACAGACATCTAACCCGTTTATATACAACTCTTTATCTCGATGTGACCTAAGACTTCCAAATGTATGTCACCTGTTTATTTAAACCATTCTAACTTGAAGTGGCCTAGTGGTTCCAGATGTGTGTGGTCTGTTTATATAAACCTATCTATCTCGAAGTAACCTTTGACTTCCAGATGGGTCACCTGTGTATATAAACCTCTCTTTCTCGAAGTAACTTAAGGCTTCCAGGTGCATGTGACCTGTTTATATAAACCTCTCTTTCTCGGTGTAACCTGAGGGTTCCAGGTGCATCAGACCTCTTCATATAAACCACCCTATCTCGAAGTGACATGATGCTTCTAGATGGGTCACCTCTTTATACAAACCTCTCTATCTCGAAGTGACATGATGCTTCTAGATGAGTTACCTCTTTATATAAACATCTCTATCCCGAAGTGACATGAGGCTTCTAGATGGGTCACCTCTTTGTATAAACCTCTCTATCTCGAAGTGACATGATGCTTCTAGATGGATCACCTCTTTATATAAACCGCTCTATCTCGAAGTGACATGAGGCTTCTAAATGTGTTACCTCTTTGTATAAACCTCTCTATCTCGAAGTGACATGAGGCTTCTAAATTATGTCATCTGTTTTTTCAACCTCTGTGACTCGAAGTAGCCTTTGGCTTCCAGATGGATCACCTCTTTATACAATTCTCTCTATCTCGAAGTGACATGAGGCTTCTAGATGTATGTCGCCTGTTTTTATAAACCTCTCTGACTCGAAGTAGCCTGAGGCTTCCATTTGTATGTCACATTGTTATATGAACCTCGAGGTGCCTTAAGACTTCCAAATGCACATACCATGTTTATATACCCTCTCTATCTCGAAGTGATCAAAGGCTTCAATATACACGTGACCTGTTCATGTGTACCTCTCTATCAGTTCAAATCACATCAAGATAAAAGTAATTCGTAAATTTTAAAGGTCACAATAATTACCATACTCAACGTTTTGTCACACTTCTATTCATATATTCGCTTTTTTAAAAACACAGTTGAATGAACGACACATCATTTTCATACATCTTATCGCATCTTGACTAATATGTCTTAATTTATCCATCACTCATATCTGGTAACCGCCTATCACCTTGGATTAAATGAAGGCATCAAAATTCAAACGCACACGGGGTCCCAGCCACCTGTAATCAGGATGAGTCAGTACATCTGGTGTAGGGTGACCAATGCAGGTAATAATATACCTGGCGTGGCCGAGGCTGTGGCCTATAAGAAGCAGCGCTCGTGGTCGGCTGGCTCAAACACACTCACTTGAGACACCTTACCGTCTTCGTGAGTTACACCTGTTGCCTGACTCACCTGTTTATTTTCACACGGCATTTTCAGGAACCACAGACAATGGTAAGTCCAAAACGCCTTAACGACTTTAAAGACAAACAACATGTCATTCACATAACACATTTAAGCATGCAACTCCATATGGAATTTAACAACTCTTAAAAATTTGTTTGGATGTCTAATCACAGATCTTAATCTTATTTATGAGTGATAAAATGAATGTGATTGGTCGTCGCCTTCAGCACTTCTGATTCCTTCATGGGCGTCACATGTTGAAGGGGAATCGAACTTGGTCTTTGTTCGCGATGACCTTAGGCGCTATTCTCATCCCAACCCATTCATCTCGGTCAGCATTGGAAGGAATTTTTAGTGGAACTATAATTTCACTAGATCACGTGACTATCACACGAAACCATACAATCTGGCGGTAGACGCAACCCTTATAATCAATGTTGCCAGATGCCAAATTTTTAAAAACATAAAAAAAATGTTTTCTCAAAAATCGGGCGTCATGTTGTTCGAACTGTGTGCAATTGGCGGTTTACAGTGAAATCATGCAATGTCACTCCTCCGTTGCTGCACGAGGTATTCTCTAACGTAGAAACCCAGTGGACCTGAATGGACTATGGAGGACGACACATGTTTCAAATCGACATGTTATCATAAGGATGATATGAGTCAAAGGTCAAAGGTTATCATCACTGACTACAACGTACCGTAGATAATTGATTAAACGCCCGCATTGTATGAAACCCTATCGGGATCTCACGCCGCGTCTAGTTACGGTTTTTGGTTTGTTTGTCTTTTTCTTTGTTTGTTGATTAACGTCCTCAGCAATATTCCTGCTATATGAAGGCGGACTGTTTATAATCAAGTTTTGACCTGACAATCCAGCGATTGATATTATGAGCAACGATTCACGTCGTATCAACCATCAACAATGCTACTATCAACCATGCACGTCGTCACAGATCCTGACAACCCGAGGGCCGTTTGTCGCCTGGAGAGGGGAAAGTCGGGAGAGACGTTCCCCGGCCGCTTCATAACAAGGACTGGTCGACTCGGGGTAGCATACTAGTCAGGACTAGTACATAAACACATACGCACGCACGCACGCACGCACGCACGCACGCACGCACACGCGCGTATACGTGCATCCACGTGGCCATATAAGTGCAATCATTTTAAACGCGACGTTAAACCCCATTCCACCTCACCACTCAATCATCAGCAGCATCAGGCGACTATGCAGGTCTTCAGCAACCCGTCAAAAGTGACTAAGCTTGTCGTAAGAGGCGACTTAAGGGATCGGGTGGTCAGGCACATTGACTTGGTTGATGCATGACATCGTATCCTAATTACGTGGATGCTCTTATCATATCATAATGCTCGTGGTATCAGTCACTGGATTGTCTGGTCCAGACACAATTATTTACATACCGCCGTCATATAGCTGGAATATTGCTGAGTGTGGCGTTAAATAACAAATAAACAAACAAATCATCGTCATCATGTTGCTTCCCACACATGCGGCTGTGTATTGTGAAGTATTCGTACGGACGCAACTGGCGGAAACCAACCGCAATCACCTGGCTTAAAGTGTGTGTACCTTGAATATGTGAATTGTTGCTCACTCTATCAACCACTGTTTTAATTGTCTAAGCTTGATGACCTTACAGTGCCGCGCTATAATACTGTTATACTGATGACTAGGGCGTACAACGGAGCACTCACTCACTCGGTGCTGAGTACCTAAAATATAACTCTCCAGGACAAAGATCTTTCTTCTGTTCAGTCTTACCTACTCAGCTTTTAGAACATCAATCAAGACTTTCTCTTTCGCAAAAAATTCTACTCTTGTTCTCTCTTGTCTACGCTCTGTGCATACTATGAGAGTATGGAAAAATGCAAATTATATATGAGCTAATATACTGCACCGCACCCCATCGTATTTGACATTTTATTTTCTTTACTGTCAGAGGGAAGTCGTTAGCATCCACATCGGCCAGGCTGGAGTACAGATCGGCAACTCCTGTTGGGAATTGTACTGTCTAGAGCATGGCATTCAGATGGACGGTCAGATGCCCTCAGACGTGTCCGTCGAGGGCAGAGATTCTTCCTTCAGCACCTTCTTCAGCGAGACAGGATCTGGGAAACATGTGCCTAGGACCATCTTTGTTGACCTTGAGCCAACAGTTATTGGTAAAAATACGTTCCTACAACACAACTGAACGTTTCGTGAAGATTTTCTTAGTTTTAAGATCTTAGTTTTATAACTTTTATACGTTTCAAACAAAGTATCGACTCATCATTTAACATATATTTGAAACAGAAACAACAATGTAATATAAACTGAAAGTTATCTATTGACGCTCGGAAAGCGCCTTTAAACCTTTAAACATTCATTTGTTACTTTCCAGACGAAATCCGAACAGGCCCGTACCGTCAGCTCTTCCACCCAGATCAGCTGATAACGGGCAATGAGGATGCCGCCAACAACTACGCCCGAGGTCACTACACCATCGGCAAGGAGATCATCGACGGTGTGATGGATAGAATTAGGAAGCTGGCTGACCAATGTAGTGGACTCCAGGGTTTCCTCATCTTCCACAGCTTCGGTGGCGGCACTGGCTCCGGCTTCACCTCTCTGATGATGGAGAGACTGTCCTTTGACTACGGCAAGAAGTCCAAGCTTGAGTTCTCCGTGTATCCCGCTCCCCAGGTGTCTACGTCCGTGGTCGAACCCTATAACTCCGTACTGACTACACACACAACACTGGAACACTCGGACTGTTCGTTCCTGGTCGACAACGAGGCTATCTACGACATCTGTCGACGTAACCTCGACATTGATTATCCTACCTACACCAACCTGAATCGTCTGATCAGCCAGATCGTCAGTTCAATCACAGCCTCTCTCCGATTTGACGGCTGTTTAAACGTGGATCTCAACGAGTTCCAGACCAACTTAGTCCCGTACCCACGCATCCACTTTCCCCTGAGCACGTACGCTCCGATTGTGTCAGCAGAGAAGGCTTTCAGAGAGTCAATGACAGTTTCTGAAATTTCAACTGCCTGCTTCGAGCCCGTCAACCAGATGGTAAAGTGCGACCCTCGTCACGGCAAGTACATGGCCTGTTGCATGCTGTTCCGTGGTGATGTCGTCCCCAAAGACGTCAGCGCAGCCATTGCCAACATCAGGACCAAGAGAAGCATCCAGTTCGTTGACTGGTGTCCCACCGGGTTCAAGGTCGGCATCAACTACCAACCACCAACAATTGTTCCTGGGGATGACCTTGCCAAGGTCCAGAGAGCTGTCTGCATGTTGAGCAACACCACTGCCATCGCCGAGGCCTGGGCTCGTCTCGACCACAAGTTTGATTTGATGTACGCCAAGAGAGCGTTCGTCCATTGGTATGTTGGGGAGGGTATGGAGGAGGGGGAGTTCACGGAGGCTCGGGAGGATCTGGCAGCGTTGGAGAAGGACTATGAGGAAGTGGGGGCGGACACCGTAGATACGACGGGGGAAGAATATGACCAATCAGAGTTCTGAGAGCTTTAGGGGAATACGTGCAATATTAATTACGCATAATCAATAATACAGCATATATTGCGTGCTATAGCGCTGAGAGGTATTGAACACATTTATGCTAACATAAAACAGAGACTGGCTTGAGCTCTATGATATAATTTCATTATTCATCGTATATGTCATTCCTTATGCAGTCGTCAGCCTTCCTTTCTTATGAATGGAGAAACAATATATATCCTAATGATTCCTTTGTTTGTCCTTCATTGGGTACCATGCGACACCAATGCATTTTTGCAATCTAGGTCTAGGCAATGTGACGGGGCACGGGCACGGGTGACCCAGTCGTCTGAGGCTGCGCACATTGGGTCCTTTATGTCTAATAAATAACTGTGATTGTGGGTTCGAATCTCATTTCCCCCACCAACCTGTCATCGTTGGTTTCACAAAAGGGTTAAACGTCTGAGACCTCCATCACTTTCCTCCCACATCAAGGTGAGACGCAGTGATATAACTGAAACACTATCTGACTTTAAACCTTACACGTACTCTAACTGGCGTATCAAACTGAGACATTGTCTCTATGTAATTTGGGTAATCATTGACTGCTGGATGCACGTACATAAGAAAACTTGTGTTTGCGAACATTTTGTTTGTTTCGTTGTTGTTTATCGCCGCACTCAGCAATATTCCAGCTATATGACGGCGGTCTTTAAATTATCGAGTCTGGACCAGACAAGCCAGTGATAGACATCACGAGCATCGATCCACGCAATTAGGATACGATGATATGTACCAACCAATGAACCAGCGAGCCTGACCACCCGATCCCGTTAGTCACTATTTACGGGGCGGTCGGGTAGCCTGGTGGTTAAAGCGTTCACTCGTCACGGGTTCGAAGACCCGGGTTCGATTCCCGACATGGGTACAATGTGTGAAGCCCATTTCTGGTGTTCCCCCGCCGTGATATTGCTGGAATATTGCTAAAAGCGGCGTAAAACCATACTCACTCACTCACTATTTACGACAAGAATAGTCACTATTTACGGCAAGCATGGGTTGCTGAAGACCAATTCTAACCCGGGTTTTTACGTGTGTTTTCAAAGACATATGAAACTTACAAGGACTGCAAGTTGTACCGAGCCTCGCCCCCCTTTAAACATTTACTTATTATGGAAAACTAAATATGTTCATTTGAATTCCAAGATGTATTAATGGTACCGCAAATAAAATATTTTTATGCCTTAAAGAATGTGTGTTCTCTGTTGCCATTTAACGTAGACCCTGATGCCTATACAAAATAGTCGCGCAATACAACAATTTTGTCAACAAGTTTACAACAATCTCCTTCTAAAGATACAGTGCATATGTTTCTGGATAGAACAAACTGTTTATGTTTATATCATTGTATTTGTAGTGTCCATTCGTGTGTGCGTGCGTGCGTGCGCGCGCGCGCGCATATTCACAAAGTTAAGGTCAAATGTAAACATTTGAGATGTTTACGACTTAGTCGAACCATAAAATATGGAATGGTGACGACGAAAACAAATCGTTTTCTAAGCTTCTATTTTCTACTACAATCCAAGATGGCCTGGTCAGGTGACCCAGAGAACACGGACAAGTTCAACTTGTGACCTCTTGTGATGATTTACTTCATTACAGTTCAGGATAAAATTGCAAAAATCATTCGATATAATAATTCATGTCAGTCGGCTTTACATATCTGGGTACTGCATCAACACTTTGGGTGTTTTTTTGGGCGTTATTTTACAAATAAACTGACGTCCAAAAGAAACTTTACCAACTGAAAATATAAATTTCAGACAAAGTATAAATATTTTTTCGATGAAGTCTATCTAAAACACATAACCTAAATACAACAATAGTGTATGCAGAAAATGTTAATCGTCTGTTAAATGTTTGCGACATAACACGCGAAAAAGTGAAAAACACGTGCACCACGGACAACTGCAAATGCACGTGCGGGTAAGGGTATAAAACGATTGCAACGGCAAGTCAGACATCCACAGTGATAGAAAAAAAACACAAAAGAAATGCCACGACTAACAGTCGAACAATGTGAACGAGCCTTGGGTATGGTACAGATGGGAGCGCCCATATTGCACGAACCTTCGGTTGCTACCGTGTTGCCGTTACCAACTTGATGCAACGTTACAGACAGACAGGGCAGACCGCTTACAGGCCAAGAACAGGCAGACCCAGGGTGACCACGCCCCATGATGACCGGTACTTGCGTACCTTGCACTTCCTGACAGTGACGTCATCGGCGACAAATGCCTTAGGTCACAGGGTTAGTCGACAGACAGTGGCCAGGAGACTCAGGGCTCATGGAATCAGGGTTTTTAGACCATACAGAGGACAGCTATAGACAGCGACTTGACTGGCAGAGGGTTGTCTTCACTGACGAAAGTCGATTCTGTATGTTTAGGGCTGATGGAAGACAACGTGTTTACCGCCGAAGGGGTGAACGAACGGCGGCGTGTTGCGTGCAGGAGGTCGTACCATACGTTGGAGGGAGTGTCATGGTGTGGGGAGGGATCTGTGGGCAGGAGAGGACACCGCTGGTCATCGTTGACGGAAACTTGACAGCTCAGCGTTACATGGATAACATTCTTCGTCCAGTTGTCCTACCATTTCTCCAACAGCAGCCACGTGGTGTCATTTATCAGCATGACAACGCAAGAGCCCATACAGCCAGAATTGTCACTAACTTCCTCGCAGCCAACAACGTCAACGTCCTGCCGTGGCCTGCACGCTCACCCGACATGTCCCCCATAGAACACCTCTGGTACTTGATGGATCGTCGTGTTCGACAACGACCACACTCTCCAGCCAACCGGCAAGAACTGATCTTGGCCCTCCAAGAAGAATGGCGTCAAATCCCACGTGACCTCATCAGACGACTGACTTTTTCTGTGCGTCGAAGAGTTTTTGCGTGTATTGAGGCATTTGGTGGTCACACACGTTACTAATGACTTGTTATTGAACGTGAGCGATTGTTTATGTACTGCCTATTGTCCATGATTCTGAAAGCTCGAGTTTTGTACCACACCCAACCTTGGGGGCTCTGACGTCATTCTCGGTCGCGGTATGATTGTCATTTTCAGTGTTGTTTATGTTGATATATTGATCTTCTCAATACACTTTACTTCATGCATGTATGTTCTGTTGTTTTTGAGCAAGAGTGATTTCAAACTCTGGTAAAGTTTATTTTGGACGTCAGTTTATATCAAGTTATTCTAGATTTGTTTTAGATGTCATGTGTCAAAGGTTGTAGTGAAAAATTCGATCATGTTTTTTTTTTTAAGAACTGACATTTACTTTGTGAAGGCCCATTAGAGTATGACCACTGAATGAAGGCCAACATCGGAGCTTGATATCCCACCATACGCTGTTGTTTAAACCCATTTGGCCAAAACATCAGGAAGGGTATCTGTGTAACTTACTTCTCTGATCTCCGTGTTTTTACGTTCTCTTGATCTTTTGAAATTTGTACCAAAAAAGAATACTTAGATAACTAAGAAACTATGGCGAGACCGGAAGTGTGGTGGAACTAATAGAAGCGTATTGCATGTTAACGTGAAAAAAGTTGTTGAAGTGTTGTTGGTATTGCAAGAACTTATATAATGCAACGGAGTCACTAATCTCAAAATTTGCATCCTTGAGATATAAACATGTACTTAATTTGGCAATAGCAAATACTATTTATTGGCTTTATGAAGTTTGCAATGGATCAACTTGTACACATAATCTCACGCGTTTACTTTTATTACATGCGGCCTGTCTATCCCAACTGTTCGTATTAATCTCTCTATCCAAACTAGTGATAGACTGTTCGTATAAACCCCTCTATCCCAACTAGTGGTGGACTGTTCGTATAAACTCCCCTATCCCAACAAGTGGTGGACTGTTCGTATAAACCCCTCTATCCCAACTGTGTTTGGTATGTTCGTATAAACCCCTGTATCCCAACTGGTGGTGGACTGTTCGTATTAACCCCTGTATCCCAACTGTGTGTGGTATGTTCGTATTAACCCCCCTATCCCAACTAGTGATGGACTGTTCGTATAAACCCCTCTATCCCAACAAGTGGTGAACTGTTCCTATAAACCCCTCTATTCCAACTGTGTGTGGTATGTTCGTATAAACCCCTCTATCCCAACTGATGGTCGACTGTTCGTATCAACCCCTCTATCCCTAACTGGCGATGGACTGTTCGCATAAACCCTCATACCAACTGCATGTGTCATGTTCGGGTAAACCCCTCTTTCCCAACAAAATCTCACGCGTTTACTTTTATTACATGCGGCCTGTCTATCCCAACTGTTCGTATAAATCCCTCTATCCCAACTGGTGGTGGACTCTTGGTATGAAACGAAGTGACCCAACAGTATGAAATATGTTTACATAAATCATTATTACATGTTTGCATTTGACACTAACATCACTACGACCTTGACACCTCCCCAAAAGAACCGTCTCAATATACGTTAAAATATTACATGTTTTATGCATTCAAACACTCTCATCTTCAAATATCCTTCTGCTTAACATAACATTGATGATGCCCTTAACCTATTTCACGTTGACAAATGTTTCGTATCATATGCATCACTCATATCTAGTGAAACATCCTCCATTGAATTTAATACAGATATCTAAATTCCAGTTTACATGTGACGTGTTATCACGGATGAGTCAGACGCCTGATGCAGCAGATATGACAAACGCAGGTAAGAATATACTAACCAATCACACCTGGCGAGTCCTAGATAGCGTCCTATAAGAAGCACAGCACGTGGTCAGCAGGTTCAAAGTCGCTCACTTAGGACACCTTATTGTCTACGTGAGTTGCACCTGCCGACTGACTCGCCGGTATATTCTGTGTTGGACGGCATTTCCAGGAACCACAGAAAATGGTAAGTACAAGAATTGAACGACAAAGACATTATTCATTGACACATATTCTAAACATTCAGTGCCACGTAAAATTAAATATTCCAGATATTTTATTTATACCCAATCATAATTTGTATTTACGATCGGGCGATCGATTATGGTATGGCATGGCAATAAGTTTATAGAGAATAAAACTTGTATGCACTTTCACATTATGTGCCAAGGCGGGAATCGAACTCAGTCTTTGTTGGTGACGATCGAAATCCCACCGCCCCTCCAATGGCACGACCTTCAATGAAAATGTTATGTAAGAAATATTATCATTAATTTGTTATGAATATGTTTGAATATTTCAGGATAGAAAAGCATTATTAAAGTATATCATCCCAGTGTTCTATTTCACCATATTTGTTTCACTGGGACACCTGTTTCATCTCGACATATTATCACACGGATAATGAGAGCCAAAGGTCAAAGGTTATCTTTCATAAACTTCCACGCTGCTTTTCTCTTCGGTATAATTCTCTATATCCTGCAGTAAACTGATTAACGCCTGCTTTGAAAACGCCCCAGATCTGCACATAGTTTTCATGAAATACACGTAACGATAAATACAAAATAGGGTGCACGGGTACTCGGGTAGCCCCGTCGTCTAAAACGCCGCAATTCGCTATGCAGAGTTGCGCCCCTTGTTCACGCCAGAAACATATAGTTGTGGGTTCGAATCCCGGTTCGCCTCGACTAGGTTTGTCAGCACCATACCCGTGCTTGTGGGTTTCACCAAAGTGATAAACGTCTGAGACCTGCATCACTTTGGACTTTTTTCCCCACATTAAGCTGACACGCCGTGATATAACTCGAATACCCTTCGAAGCGGCGTTAAACCCATTTTACTCACATTGGACAACATAAGCGCCACTCCTTCTCTGTCTTCCGAGTGACCAACTTCCGTGTATCTTTTGGAAATATCTACATACAGTATTGATCTTATGACAGCTGTGTAAGATACCACGATGCGTGCTGAAATAGTGTAACGAGAACACTGTGTGTTTCGCGTGATCGTCCAATTATCGAGTCATATTATATGATGCCTTGAAGCAAAGGACGATTTTGAAAGGGTAACTGACTTACTATTGCCACGGAACAGTTACAAAACGAAATCGATTTGATTCGAATCCGTACGACGACATTGTTGTGTTTGAATATCTCATTCACAAATACTAAGCGCAACTTAATTTAATTTTTGTGGACATTTTGCCAAATGTTACAAGACACCGAATATGCGTTTTCAAAGTGCTTCTGTATAGTTGGTGTTTCTTAATTTGTTCAAACGTAGACATAAACACATTTGCTTCTGGTCTATACTAGTATATATCAGCGTGTCCTAGGCCTATGAGGTGATCACTGATTTAGAAAAGAAACGTTTAGCAGGGGATGTACGGTACATGCAACCAGTTTTACATCACGTCACCCGTATCGTTTGAATAAGCTGAGCGTTAAAAAACCTCCAGACATTACAAATCATCTCTGAGTGTGCATAGTAACACAAGATCGCTATATATACATGCCCTAAATCCGAAACTTAAAACATTATGCCTTCTGAATGTTCCCACTCGAAGAAACTGATACACACCTTATGAGGTTTAGCAAGTTGACTGATTATTATTGTCATTATTTATGAATTACTAAACAAAAATAATAAAAAAACACTTTAGAGCTGTAAAACAATCCTGCGCCGGTACGGCATTGATGCTCCAACTTTAGTCACAGAGTTACTTCCCTTAGTCGTGCCAGAATCTGATGTGTTCTAAGCCGCGTTTAATCCATCTCGACCACAGAGATGCCGAGTGTTTTAGGTATTTGGAAGAGTGCCATACTGATTGTGGGGGTTCGAATCCCGGTTCGCCCCGATTTTGTTTCTAGGTTTGTCAGCACCATACCCGTGCTCGTGGGTTTCACCAAAGTGGTAAACGTCTGAGACCTGCATCACTTCGGGCTTTCCTCCCACATTAAGCTGACACGCCGTGATATAACTGGAATACTGTTAAAAGCGGCGTTAAACTCAACTCACTCACTCACTATTTCAGCGGCTCTATTGTCTATTCAGCTTTGAGGGGTGAGGTGAAATGGGGTTTAACGTCGCGTCCAAGATTATCGCGCTTATATAGCGACGTGCATGTACGTGTGTGTGTGGCTGCTTGTACTAGTCCGGACTGATGCCGATTTATAGTGCTAGCTCACTGAGATACCATGTCGCAGTTTAACATGAACACCACTCAGACACAGTATACTGACTCCGAGCCGACCAGTTCTTGTTTTAGCCCCTTAATGCCGACTGCCAGACAGGGTAACAACTAGTGCCATCTTTTAACGTCTTTTGGTATGACGCGGCCGGGGATCGAACCTCAGACCTTCCGCTCTCCGGGCGGACGCTCTACCACTGGACCACGGAGGCGGTCTCAGCTTTGAGAAAACACCAACGTACTGAGGCATATTAACTTAATTGTGTGAATCATTGCTCACACTATCAACTATCTCCCAATGGGTAAAGACTGATGACTTTACAATGCCAGACGCCGTGGTATAACTGTAATACTGATGACATGGATTTGGTGCCCATTCATCACTCACTCACTCTGACCAAGCTTTTTCTTCTTTTACTCGTTTACCTTTATACATCTCATCCTCATCCTCAGAGAGAAGTCATCAGCATCCACATCGGTCAGGCTGGAGTACAGATCGGCAACTCCTGCTGGGAATTATACTGTCTGGAGCATGGCATTCAGAATGACGGTCGGATGCCCTCGGACAAGCCCATTGGGGGTGGGGATGATTCCTTCAATACCTTCTTCAGCGAGACTGGGTCTGGGAAACACGTCCCAAGGGCCGTCTTTGTCGACCTTGAACCAACAGTAATTGGTAAGAATAATACAGCGAACCCTATTAACACGAACTCCATTATCTCGTTCAAGACGTTGCAACTTGGTCCCGTAGATCGTCATCGGCACTATGAATTAATATCGGCACTCGAACTATGGATAGCTCGACATACAGTCGATGGTCCACAGCGCTTCGAGTGTGCGAAATTCATTGTACAATTTGACATTCTGAGAAAGCGAATACTGTAGTAGACTTTTCAACACTGTAGAGTTGTTCTTTTTAAGTATTGAGTGATGGTGCCCCTTCTTAGATTTTATTTGTTAATTGCATACGTTTGAATAGAAGTATCGCTTCCCAAAAGATGACCAAAGACAAGCGAAATATCTTTATCAATAGTGGAGAACTGGAAGTGTTTTAGTGACACCCAGAGAGCTCTTCGACACAATTATAATAGTCACAATGTTCATTTTCTATCTTCCAGACGAAATACGAACAGGCCCGTACCGTCAGCTCTTCCACCCAGAACAGCTGATAACAGGCAAGGAGGACGCCGCCAACAACTACGCCCGAGGTCACTACACCATCGGCAAGGAGATCGTCGACGGTGTGATGGACAGAATTGGGAAGCTGGCTGATCAATGTAGTGGACTCCAGGGTTTCCTCATCTTCCACAGCTTCGGTGGCGGCACTGGCTCCGGCTTCACCTCTCTGTTGATGGAGAGACTGTCCGTTGACTACGGCAAGAAGTCCAAGCTTGAGTTCTCCGTGTATCCCGCTCCCCAGGTGTCCACGTCCGTGGTCGAACCCTATAACTCCGTACTGACCACACACAACACACTGGAACACTCGGACTGTTCCTTCCTGGTCGACAACGAGGCTATCTATGACATCTGTCGACGTAACCTCGACATTGATTATCCTTCCTACACTAACCTGAATCGTCTGATCAGCCAGATCGTCAGTTCAATCACAGCCTCTCTCCGATTTGACGGCTGTTTAAACGTGGATCTTAACGAGTTCCAGACCAACTTAGTCCCTTACCCGCGCATCCACTTTCCCCTGAGCACGTACGCTCCGATTGTGTCAGCAGAGAAGGCTTTCAGAGAGTCAATGACAGTTTCTGAAATCACAACTGCCTGTTTCGAGCCCGTCAACCAGATGGTAAAGTGCGACCCTCGTCACGGCAAGTACATGGCCTGTTGCATGCTATATCGTGGTGATGTCGTCCCCAAAGACGTCACCGCAGCCATTGCCAACATCAAGACCAAGAGAAGCATCCAGTTCGTTGACTGGTGTCCCACCGGGTTCAAGGTCGGCATCAACTACCAACCACCAACAATTGTTCCTGGGGATGACCTCGCCAAGGTCCAGAGAGCTGTCTGCATGTTGAGCAACACTACCGCCATCGCCGAGGCCTGGGCTCGTCTCGACCACAAGTTTGATTTGATGTACTCCAGGAGGGCGTTCGTCCACTGGTATGTCGGAGAGGGTATGGAGGAGGGGGAGTTCGCTGAAGCTCGGGAGGATCTGGCAGCGTTGGAAAAGGACTATGAGGAAGTGGGAGCGGACAACGCCGATACGATGGGGGACGACTATGACCAATCAGAGTACTGAGAGGGACATGTGCAATACCACTCACGCATTATCAACAATACATCATAGTGTATTATAGTGCTTAGGGGTAGAATACATCTATAGTAAGACGAAAACCAGACTGCATGGGGCTGACTAGTGATTTTTCAACAACTAAATCCAACTGTCAGCTATGACTGTTGTTATATTCACGTGTGTGTTTTGTAGTGTTGGGGTTACGCTATCTGGTACTCCAGTCAGGGTCATACAAGTAGTGCCATGCCAGATATTAGAGTGACCATTTATTGATTATTGAACTGTATTGTAAAAGATACTTTGGTATTGTTTGACCCCTTTCCAAAACTTGGAATTACGGTATTTCTTGACCCTTGTGGTTATTAAAAGTGTCGCTCTGTCGTGCCAAAGTCCTAGGTTCGATTCCCGACATGGTGTCCCCTGCCGTGATATCCCTCGGCAGCAGAAGAAGCATTGTATTTAGATTTTATTTTGTTTAAGATCCACCTGTCACTCGACGGCCGGTTTTACAATGAAACCAAATAATTATTTCGAGCTAACAAACGTTCCTTGAGATAGAGGGGCAAATATAATGCATAGGTGACTCCATTTCGCTAACTTGAAATACAGCGACATTTTGTGAACTCGAGCTCCATTATGTCGTCAAGATTATGTAACATTATGGTCACTGTAGAGCCTTTATCGACAGCAGTTGTATATCAGCACCACGGTAACCTCGAATATGACAATACAACGAGTTTGACATAACATGAGGCTATATTCCCATACCTGACTCGACATTGTTATATCTTACCATCCATCCAGCATTAATGCGACTTAGATGTAGTCCCCAGCGTTCCGTGTCCTGATAAAAAAAAAAGAGAGCTGAGTTGATAAATATTATCCTTTTATGGAAATATTTTATATGTTCATGCAAGAACCAAAGGTACATTTGTGACACAGGTTGCCCTGTCGTCACAGGCGCCGCACTTCGCTGTGGTATATGCCTACAACCGGTTCCACTTTGGTTTTAACGTCGTCATACAACTGAAGTACTCTTGAAGGTGGCGTCAATTCAAACTCACTCAGGCAGTCACCCAAAGGTTAACTAACGTCCGCCATATATATCACACATTTGTACATAACGATATATGCGTGTTTTCTGCTTACATTTAAAATCAACTGCACACAAAACGATTTCGTTCAATAGAGTTTTCTTTAATTCCTTAAATTTGCTCTGGAGGATATGGAATAAAGCATCATATGTACATGGCTTTGAATTGAACTTTCGCTCTTTTACAATTTGTAGTATTATTACGTATAAACATATTTTAGTTATGTTTTTTTAAACTATTGAGATTTTTTTTATGAATTTGAGATGAATGATACAAATTTTAACATTGATTACATTTTAGGATATCGCATGAAGCTGATTAAGTTTTTAAAAAATGAACATATTTTCATTAAACGTGATGAGCGTTCTTTCAAAACCGGATATATATCCACGAACACATATTGTGAATTAAAATGATGGTTTTGATGATTATATTTCTGAATAAATCAAGTTAACAAAGATAGTTTTGTGGTATTTTTATATATAAAGTAACAAAACATACTGCGATATTTTACCATCCATCCTGCATAAATGCAACTTAGATGTAGTCCCCAGCGTTCCGTGTCCTGATGAAAAGAGAAAGTTGTGTTGATAAATATTATCATTTTATGGAAATATTATATGTTCATGCAAGTTCCAAAGGTACATTTGTGATATATGCGGCCCTGTCGTCAAAGGCGCCGCACGTGGCTGTGCAGAGTTGCGTCCCTTAGTCGTGCAAGGTTTTAGAGATACTCTGAGATTACATCTCGACTTTGATTCACAATTTGCACGTGCCTGTTAATGAACGGCGTACGATTTGGATGTTTGCGTGTTGGTTGGGAGTATGATACTCACTTGCGGGTTTGAAAACTGAACAGCACAAAAAAAAACACTTTTGTTAAAAATAATGACGCTTACGCAATGCAACGGCTTGCAAGATACAAATCAACGTCTGCGTGCCATGGGTGTGCTGCAAACATGAATGGAGCAAAAAGAAGTCTACCCAAGATAATCGGTGGTATGTTGGTGGGATTTTATTTCTGGGTGATCTTTTTCTTTTTTCTGATCTTGTTCAGAGAGGTCGGGGTCGATTGACCAGATAAGTATCTGCACTCGGGTCACTGTGGTCTGTTCCACTAAAGCGATCGTAATGCCAAGGTGATCCTAACTCCAATACTTTACACCCTTCGACTTATGACAGCCGCAGCGCAATCATTTTGTGGAGCGTGGCCGAAGTCAACAACATGGCTATCTATGACTCTGTCAAAGTATCCTTGACATTAATTAGCCAGTCAGTGAAACATCAGTTTTTCACGATATTTGGCACATGAACTGACCCGCTTTAATCCAGTTTGGACCGCCGTCATATAGCTAGAATATTGCTGAGTGCAGCGTAACCCTCATGGTGTCTGGCCGTCAGCTGGCTTTGTACACCGCTCAGTGCCGCACTGTGATGACGTCGCGGTTTCAAAAGCGTATACATTGTATAAAAAGTGTTACAATGTTCTTATTACTCACACAATGTAACCAAATTATATAACATGCAACTTGAGATTGTCTTTTCAGCAGTATCTTTGGTTGGTTGGTTGGTTGGTTGGTTTGTTGTTTACGCCGCACTCAGCAATATTCCTGCTATTTGACGGCCGTCTGTAAATAATCGAATCAGGACCAGACAATCCAGTGATTAATATCATGTGCATCAACCCACTTCAGCATATCTAAAGTCAACAAATCAAAATGTTCTATTCACTGCCTAGCCATCGACAAAAGTGCTGGTATTGTAAGTTCCCTACCTATCTACATTAATATTGTAATATTGAAGCATCCGAATATGGCCAGTGTAGTTTGAAACCTAAATGTCCAATAATTCATATCATTGGAAAGTACAAACCCTGACGGTGATAGACATATAACATTTATGTCGAAGAACACATTCACTGAGAAATTTCCGTGAGTTATATTTACCGGTAAAAAATCATGATTTAGTTTGGGTATGTAATATCAAAGAAACTATCAAATATATTATATGCATAGTGTTCACTTAACAAAGCTATACAGGTAAACATGGCTACTCACATCAATGTATGCCACAGTACATGGGCACATCAGGGCAGCAATATCAACGTTGTACACGGAGACAGTTGTCTTCTGAGGTGAACTCAGTTTAGATCATACCCTTTTCTGTTGACATCAGTCATAGAATCCATAATAACTAACACATGTAGCAATTCCCTTGACAAGGTCATCCTAAGCACAAAAATCGATATTTCCCCCCCAAATTCCAGTTGAAATTGATGCAATGCACCCTGTAGATGTCCTGGTATGCTCAATATTGGACTGTCTTCTGCAGTTGGCTGACATCCATTTTGTAATGGCAGGTAACTCTTGACTGTAACACCAAGGGCAGGTAACTCTGAATTGGAATATTAATTTGTCTTGGTTGAGGATGCAAATGTTCCAAGCTACCCACACTACTCAAGTTTTTTGTAGTCATAATTTTTCAGGAAGGTAAATTCCATGTTAGAGACAGGTAGTTTGGAAAGCATCTTCCAAAAGCAAGGGAGTTTACTGACTATAAAAGTCAGTTAACTCGCTTGCCTCGGGGAGATGCTTAGATCTTAGATATGCTCAAAACTGAAAAAAATATTATTAGATTTACATCATTGATTGAGGTTTGTTACTAAATGGTAGCATCTATATTTGTTTCAAGTACTCTACTGTATAGTAATACACTGAAATAAGTTAAAGGATAGAATAAGAGAAATCGATCAACCTAAGTAAATGCTGAAATAAAAACAAAGCATAAAAATGGTGTTGGATGTACCCATGGTTCCTCCGACGTCCCAGTGAGAACCCACCTGGAAGTAATTAGTGTGGGATCTCCATCTTGCAAACACCTAATCTCACTGGGATGAAACCTCCAGAGGCTTTTGACAGCCCACTGACATTTCCCTATGCTAACTGGACCAGACAAACCAGTGACTGACGAGCTCCTCATTCATGGCATACCGAGGACTTCCTGTTCCCCAGCCATTGACACACAGTTAGTGAATTTGTGAGTTGGGTTTAACACCACTTTTAACAGTAATCCAGTTATATCACGGCATATCAGCTTAATGTGGGAGGAAAGCCCAAAGTGATGCAGGTCTCGGACGTTTACTTGTATGGTGCTGACAAACCTAGAAACATAAATGGGGCGAACCGGGATTTGAACCCACAATCATTGGATTCTGGCGTGCCCAAGGGATGCAACTCTGCACAGCAAATCGCAGCACCTTAGACGACTGGGCCACCCGTGCCCCCCATTGACACACAGAAACATTGTCACTGTCTTGGTTGTAATATCTAATCATTCAGAAACAAAGTAATTGATATATTATCCTGATCGTTGATGATTATTAGTCTTACGGAAAACTGTATCATTAGTTAAATTCAGGACTTTAAGTGAGTGAGTAAGGAAAGCCCGAAGTGATGTTTACCACTTTGGTTAAAACCAAAAGCAAATAGGTATGGTGCTGACAAACCTAGAAACATATTCTGAGAAAAACGTGGGTTCAAACCCACAATCATAGGTTTCTGTCAAGCCCAAGGGACTCAACGCTGCATAGCGAATTGCAGAGCTTAAGACGACAAGGCCACCCATGCCCTCCTGTAGGAATGTGACTTTTGCAGACTGTTCCTAGACTTGCATCACTGATTGCCCGCCTTTCTTGGCCAAGAGGGATTGAAGTATCCCAGGAAAGATGGATGTATCCCTGCTGTTGATATGTCTCATGAAACTTTGGTGATGTTAGGAGAAATGAGATCTCATTTGGTTGAATTGAGTGAATTAGAATGAAATTGATTTCTCTTAAAGTTAAAGCCAGATGTAAAGGGAGGTTATTAAAGTTGTTTGATTGGTTGGTTTGTTGTTTAACGCCGCCCTCAGCAATATTCCAGCTATATGACGGTGTTCTGTATATAATCAAGTCTGGACCAGACAATCCAGTGATTGATATCATGAGCATCTATGACATGCATCAACCAAGTCAGCGAGTCTGACCACCCGATCCCGTTAGTCGCCTCTTACGACAAGCATACCGGGGGGTCGTCTTATACGTCTTATACGTGGGGTCGCCTTATACACAGCGATATACGGTAGTCGCCTTTTACGGCAAGCATGGGTTGCTGAAGACCTATTCTACCCAAGATGTTCACAGGTTGGTTATTAAAGGTAGAGGGTGCTCCTGGATGGGGCATACATAGGAATTGTGAAGCCCAGGTAGTTCAATCTCTCCTGTGGTGTCTACTTATGTTTATGTCCTGTGCATTGTCATTATGATCATTTTCTGTGGTCATGTGTTGGCAATCTTGCTGCAAGACATATGTCACCATGATGAAAACAGTTCTGAGCTACAAAGCATGAATGGTACCTGGTACACACATGTATCTTACATGAAGATGTTCAGTGTTGGTAACTGGCGTAGTTCTGAACTGAAATGGTTCAAGGTTTGGGACGTGACTAAGTACATTTCAGTGCAGATTATGATAATTGCCTTGGTGAATGCCACGGAGTAAGACACATTGTTTTTTTGTTTATAACTGGCTTGACGAGGTTCTGGAAGATAAGCCACACACAGAAAACCTGGCGGTCAACACTGACTAATACCATCTCATTACTGTTATGAGGGGAAAATGAATTCCATACAATCTCCTTCAAGTTCTTTACATTAATGTGATCATGAACAACATAACACTTCTCTGGTGAAAAAACTTTTTATATATCAATGTAGGTAAATATGAATGTATATATATTCTCATATACCCTTGTAAGTAAATTGTGTATTCAAAAATTGGAGCACATGGCATATTCAGATTGTGAACAGTGAACACATTGCATATACAGATAGTGAACAGTGAACACAGTTGTCAGGGCATTCATTTGTCAGGACACTCATTGGTCAGAGTGCTCATTGGTCAGAGTGCTCATTGGTTAGGGTGCTCATTGGTCAAGGCACTCATTGGTCAGAGCGCTCATTGGTCAGAGCGCTGATTGTTCAGAGTGCTGATTGTTCAGAGCGCTCATTGTTCAGAGCGCTCCCTGTTCAGAGCGCTCAATGTTCAGAGCGCTCAATGTTCAGAGCGCTCAATGTTCAGAGCACACATTGTTGGGCCACCGTGCCGTATTCACAAGTGATTGAGGAACGTAGTGTATATAAATTAAAGCATTGACAATGTGTTCATATATGCAACAGAATTAATTAAGCTGACATTCAAGACACTGACTGCTCTCAAACATGTAAAACACTTTCCAGGCATTTTGACAAAACAGTCAACAATGTGCAACATTATTTCAGTGTTTCTAATGCCTAAAATGGCATTACCATGGTTTACACATGTACACATTACCTTATTAAAAGGTAAGATAGAACATAACAGCTGCAAAAATATGAATATTTGCAAAGACAATTTGACACCAGTTAAGAACATGAACAATGTGAAACTTTATGCAGTAATTGAATTGTTACGTATATCACTCTTGTAGATCCTGCAGGGTACACTGGTGTGTGGTACATTTACATTGCTACAAGATCTGAAATCATAGTAATGAGAGTCTTAATATTAACACCAAATGTGACCCTCATTTTGTTGTGTTTTGTGAGCATTTTAGATATTGTCAGATTGAGGATCAGTCTACTATATGAACGACCTGTGAAGAATGATTCCTAAACATGAACATAGTGTAAATGTATATTGACTTTGATATCATTTTGATTATAAATGTGTTTGTGTATTGTTCAAGACCGGCCTATTTCATAGGCGGATCCAGACAGAGAGAGAGAGTGTGTGTTCGTGCCTGCGTACGTGCGTGTGTGCGTGCTTGCGTGCTTGCTTGCGTGCGTGCGTGCGTGCGTGTGTGTTGTAGGAAGTAAACTTGACTGAGAGAGGATTTTGATATTTGGACCCTTCCCTTTTAAAAATGCTGGATCCGCCCTAGTACTTTGTGGTGGAAAAGAATCACATAATATTAAACACAGCTTAAGTGCTTCAGTGTAGTGAGTTTTCAGGTTATGTGCTGATGTCAGCAATATTATAACAGCATCACCACAAGGGCTTCACACACACACAATGATAGTGGGCAGTCAAACCTGCATCTCAGCATGAGTGTATTCGCAAAGCACCAGGTTGCCCCAGGTCTCCACAGTGGTAAGTTACATTCCATCAGGAATGTTTTATCAAACACAAGTATATAAGTTGATGAGATTGTCACCCAGCATTACTGCTACCTAAAGTGTCAACATCACCAGAAGCACATGTGACTCCTTACTCTCTAACATCTGACCATATATCATAGATCTATGTGTAAAATATATCAAGGCTGCAAAAAAGCTATTGGATCCAAAGTTATATAATTGCATTGAAGAGAAAAAGGCTCCCAAGGGAGATAACTCTTCAAGCATACAGTTTGCAAGTTAAAACTGCAAAGTGAGCAGAGGTGAGGTGAAGTGAAATGGGGTTTAACATTGCGCTCAGTCATATAGCGACATGCATGTGTGTGTTTGTCTGTATGGCTGCTTGTACTATCTTGTGGATAAAACAAGGACCAGTCGATTCGGAGTCAGTACATTGTGTCTACGTGAGGTATCAATGTTTAACTGCAGCATGGTATCTCAGTGGGCTCTCACTATAAAACTGCCATTCGTCCAGTCTAGCACAAGGGTGTACACACGCAGGCACGCACGCACACACACACAGGGTCACTATATAAATGCAATAATTTTGAACGCAACCTTAAACCTCATTTCACCTCTCCTTATGATGGAGAAAACACTAAAGCAGCAGTCCATCTTATAGAAAATCCAATAAGAACTTGTTACATAGCTGACAGATCACGGATCAACTGGGACAAATCTGGTATTGAAACCCTTAATCAGGAGATCCTGATATTACTAATAAAAGACAGTAATTTGTGGCAGATCAACACACCCTCGCCCTCACCCAAACCCCCACCCTCAACCCCAACCCTCACTCAAACCCCCACCCTCAACCCCACTCCCACCCCCATGTACAAACAGCAACAAATAACACGACATTAACATAGCAGTATTTTTCAACACTGACAAATAGGAAATAGGTTTTCATAACATTAACTGACAAAATTTCTTATAAATATAATTGACAGAAAGAAAAACTGTTGTATTGCCTTAAATTGTTAACTTATGTTTAAAAAAACAGTTTGGTAAACATGAACACAATAATGAAGTAAGTATGGTGGATTGTTTACACTTTTGTATATATAAATCCATGAAAAATGAGCAAATGAGATGTTTCAGTTGACCATCCAACTGAGCCGGTCTTGTCTTATCACAAAGCTTGAAACCCTGGAAGGGCAGAAAATGCCTCGCCATCTAAAAAATAAACAGTAGGTTGGTGAATGAGTGAATGTATTTTAATGCCATTCAACAATATCCTAGTGTGGATATATAAATCAAGTTGGGACCAGACAAGACATCTGAAGTCACAGGGCTGAGTAGGCTTACTTACATTTTATAGAAAATGTCCATAAAAGGGATTTAACCTGGGGCAAGTTAGCAGTCCCAGGATGTTTGAGTCACACCACCTTGTTTAATATCTCTAAGGGATATCGCTACAGTGGAATTGCATCACAGTGCTTTACAAACCATTGTGATGTCATCAGATACCATAAAGTCACAATCAAACTACATCACCAATCTCTCCCATTGAAGCTGGTTAGCTGTACCTGTTACACTGAAGACACAGGTTATTACAGTACCTGTTACACTGAAGACACAGGTTATTACAGTACCTGTTACACTGAAGACACAGGTTATTACAGTACCTATTACACTGAAGACACAGGTTATTGCAGTACCTGTTACACTGAAGACACAGGTTATTACAGTACCTGTTACACTGAAGACACAGGTTATTACAGTACCTGTTACACTGAAGACACAGGTTATTACAGTACCTGTTACACTGAAGACAGGCTATTACAGTACCTGTTACACTGAAGACACAGGTTATTACAGTATCTGTTACACTGAAGACACAGGTTATTACAGTATCTGTTACACTGAAGACACAGGTTATTACAGTACGTGTTACACTGAAGACACAGGTTATTACAGTACCTGTTACACTGAAGACACAGGTTATTACAGTACCTGTTACACTGAAGACACAGGTTATTACAGTATCTGTTACACTGAAGACACAGGTTATTACAGTACGTGTTACACTGAAGACACAGGTTATTACAGTACCTGTTACACTGAAGACACAGGTTATTACAGTACCTGTTACACTGAAGACACAGGTTATTACAGTACCTGTTACACTGAAGTCAGTTTATTACAGTATTTTAACTGAACAAGTTGAAAGAATGATGATCACTGTGGTCTGCAAAGCATTCTGATGCAATTTCGTTTCAGCAATTCCTCCAAGGAGATATAACTTGAGCTCACCCAAATGATATCTTCTGTGGAAGCCAATCTTGAAAGACAAATGCCCTTCTTAGGGGCCGAGCTAATACTATTCAGGAGGCGGACAGAATTATTGTTATAGATCAATCACTGCTTGACTGTGTTTTTCTCTGACAAAGTCCAAAGTTACAAAATAAAAATCTTTGCTCCCCTCTCCCCTCCTGAATATCCAATGATTGGTCCTTTATTGGAAACATGAAACATCAATACTCACTGAGCTGGTCATCGGACACGCTGAACCTACTGTCGGAGGTAATGACCTTCGCCTCTGCAGCCCAAGAAGGTGCCATCCAAGTCTGCCACTGGTGGTGATCAAAGAGTAATATTGTGAGACATTAAAGAATCTAGCTATCTGATTGGCTGGTAGTATTCTTGGTAAATGTTTTAGAATTCGGCTGGGAAGTCTATACGGATATCATAATGTAACACTTGTCATACCATAACTGATGCGTTCATGCTTTGTGTTACCATATTTTGCGTCCAATGCCTGTCACAAAATGGATAAAATTGTCACACACAAACATGACCGTGGAAATATGTAGACAAACTGTCTTGGCCTTGTCAAATGAAAAAAATGTTTTCATTCTTTTCAACATTTTGTTGACACCTTGTTGACACCCCTTGTTATTTGGACCTACCTTGTCCTCACCTTGTTTTACACATGTCATTTTGACATAGAAGGACTTGGGAGTTGTTTTACCCTTGCCATTTTGACATAGAAGGACTTGGGAGTTGTTTTACCCTTGCCATTTTGACATAGAATGACTTAGGAGTTGTTTTACCCTTGCCATTTTGACATAGAATGACTTAGGAGTTGTTTTACCCTTGTCATTTTGACATAGAAGGACTTGGGAGTTGTTTTACCCTTGTCATTTTGACATAGAAGGACTTGGGAGTTGTTTTACCCTTGCCATTTTGACATAGAAGGACTTGGGAGTTGTTTTACCCTTGCCATTTTGACATAGAATGACTTAGGAGTTGTTTTACCCTTGCCATTTTGACATAGAAGGACTTGGGAGTTGTTTTACCCTTGTCATCTTGACATAGAAGGACTTGGGAGTTGTTTTACCCTTGTCATCTTGACATAGAAGGACTTGGGAGTTGTTTTACCCTTGTCATTTTGACATAGAAGGACTTGGGAGTTGTTTTACCCTTGCCATTTTGACATAGAAGGACTTGGGAGTTGTTTTACCCTTGCCATTTTGACATAGAAGGACTTGGGAGTTGTTTTACCCTTGTCATCTTGACATAGAAGGACTTGGGAGTTGTTTTACCCTTGCCATTTTGACATAGAATGACTTAGGAGTTGTTTTACCCTTGCCATTTTGACATAGAAGGACTTGGGAGTTGTTTTACCCTTGTCATCTTGACATAGAAGGACTTGGGAGTTGTTTTACCCTTGCCATTTTGACATAGAATGACTTAGGAGTTGTTTTACCCTTGCCATTTTGACATAGAAGGACTTGGGAGTTGTTTTACCCTTGCCATTTTGACATAGAATGACTTAGGAGTTGTTTTACCCTTGTCATTTTGACATAGAAGGACTTGGGAGTTGTTTTACCCTTGTCATCTTGACATAGAAAGACTTGGGAGTTGTTTTACCCTTGCCATTTTGATTTGTAGTTTGGACATATATTCTAGAAGTGCCATATATTTTATACGGTTATGTGCAAGAAAAGGACTTATGAAAAGGACACATGTATTTTCTTGTCAGTATGCAAATGAAGACAACACCATGTGTATATACTGAAAACAACTGGAGAAACTGATCAAAAATTGTATTTAGACACAAGTCCATTTTTAATGTAAATTATTTCTATTTTGACATCAGGTGGCTTTCACTTTTAACCAATAGTTTTCAAAATAATCAATTTCACTTTTGTTTTATTAGTCTACACTTTCAGCTGTTACTGATTTCATTCAACATTTTAATAAACCTTTATATTAAGAAAGCAAATACTCTCCTAAACTATCATTCATTGTAGGTTGTAACTAAAATGTCAGTTACTGACTTTGTTGAATGAAAAGCTGGGTTTGGAACAGAACACTGGTTTGGTAGTCAAAACAAGTTGATCTGATTTAAAAAGTGTCGTAACAAGATGTGATCTGGGTCAATACAAAGCCATGACAAGGCCAAAACAATGCCATGACTAAATTCTAATATTATGACATTTAAACAAATTGTATGATAACTGTACAATAGAAACAAAGAAATATTTAATGCATCTGCATTTAAAGAAATTTAAGAAATTATTTGTTGAATGGCCTTGACCTTGGCAAGGATGTTTGCAGTTGTTGAAAAATTGATTCCCTATATAAATTATCAGAGTTGGTCAAACTACTGCCGAACAACTGTCGAAAAACTGTCTATCAACTTTGAACAACTGTCGAACAACTGTAAAACATCTTTGAACAACTGCCGAACAACTGTCGAACAACTTTGTTCTCAAGGTGTACAAGCGCATTCAGCTCGTAAAATGCAGTACACCCTCTAGTGACACAAAGAACTCTGGTGATACAAGAATCTATTCCATACTTATGTATGTGTATATCATATATATGCATTATATACTTCTACAGTAAACTCCACTCACTTTAGTGTTTCTCTTGGGGAGCAGGCACGGTACTGGGTGGTTGATTCTCACTATAGAGTTGTTGCTCAGGGTGATTATGATCTCAAGGCCATACCTACACTGAAAGAAGACATGACATACAGAAAACTGTGGAGGACTGTTATACCCCTGACAATTCAGACAGTTCCAGAGGACTATCTATGCAACTCAGCCTAACAATCTAATTTCTAATCAACTATTGACTACGTGTATCTAGCCAGAGTCACCTCATCTGCCACCTGGACATCAATATAGGTACAACTGACCATGCACAGGGAACACCTGACACACATCAGAGCTCCAGATAAGCTTTTGGTGCTGTGGGTATTTTACCCATGCATTTTAAAATCATTGGGTATCAGTAATTCTATCTGCGTATTCAAATTTCTGTTACCCACTAGTTTTTACACATGTGGGTATTTAAGTTAAATATTTAAAAACACTATTCCTCTAGTCCCTGCAAACTGGTGTCGTGTGGGTTCGAGAGCTTTATAGGACTCAAAAATACCACGATACTTCCACAAGAAAGTGTGATGGCAAATGATCATGATGTAACTGTCATCGTGGAGTTTGGCAAGGTTGACAGAATGCCCCTTTATAATTTAAATATAAGTTGCTGATTTGCTAATCGAATACGCAGGGTTACTTCACAATATTTTGATGATACGCACAAGTTTTATTTTTGTAGCGTATCTGTAATGTTCGTTGCGTATTTGATACGCTTGGATTATATTTTACTGTGTATTTCTGCATTTCTGATGCGTATTTCACGCAGATACGCAGCTTATCTGGAGCTCTGCACATACACCAGGTACATACACCTGACACACATACACCTGGTACATACACCTGACACACATACACCAGGTACATACACCTGACACACATACACCAGGTACATACACCAAGTACATACACCAGGTACATACACCAAGTACATATACCTAACACACATACACCTGACACACATACACCAGGTACATACACCTGACACACATACACCAGGTACATACACCTGACACACATACACCAGGTACATACACCTGACACACATATACCAGGTACATACACCAGGGACATACACCTGACCATGCACGGGGTACACCTGACACACATACACCAGGTACATACACCTGACCCATCTTCTCGAGGCAAGAGAGTTAACTGACTTTAAAAGTCCATTTTCCACCCTTGCCGAACTAGGCTGGAATTCCTGGGCTCGATCAGAACGCCACCAGTGGTTATTAAGAGTTATGTCCCTTCTAAACCTCTCCCATTGACCAATCAGATTCCACCTCTCGTATCACTTGCATTTGATTCAAACTAAATGGCCGCGCCCAGTCAAGGCGATCTGATTGATAATCAAGATCTATATTGTGTTAAAATGGGTCTTACAGCGCAAAGTGCATCAAATCACATGAGCACCTTGATTAAAATCATGAAAAGATTTGGAAAATATCTGTTAACAACAAGTTGGCGGTGCACATGCTTTGCAAATCCTGCAATCGATCAAAATCAGCATGACAGTTTACAACAAACCGGATTTTGATTTCGTTGCGCGAATTTGAGTGGACTATGCATAGACTTGTTAGCACAGCCAAAATGTAACTCCATAATACCAGCCTAGTTTGGCAAGGGTGAAAACTGAAGTTTTATAGTCAGTTAACAACTCTCTTGCCTCAGGTACATATACCTGACACACATACACCTGACACACATACACCTGACACACATACACCTGACACACATACACCAGGTACATACACCTGACCATGCGTGGGGTACACCTGACACACATACACCTGACACACATACACCAGGTACATACACCTGACACACATATACTAGGTGCATACACCTGGGACATACACCTGACCATGCACGGGGTACACCTGACACACATACACCAGGTACATACACCTGACACACATATACCAGGTACATACACCTGGGACATACACCTGACCATCAAGGTAGGTACACCTGACCATCCAGGTAGGTACACATGACCTTCCAGGTAGGTATTCATGACCATCCAGGTAGTTACACCTGACCATCCAGGTAGGTACACCTGACCATCCAGGTAGGTACACCTGACCATCCAGGTGGTAACACCTGACCATCCAGGTAGGTACACCTGACCATCCAGGTAGGTACACCTGACCATACAGGTAGGTACACATGACCATCCAGGTAGGTACACCTGACCATCCAGGTAGGTACACCTGACCATCCAGGTAGATTCACCTGACCATCGAGGTAAGTACACCTGACATTCCAGGTAGGTACGCCTGACCATCCAGGTAGGTACGCCTGACCATCCAGGTAGGTACGCCTGACCATCCAGGTAGGTACACCTGACCATCCAGGTAGATTCACCTGACCATCCAGGTAGGTACACCTGACCATCCAGGTAGGTACGCCTGACCATCCAGGTAGGTACACCTCACCATCCAGGTAGGTACACATGACCATCCAGGTAGGTACGCCTGACCATCCACGTAGGTACACATGACCATCCAGGTAGGTACGCCTGACCATCCATGTAGGTACACCTGACCATCCACGTAGGTATGCCTGACCATCAAGCTATGCATGACTGACTTGACACCACACCTACCTCTATGTGCTGCCCCTTGATGGAGGGAGGTAGATCTTGCCCATCTTTAGATTTAAGTGGTATCAAAATGTTATCAAGGACTCTGAAAGAAAAAGGTAAACCGATATTAAATGGTTTTTTCATAATGAACGCTTTGAGACATAAAGCTAACAAGTACTTGTTTACTCATGTTTATCACCGTGAATGAGTGAGGTTTTACTATGCTTTTAGCATGTTTGTTTGTTTGTTTGTTTGTCGTTTAACTCCGCACTCAGCAATATTCCAGCTATATGACGGCGGTCTGTAAATAATCGAAGCTGGAGCATCGAGCCATGCAACTGGGATATGATGACATGTATCAACCAAGTCAGAGAGCCTGACCACCAGCTTCCATTAGTCACCTCTGACGACAAGCGGGGGAATGGGTGGCCCCGTTGTCTAAGGCGCCACACTTCACACTACAGAGTTGCGTCCCTTTGACTTAACCCATCACGATCCAGGTTAGAATAGGTCTTCAGCAACCCATGCCTGCCGTAACAGGCACCTATGCTTGTCGTAAGAGGCGACTATAGGCATCGGGTGGTCAGACTCACTGACTTGGTTGATGCATATCATCATATCCCAATTGCATAGATCAACGTTCATGACGTCAATGACAAGACTGTCTGGTCCAGACGCGATTATTTTTAGACCACCTTCATATAGTTGGTATATTGCAGGGTGCGGTGTTAAAAATGAACAAACAAAATCATACCTGTCTGTCTTAAGATCTGATAACTCTCCTATAGGAGTTGTCCTCTATATATCCAGGGCTAGCAATTCGGTTAACCAACACTATCCACATTCAGAGCGGCATATCTGATTTCTATATCCCAAAAACACAAACAGGTAAAAGCTAAAAAGGCTGCACTATATACAGTGATTATTTTGTAAACCCTGTGATTTCTGACTGTCTTCTACACCAAAAAGAGTGTACTGTCAAGGGAACATTGTGTTTTGGGAGTTCTTTCGTTTGCTAAGATTGAATTATCTATCAAATTGGTCAAGAAAAATGACACTGAAGTTTAGAAATTTTCAGATATTAATGAGCTGACATCTGACTGGCTCAGGACACACATCCATCATTTTGAATGGGCGTTTAAAGTTGGTTAAAGGGCAAGTTCACACGGAAATGAACCAATTTTTCTTGTACTTTTTCCACATTAAAAGTGTTAACATAGAAGTGTCATAGACAAAAATATAAAAACATCATATTTAATTAACATATTTTTTGCATTAAAACGATTTATATTTTTCACATTTACCAAGTGTTCTATTTCCATAACAAAAACACCATGGCTTATGCCCCTTGCAATATGACGTCATTGGTGACAATTGATAAACATTATGACGTCATCATGCTTTGTTAGAGCCGCTTCACGTGGTGTAGGTACAGTTTTGTGATTCTAGCGTCTCAGATGCCAGTCAGAATTGTGTAATGCTGAGTCACCACTGCGCCGGAGTGTGTCGTAGACCATGTTGTTTTACCGCAAACTGGTCCTTGATATCTTTTGCGTTGAGAATAGACAGGGACCCAGTTGAATTGGCACCAATTACGTCATAATCTAAGGGGGATAACTCAGGCCTATTTCGCTCGTAAAACGAAGGCCTCATAACGACATATCATTTTAACACTATTGTGAGCTTCCTACTTTCACTGTGAAAAAAAATGAGCGTATATTTTCAAACACAGATACTAACTAATTCTAAAATTGCGTTTTGTTTAGAAAAAGAAAGAAAGTGATTTTTGCGTGTACACTTCCCCTTTAAGTGTCACCTTACGTGACTTCCAATGGAGGGTGTTTCAGATCTTCACACAGAGATGTAGCAGATCAGTCATATATCTGACCATGATGAGATTGTAGCTTATTGTGTGCAACAGGCAGACTGTCTGTGTCACTCGCCACATCAGAAAAGTCTCCTTAAACCTAGGCAACCCAGTGACCAACTTCATATAAAAATCACCTGGTGAGAACTGATGGATCCATCCCTGACGAATTCCCTCCTGTTTCCATGACAACCAGAGGCCCCCCTTCTGGTTGAATGTACGTCTTCTGCTGCATTCGTCGGATTCTGGGTGACAGTTTCTCCAGTGGAACATCTTTCTTGCAGATGAAGAGGATATCTCTCAGCAGCTGCGGATGCAAAACCACCCTCACCAGTTAAGTATACCCAAGTCATGAAGCAACTGTGAGTCATGGTCTATCACTAAATTCATAAGGCGAGAAGAAGCTACTGTTAGAGAAACATAAATACCACGTGAAACAGGGAGGTGAGGTGAGGTGAGATGGGGTTTAACATTGCGATTATTGCACTTATATAGCAACGTGCATGTACATGTGTGTGTGTGTGGGGGGGGGGCTGCTTGTACTAGTCCGGACTGATGTTGATTTATAGTGCTCGCCCACTGAGATACCATGCCGCAGTTTAACCTGAATACCCCATTCAGACACAGTATACCGACTCCGAGCCAACTAGTCCTTGTTTTAGCCCCTTAATGCTGAGCGCCAGACAGGGTAACAACAAGTACCATCTTTTAACGTCTTTTGTATAACGTGTCAAGGGATCAAACCCCCAACCTTCCGCTCTCCGAACGCTCTACCACTAGACCACGGATGTGTCAACTTGATGTTGGAGGAAAGTGAATACTGGTCGTAGACATTTACCACCATGAAAGATACTCATGCGAATCTAGAATTTGAACACAGTATCATAGGTTTCTGGCACACCTAAGGGACACAACTCTGCACAACAACTGCAGAGCCTTAGACCATTTAGCCATCTGTCCCCCCAACAAAGAATGGGCAATTGTAAAGACCTGGATCAGGTTATTATTAATGAACACTGTATCTACTCAGCTACCCCCAAGCAATGGAATGTAAAAGAACACTGACTCATTTGTGCTTTTAGAAAGTTGTTCTTTACGGCTTTTAGAAGGTGATCCTTACGGCTTATCTGATGATCCTACCAAGAATGTAGGGCTTGGACAAGTAACTCGAGTACCCGGGTCGGGTGTGTACTGAGTAGGACCCGGTACCCACAGGACTACCTGCACCCGTGGTAAGTCACGTGATATATTGTTTAATGACAAAAATTATCTAGAACTCTATGGTAACACTACAAGTCACTAATGTTCCCATTTCTTTCTGACTGTGCACCCATTCCTTCCGATTTTTCATATGGTTGAATAAAGATATAATTGAATTCAACTTCAGTGTATGAATGACCAGATTATTTTAATACACATATCTAAAAACGTTTTGCCAGGTCTATGCTAAAAATGTTCCCAATCGGACATTTTGAGACATCTCCTGAGACCTACAGTGGGTACCCGGGTAGGGTCGGGTAATAGGGAAGTGGGTACCTGGGTAGTAAATTTGGACTAGTCCCAGCCCCACAAGAAAGGTTCAACAAACATGACTCAATTTAGTAATCGGATATTCCTTGTTAAGATTGATTTATTGATTGTTTGTAGCTAAAGCCTCACTCAGCAATGTTCCAGCTGAATGACAGTGGTTTGTAAATAATTGAGTCTGGACATCATGAGCATCAATTGAGATACGATGACATGCATCAACCAAGTCACCGAGCCACACCACCCAATCCCGTTAGTCGCCTTTTATGACAAGCATGGGATGCTGAAGACCTTCATCTCATCCAACACCTACCTTGATCTTGAATGCGCTGATTGTTGTGGATGTTTCGTTAGTGATGATCATCCGTAGCTTCATCTTGTCTCCTGATACTGGGTGTGTGTCCACTAGTCTACAGGTACAGAGGGAATTTGGGGTAAACTCTAAACAGTATTTCAGTTATATGTTCTGCTTATGCTGTGAAGAAAACCCAGCGTGTTGCAGGTCATAAACATCGGCCAGTATGTTAAAACCCAAAGACAGGTTTGGTTCTGACAAACCACAATTATAATTGAATTAATTTTGGATCCTGGCATCTACAAGGGCTACAACTCTGCACAGTGCATTGTCTGAGACCATGTGCCCAACATGGGTGTGGAAATGAGTAACAAGATTCCATCTACTCATTCACACTACAGCATGCTACATATGCACACATCTACTGACCAACTATTAAAATTAAATTGCACACCACAGACACAAACCGTTTTTAGCTTTCCAATTTCTTCATATATAAGAAAACACGAACCCAGAACTGTCATGTTAAATCATGATGGTTCTGAGTGAAAGACCAAGGTTGCATCAGCTCCCATGAGTGAGTAGGCTGGGTCTAACACTGCATTGAACACTACTTCAGTTATATCATAGCTTGTCGTCTTTATGTAGGACGAAAGCCCAAAGTGATTCGGATTTGAGATGTTTACCATTTTGGTGAAATCCATGAGCACAGGAATGGCGCTAGCAAACCAAGAATCTTAATGATGGTGAATCTTGAATTCAAATTCACAATGGAAGGATTCTGACATACCTAAGGGAGGTAAGTCTGCACAGCACCTTAGATGACCAGACCACCTAGTCTGTCTCACAGTCCCTGAACCACCTAATTTTCCTTTCTGCCCATCTCTTACATAATTGCTGCAGTCCTAAACGAAGCAAGGCTAGATTGTCCACAGGTTCTGAATCTCCAATCTCACTTGACCTCCTCTATATAAACAGAGTTGTTAACATCTATCTGTATTTTCAGAGGCTAAGCGTTGCTCTACCCAACACTATCCTATCATAACCACCTACCTACACTGATCTAAACTTGCTAACTCACCTTACAAGAAAATGGATAGACTTGCGAAATGGGAATTTACGGATGACATAATCCAGTTCTGTTGTTTTGTTTGCTTCTTCTCCCTTCAGCTTCATCTGTACAACAATGCCCTGTGTTGCCTGCAAGGGTCAAGGTCGACTGTCAAAGTATGCTGTGTCCCCATAGTAAACGTTCTTATCCATTATTCCGAGTAAGAGCTTTGAACACTATTTCAATTTTATCACAACATGTCATATTGATGTGGGAGGAAAGCCCAAACTGACACTCTACCACTAGACCATGGAGGCGGCCAGTGAGTTGTGGTGCCTTAGACGATTGGGCCACCCATGCCTCTACATCAGTTAGAGATATTAATAAGGAGACAGGAATTATGTGATCAACAATGGCTGATGCAGCTTACCTTTATGAAGAAGATTTGTTCAAATAAAAGTGTAAGTCAACAAGGGCTATCGAATGTGTATGTCAACTACAAAATACAAGTCCCAACTGAACACCGCTTACAGTCAGGTCAGAATCCGTGACAGAGGCTTGAATCCAGTAGTCCACCATACACGTCCATGTTGCATCACTCTCACTCTGTGCACTGAAGGTCCCTGGAACAAGAACCATTCATCATCTACTGAAGTGAGAAGATAAGGTTTGGTTTGTTTGTTGTTTAACGCCGCACTCAGCAATATTCCAGCTATATGACGGCGGTCTGTAAAATAATCGAGTCTGGACCAGACAATCCAGTGATTGACATCACGAGCATCGATCCACGCAATTGGGATCGATGACATGCATCAACCAAGTCAGCGAGCCTGACAACCCGATCCCGTTAGCCGCCTTCTACGACAAGCATAGTCTCCTATTACGGCAAGCATGGGTTGCTGAAGACCTACTTTACCCCGGATCTTCACGGATCGAGAAGATAAGGGAACACACTGAAGAAGAGTGAGCTAAAAGTAAAGTCATGGCGGCAGTATTCAAGCCATACTGTGACTAGAAAAGTATATTCATTTAAAAATCTGTGGAGAAAGGACAGTAAAATACCTAGAAACATATCACAGATTTGTAGGAGAACATTAATAAAGCAGTACTATAAAACACAAAATATACTTTAGGCTATAGATCAACAGCATCCATGTTAGGCTACCAAACTAGGATCCATGGGAACTTTTAGTACATCTGCTAACTGAATGGCATTGCACCTGCTTTACTCCATCCCTTAAGTTGCAGGCAATCGTCGGCAAGTTTAGATGGTAAAAAGAAATCAAGATAAAAAGTACCACAATTAAAACCTACGTAGACATGAACATACTTTGAATGATGTGATTCCCATTGCAAAAATAACATTTATGTTGTGAAATCATAATAAGCCACAAAGTGAACTGTTCGTAGATGGTGACCTCATTATGACAAACTGTTTGTAGATGATGTGTTCATATTGCCAAACAATCTGCTTGTCTGCAGGGTGTATTTGTAACCTTACACCTCCCTTTGTGAGGCCTAAAAGAAATAATGTTGAGGTTCCAATTATACTAAGTTCAAAATAGGGTAGGTTGGCATCCTTTGCATAAAACATACTGCAACTATGTTGGATAACTACAGTAGTGTTGTGTGTTCTTTGTTTGCTCGAGAACAGCCAATACCACTGAAAAAAGGTTAAAGTCAGCACCTTACATTAGGGTTGGTTAGGTAATTCTCATTTTTGTAGGCCTTACTGTTTCCTTCATTTCTTCCCTCACTCACGCATAGTCTTTCTGTCAGATGAAAGGATTTAAGAATAAACACAAATACATCATTTAAACTCAAATTTTAAATAATAAAACTTACCTGGTAAAACCTTTGGAAGCTTCATCATAAAGGGAAAAGTGTAGCTGCCAATTGCAAATGGCTCTGAAAGAAAAATGAGATCATAATCTTTCGATGTTTGAGATGTTTAATACTGCAGCTCTGGGAATGCCAACATCGTGTACTACTGACAAACAATAAGGGAACTGATGAAACAATACTGAAGGTGTAATGACATAAATGTCTGTCAAATTATTTTGCGCATGTAGATCAATTCTGATGTGTCCTCAAAGTTGGGCACACATGCACGACATGTTAATGGCGTTCTGACGATAAACTTAGAGCTACCCCAAGTTCATCTTCCCGAGGCAAGAGAGTTAACTGACTATAAAAGTCCAGTTTCCGCCCTTGTGGAACTAGGCTGGTATTATGGAGTTATATTTCAGATTCCACCCCTCGTATCACTTGCATTTGCTTCAAACAAAATGGCGGTGTCCGGTCAAGACGATCTGATCGATAATCAAGATATATACATGTACTGTAAAAGGGCCTTACTTCACAACGTGCATCAAATCATTTGAGCACCTTGATTAAAAACATGGAAAGATGTGGAAAATATCTGTTGATGCTAAGTTGACGGTACACAGGCTTTCCAAATCATGCAATCGACCGAAAGCTGCATGACAGTTTACGATCAGATGTCAATTTCATTACGCGATTTGATTGGACTATGCATAGCCTCGTTAGTCCAGCCAAAATATAACTCCATAATTCCAGCCTAGTTCGGCAAGAGTGGAAACTTGTCTTTTACAGTCAGTTAACTTCCTTGTATCTGGAAGATGATTCAACATTTGTGTTATCAGAACAGAACAGAACAGAGCTTTATCATGCTCAGGCCAAGATCCTCGGCATATGAGGTACAAAATGACAGCAAAACACACATTATAATAGCGGATATGTGGTTTGTTGCCAATGCCAGACTAAAACAGACAACAGACATGGTACTCTTCGTTCTGACAGTTCATATAGCTTCAACCTACAATGTTCTGCTTAAATCACATGTGTGGTAAAATGTACAATGCTTGATGCATGCATACATATCAAAGGGAGACCCAGGTCTAGCTGTTGAAGTGAGTGTTAGTAGAGATATTGTCTCAATCTAGTTCAGATGATCATTTACTGAAATATCTGAATATATTGGCTAGCAGTCAAACAAAGTAGTGTCTGAATGACTTGAATTAAATTTGCCAGATGTAGTTCCTACCCTTTAACATTATAAAGTGAAGCAGTACCACTCAGGGTATACATGGTTTTATTAATCCCACATATATATATGGTCATATGCATCCCATGTATATGTGATTTTATGCATCCCACGTATATCAGATTTTATCCATCCCACGTATATGTGGTTTTATGCATACCACATATATGTGGTTTTATGCATCCCACGCATGTGTGGTTTTATGCATCCCGCGTATATGTGGTTTATGCATCCCATGTACATGTGATATTATGCATCCCACATATTTGTGATTTTATGCTTCCCACATATATGTGGTTTTATGTATTCCACATAAGGTTTTAAACCACTCACTGGAGGAGCACAACGAATTTATCTTACGGATAAATCTGCCATTGTAAAAGAATTCAAACTAATTGGAAACTGACAAAAGAAACAGCTGAGGTCGACTTGTGCTGTGTCACGCAACTTTCATTGACTCGAATATAACATGCACAACCTGTCTTCTTTGTGGCGGGGTATAAGGGATTTATTCTCCCATGCAGAAATCTATTTCATCAAGGTCACATGAACCAATCAGATCTCAACATTCTGACATGGAAGTAAGATAATGTGTTATATGTTAGAAACACCCTGCAGGGTGATATTGACTTAACACTCGAGGTACTACCAACAAGCATGATGTACTTTACAAAACCCTGACCCATTATGCTTACTCCCTTCTTATCTAAACTGAAACATCCAACCTCAGCATGTGCACATACAGGATAGATACAAAAGAAATGGACACAACACACTGTAGTCAGGCAATTGTGTGATGCCCTGAACCTCAGTCACGACATATAGGTCCGTTCAGATAACAGTATTTAGTGATCAGAACTAAATGCCTTTATGTCAGGCTTAGCACTGCTGCTGTTATTATTACAGCTTAATACCTTCATTGTGTGCGTCTACGTGCTGGTTTGAATGGTGCCATCATCTCTGGCCGAGATCCGCTCTTGGCACGTCAGGTATAGGAGCGTTTGTTTATATTTACTATGTCATCTTGTAGCGTGGCATCAGCTCACATGGCACTTGCTCTCCAGCTTTCAGCCATGCAACACATATTTTATATTCTTGCATTCATCTGTAGTTTGTTGCACCAACCCTGTTACTCGTTACTAGTTATTCAAGCTTTGCAGTTGTCGATTTAGTGGAACTTCACTGGAGCATTATGTTTGTATATGATGATGTCGTCATGAATAAAATGTTGCAGATGGGCAGGGTGCTGGTGGACTGCATTATAAGTTACATTTGGCATCTTGGGATTCATCCCGAATTATAAATTATATAGGATAGGCTTGCCCGCAGGAACCAATTTATCCATTCTGCTTTGGCTTCAGCAGATGGCTTAGTGTCAGCTTTGAAGCAGATGATCAGCTTGGCAACAATAGTTGCCCTCGCTCATTATTTGGCAATGGTACTAGCCTGGCAGCGCTAGCTGCATAGCAACATGGGTTGCTTGACAACGGGTAGTTGCAGGGCAGCAGTCGCTGCATTGGTAATCAACATGGGTTGCTTGACAACGGGTAGTTGCAGGGCAGCGGTCGCTGCATTGGTAATCAACATGGGTTGCTTGACAACGGTAGTTGCAGGGCAGCGGTCGCTGCATTGGTAATCAACATGGGTTGCTTGACAACGGTAGTTGCAGGGCAGCAGTCGCTGCATTGGTAATCAACATGGGTTGCTTGACAACGGTAGTTGCAGGGCAGCGGTTGCTGCATTGGGTGGGCTTAACAGGAGTTAAGCACATTTTCCGCATTCCACCAGTACCTCCACATCCGCGACCATTTCATCCAAATAATATCACTTGTCTCAATGTCAAGTTCCGCTATCATGCATGATAACTGAGAATGGCCTAATGGGGACATATCCTTATATAATAAATTTGTAAGAAGATAAAATTTGCCTCAGCAAGAATCTGTGATAGGAGAATATTACCAACATTCTAGAATATCTAGTGTATCTTCATTATGTGATATGTAATATTATCTAATATGTTCAATACTCTGGAGCCATTGGTATTAATACAATAGCTTTGTTTTATTTCCAAGTCCATGGTATATATTGTATTACATGATATTACATATTACATAATGGAGATGTAAGACACTAGATATTCTAGCATGATAATACTCCTATTGTGAGCATTGTTGTGCATTGTTGTGCGTTCCTATATTAGTGACCCATTATCTTCACCTGGCCCATTATATTCACATCATAGTCACATCAATAATTGTACCAATATTCACAAGTATTAACATCATTTTTCATATCAATATTCACATCAATATCTACATCAATATTCACCCCAATATTTGCATCAATATTCATACCAATATTTACAAATACTCACATTCACACCAATATTTACATCAATATCTACACCTATATTCACACCACTATTCACACCAGTATTCACACCAGTTGTCGCACCAATATTCACAAATACTCACATTCACACCAATATTCACAAATACTCGCATTCATACCAATATTTACACCAATATTCACAAATACTCACATTCACACCAATATTTACACCAATATTCACAAATACTCAAATTCACACCAATATTCACACCAATATTCCCAAATACTCACATTCACACCAATATTCAAACCAATATTCACAAATACTCACATTCACACCAATATTCACACCAATATTCACAAATACTCACATTCACACCAATATTAAAAAAATACTCACATTCACACCAATATTTACACCAATATTCACAAATACTCACATTCACACCAATATTTTCATCACTATTCAAAAGTATTCACGTCATTATTCACATCAATATTCACACCTACATGCACACCAATATTCACAAATACTCACATTCACCATGTTCACACAAATATCCACACCAATATTCACAAATACTCACATTAACACCAATGTTCACATGTGATTCACATCAATATTCACAACTACATGCACACAAACATTCACACATGCACAACAGTATCCAACAATAAGATGTGGAGCATTGATATGCAGGTACCTTCAGCAAATGAGCAGTAAAAGTCACGATAACACTTTCCCACAATTGTCCAGCTTGTTTATCTATTATTATACATGCCTACGTTACGTACAGTATGATTGCAGGGACACTGAGGCATGTCAGCATTGACTTGTTTGTGCAGGTTCATTTTCCTGTGTTAATAATTACCCCCAGATTGGCCTCCAAAGTATGCCTAGATGAGGTCTCTTATACATTGTTGCCAAATGGGTTTAAAGTTTCGAGGGCAGACTAATCAGATTTCCTTTAGATTCTTTACAAATCTAATAACCAAGTTAACTAGTCCCAATCAATCACAATCCCTGTGGTGATTCCAGGTTAGATATAGTCCCCAGTAGGGCTGATCCCCAGTAGGGCTGGTCCCCAGTAGGACTGATCCTCAGTAGGGTGGGTCCCCAGTAGGACTGGTCCCAAGTAAGGCTGGTCCTCAGTAGGGCTGGTCCCCAGTAGGGCTGGTCCCCAGTAGGGCTGGTCCCTAGTAGGACTGGTCCCCAGTATGGCTGATTCCCAGTAGGGCTGGTCCCTAGTAGGGCTGGTCCCCAGTAGGGCTGGCACGAGTCCTAATTTACTTCCCAGGTACCCGACCCTACCCAGGTTACTGCTGTGGGTCTCAAGTTGGGTACAAAATGGCTGATTGAGAATTGTTTTACTGGAGCCCTGACAAAAACTACTTATATAGATACAGGTATAAAACTATCTGATAATGCATAAACTGAAGTTGACAGAAGTTACATCTTTACTCAAACGTCAGAAAGAAAGCATGCATAGTCAGAAATAAAAGCATCATTTAGCGACTTGTTGTGTAACCAAGGAGTTTGACTTATATCGTCATTAAACAAGTTATCACATGACTAACCATGGGTCCGGGTAGTCCTGTTGGTACCCATACCCGGGTCCCCGACCAGAGTACCTGGGATAGCCCAAGGCCCCAACAACCTGTGCTTGTTACATATTGAGGTGATTAAATGGTTGACTGTGTGTCCACATACCCCAATGGCATGGGGTGTTGCTCATGATATTAAACACTTTATTATTTACAGACTGGAATTTATAACTAGAATATGGATGGCTGATGTGTCAAACAACAGAAAAACAAACTTAAAATAAAATGTCCTTATGTTTCACAACATTGTACAATTTACTGACTGTTCATTATAGTTACTTGGATATTTGAGAGAGTGAGTAAGTGAGTTGGATTTAACGCCGCTTTTAACCGAACCGGGATTTGAACCCACAATCATAGGTTTCTGGCGTGCCCAGGGGACGCAACTTGCACAGCAAATCGCGGCACTTAGACGACTGGACTGGCCGTGCCCCCAGATATTTGAGAGAAATACTTTTACCCTGAAGCTTGAAATCAAAGACTTAGAGTGACTGAGTACCTGTGCTGCTGTAGAGATCCACGTTGTAGAAGTCGATGTAGTCCTTGGTTGCCTCCAGGGTGTTCTTGCCACCCTCCGACCGGTAGTCATAGTGAACTGGAACAACAACCAAACATTATATACTATTCAAAAGAAGTTAAACAACATCAGATTCTTTCATATATTTTATGTCGTGTAGTAATATGAAGGAATCGTGTGTTCAGGCCATGACAGATTAACTATAGAAATATGAAGGAATCGGGTGTTCATGCCATGACAGATTAACTATAGAAATATGAAGGAATCGGGTGTTCATGCCATGACAGATTAACTATAGAAGTATGAAGGAATCGGGTGTTCATGCCATGACAGATTAACTATAGAAATATGAAGGAATCGGGTGTTCATGCCATGACAGATTAACTATAGAAATATGAAGGAATCCGATGTTCATGCCATGACAGATTAACTATAGAAATATGAAGGAATCGGGTGTTTATGCCATGACAGATTAACTATAGAATTATGAAGGAATCGGGTGTTCATGCCATGTCAGATTAACTATAGAAATATGAAGGAATCGGGTGTTCATGCCATGACAGATTAACTATAGAAATATGAAGGAATCCGATGTTCATGCCATGACAGATTAACTATAGAAATATGAAGGAATCGGGTGTTCATGCCATGTCAGATTAACTATAGAAATATGAAGGAAGCGGGTGTTCATGCCATGACAGATTAACTATAGAAATATGAAGGAATCGGGTGTTCATGCCATGACAGATTAACTATAGAAATATGAAGGAATCGGATGTTCATGCCATGACAGATTAACTATAGAAATATGAAGGAATCGGGTGTTCATGCCATGTCAGATTAACTATAGAAATATGAAGGAGTCGGGTGTTCATGCCATGACAGATTAACTATAGAAATATGAAGGAATCCGATGTTCATGCCATGACAGATTAACTATAGAAATATGAAGGAATCGGGTGTTCATGCCATGACAGATTAACTATAGAAATATGAAGGAATCGGGTGTTCATGCCATGATAGATTAACTATAGAAATATGAAGGAATCCGATGTTCATGCCATGACAGATTAACTATAGAAATATGAAGGAATCGGGTGTTCATGCCATGACAGATTAACTATAGAAATATGAAGGAATCGGGTGTTCATGCCATGACAGATTAACTATAGAAATATGAAGGAATCGGGTGTTCATGCCATGACAGATTAACTATAGAAATATGAAGGAATCGGGTGTTCATGCCATGACAGATTAACTATAGAAATATGAAGGAATCGGGTGTTCATGCCATGATTGATTAACTATAGAAATATGAAGGAATCGGGTGTTCATGCCATGACAGATTAACTATAGAAATATGAAGGAATCGGGTGTTCATGCCATGACAGATTAACTGTAGAAATATGAAGGAATCGGGTGTTCATGCCATGACAGATTAACTATAGAAATATGAAGGAATCGGTTGTTCATGCCATGACAGATTAACTATAGAAATATGAAGGAATCGGGTGTTCATGCCATGACAGATTAACTATAGAAATATGAAGGAATCGGGTGTTCATGCCATGTCAGATTAACTATAGAAATATGAAGGAAGCGGGTGTTCATGCCATGACAGATTAACTATAGAAATATGAAGGAATCGGGTGTTCATGCCATGACAGATTAACTATAGAAATATGAAGGAATCCGATGTTCATGCCATGATTGATTAACTATAGAAATATGAAGGAATCAGGTGTTCATGCCATGACAGATTAACTATAGAAATATGAAGGAATCGGGTGTTCAGGCCATGACATATATTAACTATAGACAGAGCTCCAGATAAGCTTTTGGTGTTGTGGGTATTTTACCCATGCATTTTAAAATCATTGGGTATCAGTAATTCTATCTGGGTATTCAAATTTCTGTTACCCACCAGTTTTTCCACATGTGGGTATTTAAATAAATATTTAAAAACACTATTCATCTAGTCCCTGCAAACTGGTTTCAAGTGGGTTTGGGAGCTTTATAGGACTCAAAAATACCACGATACTTCCACAAGAAAGTGTGATGGCAAATGATCATGATGTAACTGTCATCGTGGAGTTTGGCAAGGTTGATTGAATGCCTGTTTATAATTTCAAAATAAGTTGCTGATTTGCTAATCGAATATGCAGGGTTACTTCACAATATTTTGATGATACGCACAAGTTTTATTTTTGTAGCGAATCTGTAATGTTCGTTGCGTATCTGATACGCTTGGATTTTTTTTACTGCGTATTTCTGCATTTCTGATGCGTATTTTACGCAGATACGCAGCTTATCTGGAGCTCTATATAGAAATATGAAGAAATCAGATGCTCATGCCATGCCAGATTAATCATAGTAATATGCAAGAATCGATTGTTCATGGCATAACAGATTAATCATAGTAATATGAAAGAATCAAGTGTTCTTTAACTTCTTTTTTAGTGTTTTTAACTTACAAAAGTAGAATATGTGTTTGACATGATGTCTCATATAGAAAGCATATATATTTTCCCAGTAACAATTATTGAAACAGTTTGGGTTTCACTGTCCTATGACAACAAGTTTTTCTTGACATGGTTTCAATGAGCACCCAAATTGCCAATATTTTCTGAGCTTATTACAGCAAATACAGTATAAGTTTGATATTTCAGATCAGGTTTGTTGGACAAAGTACAGTTACACACATCAGAGAGATGACACAACCCGACATACATGAATGAGTGGTACAGGACAAATGCAGGGCTGAGAGTGCACTGTCACCTGAAACAGTGACATGCGCATGGCTGCCAGCTGTGAGGTGAGGTGAAATTGGGTTTAACGTCGCGTCCAAGATTATTTCACTTATATAGCGACGTGCATGCACGTGTATGTGTGTGTGTGGCTGCTTGTACTAGTCCGGACTGATGCCGATTTATAGTGCTAGCTCACTGAGATACCATGCCGCAGTTTAACATGAATACCCCACTCAGACACAGTATACTGACTCCGAGCCGACCAGTCCTTGTTTTAGCCCCTTAATGCCGAGCGCCAGACACTGCCAGCTGTGTATGACGTGTACCCTGTGTGCAAAGGAAACTACCTGTCGGAAATATTAGGATCAGCCTGAGCATTTTGGCTCCCACTTTTCTCAAATGTGTCTTGAAATCTTTAACAAGTCTATTTGTCTACCAGTAGTGAAGTCCAGTTGCTAACATTCTACCATATCATGCTCATATATAATCCATGCATGATTATCATTACTGCATTCTTATATTTCTGAGTTCTTCCCTTTTTCCATCGGTATATTCCTAAGGAAGCCTCTATCGGTCATACACACAGTCCCTACTGACCCAGATATCAAATAATTGGAAATAGCAAAGAGGTCACGTACGATGAACCGTCCGCAAACTGTAAAAGATGCCCATGGTTTGAGCCAGTCAGATGGCAGCTGTCTGCATCAGTTCAGCATCATTATCAAAACATTGTGTGGCTATTATTATTTTAATTTGGAACTGCCCATTTATGTCCAACTTTATGCTGGACATGCTGTTCCGAATGCTTCAGTTTTCTACCATAAACACTGCCTTTTGCAGTTCAATGTTTCACTGTTACCAGATATTTCGATTATCCTTCCTGGTTTATTGAACTACGTATAAATATAACCAACATTCACAGAGCATGCATACTTTGGAAACTGGGCTGTGTAGCCTTGTGTGGCTAAAAAAGAGAAGGAAATTCCTTCATATCAAACTGTCTTGCTGCACACACAGATGATAACTGGTGATATATAGATAATCTCAACCGAGGGCCTTTTGATATCAAATATATCAACACAAGTTGATAAAAGTGGAAAGACTCTGAGGCTTGCTGAGGAGTTTTTCCACTTTTATCAACAAGTGTTGATATATTTGATATCAAAAGACAGGAGGGTGAGATTTTATTTATCATCTAACATCATTCTTCCAACTTTTTCAGTTTGCAGACTAATTATAAGCAGTGTCTAAGTGTAAAAATTACTGCTAACAGCTTCAGTAGCAGAGTCATTAGTGATGTCATTTGATGGTAACTAATGACGTCACAATGGTCTGCAAAGCATTGTGATGCAGTGTAGATATTGCTTGATCTCACCCAAGCGATATCTCCTGTGGGAGCCAGTTTTGGATGATAAAACTCACTAGCAACACTAATTAATCAGGAAATGTGTTAATCTGGAAATGGACTTGTCCAGATTAGTGAGGTTTGATAAGCCACTGACAGGGACAGTTGACTCTGCCATGACTACCTTTAGGATATATCTTTGATTAAATTTTTCTTCAAGTCAATATTTTTTGCAAATTCAGAGGTATCGAGGCATCTCATGCAATAATATACAAATAAAATATTAAATAAACCTGAATTGGGAAATTTTTAATTCCAGTTTCTACTTGTTTCTAGAGTCTGGTAATTTGAATCTGTGCATGTTCGTAAGTTCAGTACACTTCAGAACAACACACATGAATAACACCAATATATTGTCATAATTTACTAGCATCACACGACAATGTATAACACTAAATCTGATTTGTCATTTATCACACACATTTACAAATCAATTGTTTGATAGGCATTACTTAAAAGTTGACTGATGACAAAGTAGACACAATTTGTGGATAACAACTTCTTTATACTGTAAAGGCGACATTTCAGTATAGATCCTTATATTGCTGTATCAAGCAAGGTATAAGGATCTATACCGAAACATCGCCTCTACAGTATTAAAGAAGTTGTTATCCACAAATTGTGTCTACTTTGATTTACAATGTAATCAAGTTCCAATTCCCATGTGGATTTGTTTTTCCTCGGAGTATGTCACAAAATATAACACAACATACAACAGCAAAAGAAATGGTGATTCTCAGGACAATCACAAAAATATATCAATCTCATTAAAACCAGATCTTAGTTCTCGCTATCGCTAAACAAAGATCTGAGGACATCCCATTACGGGTCATGTCAGAACGACCTTTCATCCGACCAATGAAAGCGTCGCTTACCAGATCCTGAAAGTGACAGTCGGAATGTATGTTCTAATCTTGCAACCCCGAAAACCTTAACACGGGGTATTCCGAACGACAGTTATGTCCCGTACAACTGATTCCGTCAAAGTTATCGTCTAGCTCTCACTTCCGTGGGATAATCATTTGAACAGAGGAGGCGTTGCACACTACGTGGGAAGCACTGCTATACAATCTCAACCATATATCAGACATTCCGAAATGTTTGTTTGTTCAGTTTTCAAAATTTTAATCGAGAACTGTGGCAACATATTTTTCAAGCGTAATCTGAAATGGATGTTGCCAGGTTGAAACAAGTGCAGTAAAGCTCGAGAAAGCTGCTTTCTAATTGGCTGATGTCGACTTCTTGTATGTCATTTCAGTGGTCGGTCAAAGTTAGCGAAAGGTCGTTCTGACGTGACTCATAATTGGATGTCCTCTGATCTTTGTTTAGCGGCAGCCAGAACTTAGATCTGATTTTAATGAGATTGAAAAATATATCAGTGTAGGCTTGGAACATGAAACAGAAGTCCTATAGTGCACACTCTTCAGCTCCCCAAGCTCCCACTAAACTACAAATGAGAGATCAAACAGCAGTAAAACATATTCAAACGATGGTGCTTGTCATTATCATCATTATGTAGCATCCCAGTGACTAACAGGAAGAGGAAGGAAGTTTGGTGGTCAGTTATCACAAACTGAGGAACAGGAAAAATATTCTGGACTCATTGTGTCTTCTGACAGAGCACTATCTAGGGAGAAGGCAGCAACAGCTATGGTGTGTTTCTAGTGCTGTTCATATTCATATATATATATATATGTCCTTACTGATATTCAGAGCTGTCTCATTGATGATTAATGAACTGTGAACATTGCAGTTCTAATTGTGACATGTCCATAATTACGGTGGCCCATAAGGGACATGGAGTCTGTTTTTCAATATTTTGATATTTCACTTACTTTTATGGTAACCTTTTGCAAATTAACACAATTTGTCATACAAATATGTGATAAATCATGTATAAAAACAACCGAAAAACATGGAAAATGTACTTTCAAATAGCTATAGAATGAAAGCGAAAATGTCAAAAACTAAAATGAAAATACAGAAAAATATTTCCATAACATAGTTGATAAAAGTGGAAAAACTCTGAGGCTTGCTTAGGAGTATTCCACTTTTATCAACGAGTGTTGATATATTTGATATCAAAAGACAGGAGGGTGAGATTTTATTTATCGTCCAACATCATTATTCCAACTTTTTCAGTTTGTAGACTGTAATAAGCAGTGTCCTGCTAACAGCTTCAGTAGCAGAGCCAATAGTGATGTCATTTGATTGTGACGTCATGGTAACCAATGATGTCACAACTGTCTGCAAAGCATTGAGATGTAATTTCATTGCAGCGATATCTACAATGTAGATATCGCTTGATCTCATCCAAGCTATATCTCCTGTGGAACTCAGTTTTGGATGATAAATAGAAAATCTCACCCGAGTGTCTTTTGATATCAAATATATCAACACGAGTTGATAAAAGTTGGAAAACTCCGAGGCTTGCCGAGGATTGTTTCCACTTTTATCAATGAGTGTTGATATATTTGATATCAAAAGACACAAGGGTGAGATTTTATTTATCATCCAACATCATTCTTCCAACTTTGTCAGTTTGTAGACAGTAATAAGCAGTGTCTTAAATGTAAAAAGTACTGCTTAACAGCTTCAGTAGCAGAGCCATTAGTGATGTCATTTGATTGTGACGTCATGGTAACCAATGACGTCATAGTGGCCTGCAAAGCATTGTGATGCAATTTCATTGCAGCGATATCTACAGTATAGATATCCTTGATCTCAACCAAGCCATATCTCCTGTGGAAGCCAGTTTTGGATGATAAATCTATGTGAAATCCTTGTAAACATGTTTGCAATCATCAAATAATGCTGGTTGCCTCAAAACTGCACATACTGAAACAGCCTCTACTGACGAGAGAGGAAGATATGATTTGACATTAAATTGGTATGCTGACTGCAACGTTTTATTGAAAACATCTTTACTGGCAAGCAGCCACCCAGCAGACCAATTATTGCCAGCTACCCGTTATACCCCATATGTGATCTCATCTCGTTTTACGTTTGCTTGTTTTCATTAGAAGAGAGAAATATTTATCCAAAAAGGATAAATAAACTGACTCTTGTGAGGAAATTTTTAAAAAGACACTGTATAACCACCTTGCTCAAAAACAACTTTAGAAATGATACCCGACTAATGCACTTGTAAACTAAAATCCCACATTTTCAGGATGAAAATAAGTCAAACCTTTAGTTATTCCTTCATTAACTTTAGGAACATTTTTATTCAAATCTTAGATTTCAGTCACATTATTATTTCATTCATAAATATTATTTTTTATGAACATTATTTTGTAATTAATGAATTTCAGTGACATTATTTTTTCTTTCATAACAGAAACTAACATTGATTTTTCATTCACAAATTTCGTCTACATTATTATTTTGTTTACAAATTTCAGTAACATTATCATTTAATAAATGGACTTCAATAAAACTGTTATTATTGATGCTGACACCATTTTGAGCCAGATATAAGTAGAAATCGTGTGATTGGTTCAACCAACTTACATATATTGTGATTGACAGCCATGCACATGTTAAATTCGAGTTTGAAAATGCTAGAACATTGGCTAACATATTGGATAGAGAACCATTCTAATACTTTCCAACAGTTGGTCAAACTATGAAAACCCAAACTAGTTTGCAAACTGTTTTCACAATTTTCACACACACAAACTTCTGTTTGTAAACATTAATCAGGAGACTAAGTTTCCCAAGTTAAAAACATTAGTATCATCAGAGCTCCAGATAAGCTTTTGGTGTTGTGGGTATTTTACCCATGCATTTTAAAATCATTGGGGATCAGCATGATCAGTAATTCTATCTAGGTATTCAAATTTCTGTTACCCACTAGTTTTTACACATGTGGGTATTTAAGTTAAATATTTAAAAACACTATTCATCTAGTCCCTGCAAACTTGTGTCGTGTTGGATCGAGAACTTTATAGGACTCAAAAATACCACGATACTTCCACAAGAAAGTGTGATGGCAAATGATCATGATGTAACTGACATCGTGGAGTTTGGCAAGGTTGACGGAATGTCTGTTTATAATTCCAAAATAAGTTGCTGATTTGCTAATCGAATACGCAGGGTTACTTCACAATATTTTGATGACATGCATAAGTTTTATTTTTGTAGCGAATCTGTAATGTTTGTTGCGTATTTGATACGCTTGGATTTTATTTTACTGCATATTTCTGCATTTTTTATGCGTATTTTACGCAGATACGCAGCTTATTTGGAGCTCTGATCATATTTCATCACTACAATACATAATAAGCTTGTATACTTACAGTGTTCATATCCCTTGAATATAAGCTTGATGCCACGCCCTGCTGTTGGATCATCTATGCTCAAATACACAACACTGAAACAATGAAGACAATAGCTATGAAGGTAGCCATGTTCAGTGGCTGTGTCTTGGGACAAGTACATTTGCACTTCAACATCACTGTTACCATGGTTACACTTGATCATAATCTCAGGATGATTACCATGTTACACTTTAAACATACCTTTGGCTAACATGTATATATTAGATAGGCATCTGTTGTGGACATTTACCATGTTAACAGGATGTAAACATGAACATTGTTTGAAATAAAAGTAATTTTATTTTAAATTTGTTTAGATCTTGTATACATGGTATATATTTGAAGCAAGTGATATCTATATTGCCTATTTGTGGAATAATTTACCCACTGCACTCAATGCAGTCTGTTTATAAACTGCACAAGCCGATTTTGACCTGCAACAGTGCAGTCTGTCAATGGGAAATCGCATCCTGGTTGTTGAACACCAGATTTGGCCACATTATCGAAACTTTAATCCAGAGCTCCAGATAAGCTTTTGGTGTTGTTGGTATTTTACCCATGCATTTCAAAATCATTGGGTATCAGTATTTCTATCTGGGTATTCAAATTTCTGTTACCCACTAGTTTTTACACATGTGGGTATTTAAGTTAAATATTTAAAAACACTATTCATCTAGTCCCTGCAAACTGGTGTCGTGTGGGTTAGAGAGCTTTCTAGAACTCAAAAATACCACGATACTTCCACAAGAAAGTGTGATGGCAAATGATCACGATGTAACTGTCATCGTGGAATTTGGCAAGGTTGACGGAATGCCCGTTTATAATTTGAAGATAAGTTGCTGATTTGCTAATCGAATACGCAGGGTTACTTCAAAATATTTTGATGATACGCACAAGTTTTATTTTTGTAGGGTATCTGTAATATTCGTTGCGTATTTGATACGCTTGGATTTTATTTTACTGCGTATTTCTGCATTTCTGATGCGTATTTAACGCAGATACGCAGCTTATCTGGAGCTCTGTTTCAATCCCATGCATACTTCAGATTAACTGAATTTCAATGAGGTGATGCAATGCCACGGTAACAGAGAAGGGAACGGTTGTGAATATTTTGTTCAGATTTTGTTTGCTGTTTTGGTAGCCTTTACTTTTTTATTCACTGAAAAAAAGTTTGAATTATCTTCAATTGTTTGTTTATCAAATATTTACAACACTATACAATCTATAAAGGTTTGTGATAAAGATGATACACTGTCAGTGAACTGAAATGAAAGGACTTTAAAAACGTATTCATTAATGATCAAAATAGTTATTGGTATACAATTTCAAATTGTTGGAATAGAAATTGTATTACAATTTCTATTCCAACTTTGACACAAAATTACAATTTCGCTACGTATACAGGGTGGAGCTTCCTTGGTGACGAGAGTGCCATGACCTACACTTGACCTGACAGTTACACTGATCATGCTGATGTCATTAAAATATAAATACATATCCATGTATACTTCGTACACATCATGGGTCGAATGCACGGCACTGTATGCATCTACATGAATGGATTCTTCAAAAATTACAAACCCAAACACATCCTCTCCAGGTAAATATTCCCCTTTGTGTGTCCTCAGTAGAATTTCGTTCATGGTGACATGAACTTTGTGATATGCTCCGAACGCGACATGACAGTGAGTCGAGAGCTATTAAACGCAATAAGAAAACGCCTTCAACTAGGAAGTCAACAACAAAGGTTTTACTAAAATGCTGCTGGTTTCATAAACGAAATATGAAAGAGAATTCATTCTCCCAAAATATAATTTGCATTTAAACTGATATACATCTTCTTAATAGTTCATATTTCTTGAGAAATATCTTACTACACCTGAACCTTTAGTTACTGAATCTTTAGACTTTATGTTAATGAAATAAATAATTGAAAATCATTTTGTTCCAGCAAACCTACAAGTCCGTGGTTGAGCGGACGGTGTTTTCTTTTGGTTTAAATCAAACACATGTTGCTTCACGCGAAAGTTTCGGTGAAGTAACTCTCTTCTCATTCAACTTTGGAAAACAGCCTGTTTTGTGTTGAAAGTCGTGAACAGACTGACGAGTATGTGTGCCTTACAAAATTTACATACTTTATTTACACACCTAAGTTAATTTTCATGTGAACACAGTGTATTTACACATACACACGTATAAAATTACTTACGTTAGTAAATATTGTGCATGTGAACGGGGTAAAAGACAAGTTTTTCTAACAAACAGTAGCAAATTCTAATTGAATTTAACTCTTAAAACACAGTTGGAGACATAAAGATGTTAGACACAAGGTTTCCAAAGCTCTAGCTGAAACCCAACAGCTAAATTGTTTGTCATAGAAACCCTAACCCTAACCCGTGGAGCATGCGCAGCAATAAGGCTTAGACTAAAATCTAGTCTCTGAAATGAACATATCGTACATAAAAAACCAGTTGTTTAGTTATCTTAATAAAAATATAATAAAAAGGAGCCCAGTGACTCTCTTCATTTTCAGATACTGCAGTGATCTAGACTTGCCAAACATTATAGACTTGCATGGGCTGTATTTGATATATATTTGTATCAGGGTCTGTAAGACAGACTACAATAAGGCTCTGGTTCCAGAGTTGATATCCAAAACAGTTGTACTCTTACAAAACGCGTTGGCATCAAGTGTCTTTTGGGGGTTAACATGCCACAGTTCGAGGCCCAGTTATTACGTGTTGTTTAATCATCCAGTGGTAGTGTCACTGTGAGAAAAGGAGCCGGGGAACGTTTTTCCCATAGGATTTGATTGATTTTGTTCGTTTTTCAGGATGTTGGTAGACGGTCTAACATGTGCGTCAGTGGGGGAAATCATAATCCACCATACAAGAGAAGTTTGACAAACAAATGCTTCTGCTCGGGAAACCAAGCTAATTTATTTTCCGAACCCGACGATGACACACTGATGAACATAGTTAATCTGACTAGAAGCCGTACTTACCTTGGTGAGAAATCAGGTGAGGCACTGACAGGGGTATTTAACATCATACAACTTCGGGTCTGAGCAGAATCCCTTCTCAGTTATTAAATGTGCACGAAAGTACTAGGGCTAGAGTCCAAATTTACTACCCGGGTACCCACGACCCTATTACCCGACCCTACCCGGGTACCCACTGTATAACTGAAATACTGTTTAGAGTTTACCCCAAATTCCCTCTGTACCTGTAGACTAGTGGACACACACCCAGTATCAGGAGACAAGATGAAGCTACGGATGATCATCACTAACGAAACATCCACAACAATCAGCGCATTCAAGATCAAGGTAGGTGTTGGATGAGATGAAGGTCTTCAGCATCCCATGCTTGTCGTAAAAGGCGACTAACGGGATTGGGTGGTGTGGCTCAGTGACTTGGTTGATGCATGTCATCGTATCTCAATTGATGCTCATGATGTCCAGACTCAATTATTTACATTCAGCTGGAATATTGCTGAGTGAGGCTTTAGCTACAAACAATCAATAAATCAATCTTAACAAGGAATATCCGATTACTAAATTGAGTCATGTTTGTTGAACCTTTCTTGTAGGGCTGGGACTAGTACAAATTTACTACCCAGGTACCCACCTCCCTATTAGCCGACCCTACCCGGGTACCCACTGTAGGTCTCAGGAGATGTCTCAAAATGTCCGATTGGGAACATTTTTAGCATAGCCCTGTCAAAACGTATTTAGATACATGTATTAAACAATCTGGTCATTCATACACTGAAGTTGAATTAAGTTATATCTTTATTCAACCATATGAAAAATCAGAAGGAATGGGTGCATGGTCAGAAAGTAATGCGAACATTGGTGACTTTAGTGTAACCATAGAGTTCTAGATAAAAACAAATTGTCATTAAACAATATATCACGTGACTAACCACGGGTCCGGGTAATCTTGTTGGTACCCGGGTCCTACTCAGTACCCACCCGACCCGGGTACCCGAGTTACCCGTCCCAGCCCCAGAAAGTACCACAGAAAGTTTCCCCACTCATATATGAGGCATATGTTGTTGACTTGCGAGTGTTGAGTTTAAAGTAAAAATGGATGCGGAGCCTAAAAACGTGCACCATAGGATCTCAAATCAGGAAAATCTATTCGTCAAGCATCAAGGGACAATGAAATTCACAGGAAGGCATTCCAACCACACGCTAAAAGACAGGTTAAAATATCGGGTATTAGGAAGATTTAGGAAGGTATTGACACCTAAACTGAACAACAAAAGTTCCTGTGACATTGAATAAGATTTAATGCAAAGTTAAGTTTTTTACCAAATCTAAAATAATTTCGGTTTGCAACAGATAAAAGACTCCTGTAAGTGTTGAAATGGTTTAATTTGCCATACTGATTTCAGAAAATGCGTGATTTCATAAAAAACAAACAAACATGAACATGCCAAAATGTCAATTTACAAATCAATAGTGTGTGTCCACCTCTGGTTGCGATGCAAGCAACACATCTTCGTCTCATGGAATGGACCAGGCGTCGCACAAAGTCCTGTGGGTTATCTGTCCATATCTGATGGAGCATGTTTGGAAGTTCCTGGAGTGTCTGTGGATCACGTGGTTGACGTGGAAGGCGCCGATCCATCTCATCCCATATGTGCTCGATTGGTGAGAGATCAGGGGAGCGAGCCGGCCAGGTGATGACATTCACGTTGTTTTGTTGAAGAGAATCCTGAACAAGTCGAGCAATATGAGGCCGGGTGTTGTCATGTTGAAAGGTAATGCCTGGGCCATGACGACGCAAAAACGGTAGAACAACAGAGCCGATGATCTCGTCGCGGTAGCGCTGTCCATTGAGATTTCCCTTTACCACTATCAAACGGGTCCTCTGTCTGCTGTAATCCCACTCCATACCATAACGCTGCCGCCCCCGAACCGATCTTCTTCCATGACATAATGATTGACGTAACGTTCACCTCGACGTCGGTACACTCGAATCCGTCCATCGCTGTGGCTGAGGTGAAAACGAGACTCGTCAGTGAATAGAACTTGTCCCCACCGTATGGCCGTCCAGCGTTGACGCTGTCTGCACCACTGCACCACCTGTCAAAATGGGACGTCTGGCGGGTCTTCTGGCGACAATCCCTGCACATCTGAGGCGACGACGTACGGTTTGTAAAGATATTCGTCTAAGGCCAGAGATGCTTCTTGCTGGAATCGATTTCGTAGGTGTGTTGTTCGAATCCAGTTGTCTTGTCGATTATTGGTTACGCGTGGCCTGCCACTCCGAGGATGGTCTCTGACTGCATTCGTCTGTTGCCATCGTTGCCAAAAACACCAAATGGTGCTTCTGTGGACGTTTAAATGTCTTGCAACATCACGTTGACTCGATCCTGCTTCAAGCATACCAATGGCTCGCAGACGCTCATTTTCGGAGTGGTTGTTGTCAGCACGACGCTAAACAATGCATATGGAATCCCGTTAACGCATATGTTTTTATACCCATTCTTGGGTAGTGGAATGCATGGGACTTGCATAAAAGTCAACTTTTGCATGGAATGCATGTATTTCTGTAGCAGTTGCGTTTTTATGACTTGATTCCAATGCATGCACTACAATATTGAAAACCAAACTTTACTTGTTTGAAAAATAAGCTAAAATATTGGTGTCACAGGAACTTTTGTTGTTGAGTATATATGACACATTCGAATCTCACATTCTATGCAATGAATCTTTTACGGATTGACCTCAACTGAATTCGTACATTGGCCTTTACACTTGCAGAACAAAATGGTCTTGACCATCCATTAATATCGCAACACAGCATTGGTCATTTCGCCCCAACCTACAGGACAAAGTGGCCAATGCTTGTCGAAACAGATTTTCATGGATAGAACTTAATACAGCTGTGGATGATTTTAATAACGTGCCATATATGTTATGAGTTTAATTATATCTTTGTTTAGAAGCACCGCATTTAGACGAATGTGTTAGAGGGTGCTATTAGCACTGACGCCCCCACCCATCACTGCTGTCAAGATCCTGTAACCTGGATCCTAGATGTTGTCTTGACCATGCGGTACGTGCATTTCGTGTGGTGGCAGCAAAACTGCCCATGGTCGCGGTCGCATGTATATGCTCTCGTATAATCGTTTCCCCACAGCCCTTGCGCTGATCAGCCAGCGATGCTGTGAACTGTCAAAGTTGCAGTCTGAAACCGATTCCGCAGGTAAACCAAAAGGATTTGATTATGTTGTCGACGTGACGTTACCACTCCAAGTTTAATACAGAGGTATAGTCCATCTTTTGGCACATTTACACAATGGATCATTAGTAATTTAACACAATTATACATTGTAGGGCAGTGTAAGGGCAGGGGTTCTTTAACAAACAAGAAAACTTTCACAAGTAGAATAGTTCGTCTGTAGTTTTACAATTTATGTGTATGTTACTGTCCAGTTAATGAGTTCAACACCAAAAACGACATTTATTGAAATGCGTGGCCATAATGAAACATTCCTTATATCCTATGCTACACCATTTTCTCTTCAATTGTCATCTGACTTTTTCAGAATGTGTGTTCATAATGTGTCCCACAAATTGGCGTGATGTCCATTACCTAAATTATGACAAGTGAGGAGATATTATATTGAGCAAATGTCACTTAATAAGACAAACTACACAAGCTGACCTTCAAAGTTCACATGAAAGGGTATACATTGGTATCTTCATATCTACAGCCAATAGGATTTGTACAAAGAGTAGAATTATCGTAAAACTGAAATGTTTGTTTGTTTGTTGTTTAACGCCGCAGTCAGCAATATTCCAGCTATATGACGGCGGTCTAAAATAATCGAGTCTGGACCAGACAATCCAGTGATTGACGTCATGAGCATCGATCAACGCAAGAGAGATGGATGACATGCATCAACCAAGTCAGCGAGCCTGACCACCCGACCCGTTAGTCGCCTTTTACGACAAGCATAGTCGCCTTTTACGGCAAGCATGGGTTGCTGAAGACCTATTTTACCCCGGATCTTAACTGAAATGTGCTAACCCTTTTGTAGAAACACAGCCACGTGCTAAACGTGAAAACAGCATTTGTAAACCATTCACAGTCGCTGATAGAATCTTTACAAACTACAGCTGTTTATACGGTTCTGTCTAAAATGATGAATGTCAAACCGTATTAATGGTTTTGTAATGTACGTTACTGAAATGTCCGTTACCTACTTATACGAAACTACCCATTTTGTAAAATTGACGTTGTTTTAAGGATTTCCATACGCTTCCTTTGGTCCACCATAGGTTGGAGACAAGCATCAAACACGGGTTCTGCTGGACACCCATCACTTATTCCACCATAGTAACTGGTATGTTTTGCCCATAGTGTGTTTCTTGTTCATTTGATTGCATGCTTACAATCTTGCATCATAACTTGTGGACAAAAAGATTAATAATGAAAATGTTTGTGTGAAGACATGTCTCCTATAAAACTTTATTAACAGTACCTAAAAATGTCTAAATGTTAGAAGTTTTGCTGAAAAAATGTATGTCACCTTCTCAACTGAGCTTTGAACTCCTTGTGGACCTCATGTTGTATTCAAATCAAAAGATTTTGTGCTTAAAGTTATCAGTCCTCAGACATATAGAAAACTTTTTTAAGTGTCTGTCTTTGTTGATGTAGCGGCCATAAAATTTCCGAGTCCCGTGATGGGATTCGAACCACGGACCTTCTGATCCGAGGTCGGACGCCTTGTCCACATGACCAAAGAGGTTAACCCCGTCAGCAAGCTGACAAGGTAAGGATGTCATCTATGGGATGACTCCACGCCCTGCTACATACTCCCCCGTCAACAAAAGGCACGTCCCGGGCCGCATAGTAGGGTACTGAGGCTTATTTTGCTCAAATTTAATATGAACGTGCTCAGCCCCACGTTGGGCGCCAATGTAGCGGCCATAAAATTTCCGAGTCCCGTGATAGGATTCGAACCACGGACCTTCTGATCCGAGGTCGGACGCCTTGTCCACATGACTAAAGAGGTTAACCCCGTCAGCAAGCTGACAAGGTAAGGATGTCATCTATGGGATGACTCCACGCCCTGCTACATACTCCCCCGTCAACAAAAGGCACGTCCCGGGCCGCATAGTAGGGTACTGAGGCTTATTTTGCTCAAATTTAATATGAACGTGCTCAGCCCCACGTTGGGCGCCAATGTAGCGGCCATAAAATTTCCGAGTCCCGTGATAGGATTCGAACCACGGACCTTCTGATCCGAGGTCGGACGCCTTGTCCACATGACTAAAGAGGTTAACCCCGTCAGCAAGCTGACAAGGTAAGGATGTCATCTATGGGATGACTCCACGCCCTGCTACATTGACATTTTATAAACAATTTACTACACATGCAGGTGAGCCAGCTCCAGCAACGTAGCATGATTCCATATAAACTTACAATATTCAAGCACCTTTCAAGATATCTTTTCCATGCTTTAATTGAATACCTTTGTCAGTAGTGTTTGATCTGCATAGATATTGAGCTTTATAAATAGGATGTCCATGTAAACATACCCAAACAGACACTGTTATAGAGGTTTGAAGACTGTAGTGTAGAGGGATGGTAAATAAGCCTACCCTGTATTAGGAATAATGTACACATTGTATTTAGTGAGCCTTGGCGAGATGATACATAAAGCGTTTATTCTGAATACAGGATACTTACCATCCCAAAACACACAAGCGTGATAACCTCTTTATCATATAATGTCATTCTTAAATTCTGTCTTTGAAAAACCTGTTTTCATCTCTCATGACCTAAACATTGCAAGTTTTCCTGGAATGTGCCAATTAATATATATATTGGGTCTTTTAGATCATGGGGTACGACATATAGGTAAAATAACATTTGCAGACTGTATATTTCATTCTTTCTACTTGCATTTCGCATTAATCCATCGGTCTGCCCGCTAGAGTAGCTGCACTTTATCAAAGGGAAGCTACTCAAACCCTGTCTGTCCTGTCATAATGTTACGAAGTGTGGTCAGATGTAAACACAGCACAAAACGAAACATGGTAACAATTGGGACATATTTCTGCCAAATCCAACTGTTTAACTTGGGGGAAAAGATTCTAAGGCACGGAGGTCTACAAGCACAGATAAGGCAACTAATCCGCTACACAGGACTGGAAACACTGATTTTAACATACAATAAATCACAGCTCACATGTGTTTCATGTTTCTTTGGATATTTGAGGCCTCACTGAGATAATTCTTCTTGTATTTGCAGGAACGTTGCCTCTTGAAATATTCCACTGAAATATCAAAAACTGTTTTTTGGGTTTGAAACTGTTTTTATTATTTTAATTTTTATGATTTATAACAAAATGTCACCAACATACATTCCATGCTCACTATGTATATTCACAATGAAAAATTCTGACATTCTTTCCAAGTCACAGTTGTATCATACCTTACAGGTGAAGGATACAATTATTTACAAATAACTAACTAAACCACCATGTGGACAAATTGAGAAAGAATTCTGAAGGTCTGTTATTGACAAATCATACACCCAGTTTACTATGCTGACAACCTGGAAGCATTCAACTCAAGTAAACTTCTGTGTTTACAGCATGATACAGTTCCCATGTGATTCGACCTGTGAAGATCCAGGGTAGAATAGGTCTTCAGCAACCCATGCTTGCTGTAAAAGGCAACTATGCTTGCCGTAAGAGGCGACTACGAGGATCGGGTGGTCAAGCTCAGTGACTTGGTTTGTACATGTCATCGTATCCCAATTGCGTGTATGGATGCTCATGATATTAATCACTGGATTGTCTGGTCAGGACTTGATTATTTACAGACCACCGTCATATAGCTGGAATATTGCTGAGCGCAGCGTTAAACAACAAACAAACAAACCAATCCCATGCGATTCCATGCAAGTAAGGGAATTGTAATCTATAACATGGAGTGGGAGGAGCACCAAAGCCATGTCATCCCAGAAAATATACATAAATATCACTCTGTTTATGACCCTTCCAACTGCTTGTTAATCTTTTCATGGCTGTTTACATGGAACCTATTTGCAAAGTAGCTTATGCTAAAAATAATAACAAATGTTATATATTTTGCATAACTCTCCACTATAATAAGCAATATTTCTCAAAAAGTTCCCCCTCCCTGATCACATACATTCAAAATCACCACTGGCCCCTTTGAAGCCAAACATATTCATCCAGAGTCTGCCATTTGAGATTGCCATTGCGCTTTTTTTAAATCAACAAATTCTGGGTACAAGCGAAAATACATCAGTCAGGGACGAGTGTTCGAGTTGTCAATATCAAGACTAGATCATCAACAAAAAGTCACATCATCTTAAATCAGGTAACTAATGAAGTTCACTGTGCTCTTCAACTTTCTTCAGAAACAATCCTTTGGCTGCAGCACTTGTGTATGGAAAACATCTCACCAGAGACCATATAATAGATCTATTATACGGTCTCTGATCTCACACAGCATCCAGCGTTCCACTCCAAGTCACCGGTAATAAACATATACCGTAACATTTTAACAGAAATCAACTATTTCCATTGGTTGAAATTAGGAGCATCATTATAACACATAGTTTCTCTTAACAGTTCAGACGGCAATAAGCTGTGGAGAGTCGCATCCCTTTGGCGTGTCCGGAATCTATGATCATGGGTTTAGATCACAGATTTGCCAGATAATATTTGTAGGTTAGTCAGCGCCATACCTGTCTGTTCGGGTTTCACCAAAGTGGTAAATTTCTTTGATCTGCCTCAGTTAGGGCTTTCCGTCCACATCATGGTGACATGCCGTGATATAACTCTAATACTGTTCAAAGCGGCACAAAACACAACTCACTCTCTCTTTTCAGTTCTGTCACAACATGTTTACCACACGGTGCAACAAAGCTGTAAAACATACGTAACACACAACATTATGTTGCACTGGAGCTGAGGAAGGCCAGGTGACCCTTGGTGCACCTGTTGGCGTAGTGACCCTTCTCGCCACACTGAAACATGAAACATCATAAAGCCTTTGTTAAATCGAGTAAAATAGCAGACCTATTGCAAGTGTAATGCAAGTACCCAAAATTTACACAGACTCGAAGTATAACCCTCATTGAGAACAAATGATTCTGCATGGTGGGATGGAAATATTAAATGTTATTTTCTATATATAGAAGAAAGAAAGAGTAGCTCACCTTGTAACATGTGACCTGATCGAGAGGCCGGCGTTGATCACAAATGGAAGTATCGTTCATCTGCTGAGTAAACACAACAAAGTAAGAGTGATAAGAAAACACAACAAAATAAGTAAAACATATATCAAGCAATCATAGCAACATAAGAAAAACAAAGAGACACAAGAACATGAACAAAGAAAGGTACACAAACTGATTGTCCCTGTTACCATGGTTACCAATACAAATTTGAAAAATAACAAAAAACATCCGAGATATATATTTATTCTTTGTCCCTGGTGTGTTCCGAATGCATAAAAGCCTCTGGAAGACATACTGGAGGTTTTTGGTCATGTTTCAAATAATAGATTTTGGTTTCATATCATTTGTTTGTTTGTTTAAGTAAACTGAGATTTTAATTACATAATAATCATGATAATTATTATTGTAATAAAACAGAGCACTGTCAATATTTCTCAAAATACACTATCTGCGCCCTTCACCTGTGAATACAATTATACATAAATGACACTTTTCACGGGGGAATGAACACTCTTATTACATCACACAAACAGCAATATTTCTTGTACAATATGTGCCAGAGTCTCACTGTCATCTACTCTACACATAGCTTTGATATAAGGCAACAGTAGGGTTTGCTCAAAGTTCATGTGACTACCTAAGTTATGCATGGCCTCTTTTGACGTGTCACTTTGACACTGCAGAGATGCCAGGTGTATTGACAGGTGATGGAGGAACACAGTGTTCTGACGATGCGCAGCAGGCAACAGATCAGATGATTAAAACAATCCAGATTATTAAATAAACACCATAGCATGACCAGTGTTTGAAATAATCATAAAACCCAACAAGACAGTCTGGCAGGTGACCAATAAGTATTGCCTGCCGATCTTCAAAGCTACCTACCCACATTCAGACATTATAAATATTGAAAAAAAACACAAACAATAACATACAAATCCTGTCTTGATTCAATTCAGTTGAAATAATAGACAATTCTGTTAGAATCTATGAGGAGCTATAATAAAACTGGGTATGTAAGCAGTCTTAAGATCATCTGCCAGACAGGCAGAGGACAATTTTATGCAGCATGACAGTAAAGTTACCAGCCACAGGCAGGTGGGCAAGCAGTTATTTCCGACACTGAGCATGACACAGCTGTCTTTCAAATCTGTGTAATCAAAGATTGTTATTGCCTCCTATAATAGTGACTGCATTAGTACAACAGTAAATGCAATCAGGCACCAGAGAGAAGGTGGTGTACATCAAAAGACATTACCATGATCTGCTCCATCTTGACATTGTTGGGCATCTTGGTACAGTTGAGAACTTTGTGACCTGCCTCTCCACAGAAGTGACAGACAATGGACGCCTTCTTGGCCTGCTGGACTGGGTCACTGACTGGCAAGTCAAACTTGGGACTGAAATAGGACAACACAAAAGTTGTAAGATCCACAGAATGATGGTTGTATGCTGGTTTGAATTGTATTTCAGTCTTATCGGAGCTTGTTGGGATACTTAAGTGACCAATCTAATTAAAATCAGATCATAGTTGTCACAACTGCTAAACAAAGATCTGAGGACATCCTATTATGAGTCACGTCAGAACGACCTTTCGCGAATTTTGACCAACCAATGGAATGTTTGTTTGTTTGTTTGTTGTTTAACGCCACACTCAGCAATATTCCAGCTATATGACAGTGGTCAGTAAATATTCGAGTCTGGACCAGACAATCCAGTGATTGACATCATGAGCATCGATCTACGCAATTGGGATATGATGACATGCATCAACCAAGTCAGCAAACCTGACCACCCGATCCCGTTAGTAGCCCCTTTACGACAAACATGTGACTGACAAAAAGTCTACACTAGCCAATCAGAACTTGAGAAGGCAGCTTTCTCATGCTTTACGGCACTAGTTTCAAACTGACGACTACGCTTTGAAACATATTTTGACAAATTATCGATTAAAAATGTGAAAACGGAAATGGCTAATAGATGACCTAGATTGCATAGATTCAGTCATAAAGCCCGTAACTTCGTTCAGAATACTCTCGGTTAAATCTTTCGAGGTTGCATGATTAGAAATCACATTCCAACTGTCACTTTCATGAACTTGTAAGCGTGCATGATTATCCACGGCTTATCATTCTTATACAATGTATGAGTTGGTCATCCAGGTGGAACACCATCAAAATACTATCCATACTGAGAAACCCGAGTCGGCCCAAGGACCTTTTTGATCAGAAATTTAAGGATTATCAAGCACTCACTCTAATCACTGCTTCATCCAAAAGGAGGCTGATGTAATGCTACTTTTAGCATCACTGTGTTTTGTTATTGTACGCACAAGTCTGAATTGGTAGTTGCAACACTAGTGTCACGTGCATTCAGGTCACTTCAATGGCTTCCTAACATTGCCTAAAGTGCAAACTTTCTCCAAGGCTTCTTTAAGTGCAAAATTTCATGTCATGACTCACTTTTTTTATAATGTAAACAAAAGGTGATGAACTACCTCTGAACTTTAAACTAGCATGGAGGAACACCTTCCATTAAGGTTGGGGTTTAACTTTAGTGTTGACTTACAACTCAACAAATCTCATTACAATGTTAACTGAACATAAATCATATGACTAAATGCAGCAAACAAGTAAATATTAGTACATTCAGTTGTATTACAGGGGCTAATGACTCAAATACATTTCATTGTCATTATGCACTAATAACACATTGTTTCTATATTGTTTTACCTATACCACTCCTTTGTATTTACCATTTTCAACGTAATAAGCGCTCCACTCTAATAAGCGCCCACAGTATTATTTGTTTATATAGTGGCTGTTTAACAATCCCAGTTGGCACCTCTTCCGATTGATCAATGTACACAAGACTTATTTATTCGTTTATAAAACACACTCGTGTGTTACATGCACCCTTAATTACGGGCAATTAAATTCTGGAAAAATATGTCGTGTATAATACGCAGAGACTTTTCTTTTGTATCACCCTGGCTGTCTGCATAAACCACGAAATTTACGATCTTTCAATTCTTTTTTTTTTCACCAAAATTATATTCTAACAAAAGGCCCCTATTTCTAATTTTAAGAGTGCCCTGGGCGCTTATTACGTCCAATACAGTAGTCATCTATGCTAGTTACACTTACTGCTGGTATTTACAGCTGGGGCCCTCAATACAGAAGCCATTGACGTAGCTTTGACAGATCAGTCTCCTCACATGTCTGTTCTTGCAATTAGGACCTGCGGAGAAAAAGTGAGTGAGTGAATTGCGTTAAACGCCGTTTTTAACAGTATTCCAGTTATATCACAGCATGTCAGCTTGATGTGAGAGGAAAGCCTGAAGTGATGCAGATCTCAGACGTTTACCACTTTGGTGAAACCCACGAGCATGGGTATGGTGCCGACAAACCTAGAAACATAATCGAGTCGAACTGGGATTCAAACTCACAATCATAGGTTTCTGGCGTGCCCAAGGGATGCAACTCTGCAGCGCCTTAGACTACCCCTTTATTACATACTTCTTTTTCTGATAAAATCAAAATTATCTGTAAAATGTCTCTGTGTTCCCTAACCTGGACTCATGGTCTATTGTACTGCCATGCATCAGTAAAACTAGTGCATTCATATTGTTTTTGTCCAATTTCTATCTATTAAAATGTTGAAGGCAATGTTATACCAATTTTAATCAAGTGTGTTGTGTAGGTTGAAATAAGAAGGCATCCATTACTTACCATGACGACAGAAACCTCTGTCATACCATGGACAATCTTTCATCTTCTTTTCAGGATCGATGTGAAGAAACGGACATTCTTTATTACTACACTGACCTGAAAATAAATACAGAAAGCATAATAATTGACATAAAATGTACGATATGTACAAGATTGCAGGAGTGAGTTGGGTTTAACACCGCTTTTAAACAGTATTACAGTTATATCACAGCATGTCAGCTTAATGTGGGAAGGAAAGCCTGATGTGATGCAGGTCATGTGGGTATTTAAGTTAAATATTTAAAAACACTATTCATCTAGTCCCTGCAAACTTGTGTCGTGTGGGTTCGAGAGCTTTATAGGACTCAAAAATACCACGATACTTCCACAAGAAAGTGTGATGGCAAATGATCATGATGTAATTGTCATCATGGAGTTTGGCAAGGTTGACGGAATGCCCCTTTATAATTTCAAAATAAGTTGCTGATATGCTAATCGAATACGCAGGGTTACTTCACAATATTTTGCTGATACGCACAAGTTTTATTTTTGTAGCTTATCTGTAATGTTCGTTGCGTATTTGATACGCTTGGAATATATTTTACTGTGTATTTCTGCATTTCTGATGCGTATTTCACGCAGATACGAAGCTTATCTGGAGCTCTGGTTACCCTATTACTCCAGTCCAAAATATTGAATGTACCAGTATTTTCAAGTGCTGCTGCTCAGTGAACCGGTAAATCTATAACTGAATGGAAACTTTGGTTCTTATATAATGCCATTGTTTGGACTATTTGACTTTCAGCATGTAAATACTTACATTCCATCCCCTTAGTTACTTACCAAATTTGGAATAGAAATAACACTCTGGCATCTTGGACATGTCATACTCATGTAAGAATTCACAGTCATCTCCCTTCTTACAGAGTCCACGAAGCCAATGTTTGCACACAACTGTTCTGTCACCTCGAACATGACGGAAGGGACATGCCGTGCCCTTGTTACACTGATGTCGTAGATGGAAGATACATGTTGCTGACCCAGATTCTGAAATTCACAATTGGGAAAAATCAACAGGGATATAAAACAACGTAAAACAACACTTGATTTTATCATTATATATCATGTATATACAAGTAAGTTGGGTTACACACTGACTACAAAAGTTTTTCAGTGATATCAAGATGTGTCTGCATCAGCTAACAATAATGCAGTGGGTAAACGCAGAATACATGCCATAAGGATGGGTTGGGTGCTGAAAAACATAGGATCATCATGATCATAATCAGGGGAAATCTTAGATTCCATGAGCTTTTTAGACTACAGCCAATGACCCCCAAGCTTACTCGTCTCTGCTCGCCTTTTTCTGAGACCACACCATGTGGCCAGACTTTATACACAACTGCACTTATTTTAGGGGGGGTGGGGGGGGGGCACGACTCAAAAAGTTAAATAATATGCATGCATTGCCGCTCAATCCTCAATATGTTTTTGAAGGGGATATGTATGGGCAGAAGTCTTACCTGTTTTTTAGTATGATAATATTTACCACATCAAAATTTACATAATACGATTATCTTATCAGTAGGTACTCAAATCATAATACAGCATGAACAGGGACGATATACTATCATATAGGCATGTTAGTTGGTCTCTGGTATGAATAAAATCCACTGTTCTTTCTGTGAACGTTTATTCCTAATTTATCATATATCCTTAAGAGAGTGTCAAGTAATTTAAATAAAGCTCAATTTTATTATCTAGGAAGTAAAGATAAACAGAAGAAATAAGAAGCAGTTGACATGTCAATGAAAACACCTCTGTCATCACGTTGTAGCGGCATGACACAACGCCAAACACTCACTGTCCATGCCAGGGAAAGGCAACGGCAGGGCCCCTAGTTGCTGATCCAAGGCAACTTCTATGTCGAACGTTATATTATACACGGGCGCCACAATCTCCTGCATTTTGAATGTTTATGTCTCTTTCAGGAACAGCAAAACGAGATATAAGCCAATGTTCAAACACATGCACAAATGGAACCGGAAGTTTATGATCAGCGACCTCTTTGTAAGGTTATGATAAATTCCGGATTGTGTTACAAAAGCGGACAAGATTGCGATGTTCCTTGTATGAACCAGAACTTTGTTAGAAATACCCTATATTCCCAAGCTTTTTCTTGAACATCTTTTAGGGGCCCATTATCACTATCTCTATTTTCATCACATTTGATATATCTCTTTACAGGTAAGCCGTGAGTGCGAATTCGGCAAGAACAGATGAGCTCGTAAAATCATCGTCATATCATTATCATCGACATCCGTAATCTGTTGCCATCCGTATTTTCTACACACTAGTATTCTTTCAAGTCTCCTTATCTTTTTTTCACTTATACCCAGCTGTTAACATTGCATATATTGATGTCAAATGTTGATAGAATAGTTTTTTGTTTCGAAAAGGCCGCTACAAAAAAGTGTATGAACAAATAGTTTGTTTTTAGATGTTGTTGTTATTATATCGCTAGGCACAAACAATATGTTACACACTTGCCGATAAGTAAACATCAGATAACCAACTTATTTGCCGATATGTCTTTAACAAAAATATGATGAGTAGATGAAATGAAGTTTAAGGTAGTGTGTGTGTGTGTGTGCGTTCGTGCGTGCGTGTGTGTGTGGTTTTACGCCGATAGTATTATCACGGTATGGACCAAGAAATGGGCTTCACATATTGTACCCATGTAAGGATCGAACCCGGGTCTTCGGCTTGCCAAACCAACGCTTTACCCCACCGCCCCATGAAGCTTACGTAGCGTTCAAGAAAAGTGCAGCGATGTGCATGCTAGTTTGTTTTGGGGGTAGGAGGGTGGAGACGGGTTTTTGTACTAATACGGACTAATGTCCAATTTAAAGTGCTAGTCCGCTAAGATACCGTGCTGCAGGTTAACATGAAAACCCCAAGAGAGAGAGAGAGAGAGAGAGATCACCCCACCCCACCCCACCCACCCACCCACCCCACCCACACACACTATAACATACTACATTTGGTTTTCCAAATGGGGGGGGGGGGGGGGGGGGTATCCCCTTAAGACCCCCACCCACCCCTAATGGACCCCGCTTATGTACTATGTACCCCACTCATACACTATCACTCACTCTATATCTATCCGTGTACAATTGGAATCAAACCCATGCTTCAATCAGGATAAAACCAACACTCGGGCACGTGCCGCAGCAAACAAATGCGTGCATGCAAAAAGCGTGACCCGTATGCAAATGAGCTAGTCAGGATTTCAGCCGTGGACTCGGGTGGCAGTCATAAGTTGTGTGCGATGGCCTTCTCAGGGAAAATAATATATCAAACCTGCGCTTTCTTGGTGAGACATTTACAATTTTCGATATTGTTTTATTTGTAATTACTTATTGAAAGGTTGCATTATACGTATTGACAGGATCGAATCGAAACAAGCATGTAGTGAATGATACTTTTCTCGCTAGATTTAAACTGCGGTCAAGTATATCTATTTCTTTTATTACTGAAACGTATAAAGTATTTGTTATATGTATGACATTTGTGGCTGTATAGATTGCTCCGTGCATCAGCTGTATATACACGTCACCACTCTATTTATTTCATGCATGCGACGGGGCACTCGTAAAGATAGAGAAGTGTGCGCTTTGGAATGTATCTGTAATATTGTTGAGTTCTACACAACCCACAATTATGTAAACCCTCCCTCGATCGCAAACTGCAGGCAAGATTTGAATCGTGGAGTGGTGAATTTTGAGGTTATTGGGATGATTACTTAATCGTTTGATACCCATATTCTGAATTTTCTTAAACAGCGTGGAAGCAGACGACAATAATATACACGTAATGTCTATGGTATTTTTTAAATCTGCAAAGAAAATCGTAATTTGAAAGTCCATAATACCTTATTAACCAAGCCATTTTAATGTTAACCGACATGACGAGAGTCTGTAAATAATCGAGTCTGCACCAGACAATCCAGTGATTGACATCACGAGCATCGATCTACGCAATTGGGATACGATGACATGCATCAACCAAGTCAGCAAGTCTGACCACCCAGTCGACTTTTGCGAAAAGCATGGGTAGCCGAAGACCAATTCTAATCCGGATCTTCACGGGACTGTATTTTTGGTACTTCAATCGGAGAATAACGTCATGGAAATTGTATTTTTTTTAAATCTTTATATCTCTGAAACTAATAGGTACACTTTTTACCATATTCTGAAGACTCCCTTTCTTATTTTGAATTCTGATGGGAAATGGTCATACTTGGTTGTACGTATTAAAACAGTTTCCCGTTTGAAGTAAACGCATTCATGACGATGGACTGTATTGTAAACGGTATGTCAAAGTAACCGGTGTACTTAAATGTGTTATAAGGTTTTCATACCCCCGCTTGTAGAAATCATTGTTCTCCTGCATAGGTAGCACATGACATGCATTCGCAGATCCTATTGCCGCCATTGCCTACTGTGCACCCTCTAATATCCAGTGACATAGAATGAAGGTAGTGTGCAATGGTTTCTCGGTTTATGGCTATAGAACACACAAAACAAGTTGACTTGCACTCGGTGGGAAGGCTGCGGGTTGCAGTGCCCACCAGCCGTGACAGATTTAATAGTCATATGAAAAGAGAATCGTCTGTTCTTAACCTCTTTTGAGTAGTATATTTGTAAAATTCTTGTCGGTAGATGGGATATAAATAAGACATTTCTGGGTTTATTTCCTTCAAGAAGTAAATATAATATTTGACATGTTTCAAGTGAAGTCGGTCTCGTCCGTCTTGAACAATTTTGTAATTGTCTGTTTGCAATCGGCGCGATATAAAACAATTGTGCATTTCAGTTTATATTTTCCGCATTACTTATGGTCGGTCTGGCCCAGAGTTTTCATACATGGTCGATGTAAAAATCGCTAAAACCCAAGACTCTGGATAAACGACTTGAATCAAATTTGTTGGGACTGCCGATATTCCTAGGTCAAGCCCCCTTTCACTGTTATGGTCATTTGGACACTATAGGCGTTGGCGCTCGGCACGCTCGGCAACAACCTGGCTTCAGTGACCCTCAACATCCTGGGCGACAATGACTACGCCCCCGAGTTCCCCTCCTCAATCAACAACGTCATCATTCCTGAAGGGGTGTACTCCTTTCAGAAACCCTTTCTTGTGACCAAGGTAGGTTTCAGTAATTGGATTCCAATGGTTTATATATGCATTACATAATATTCTTTACCTGAACTTATGACACTTTAACAATAGTTAGTTTTCATAATACTCCCAACATGTAGGTGGCCCGTTATGAGCTAATTAAATAAATCATAAGCGAGGGACGTGGGAGGTATGCAGGGAGGTGAGGGACGTGGAAGGTAGGCAATGAGGCGAGGAACGTGGAAGGTATGTAGGGAGGTATGCAGGGAGGCGAGGGACGTGGAAGGTATGCAAGGAGGCGAGGAACGTGGAAGGTATGCAGAGTGACGCGGAAGGTATGCAGAGTGACGTGGAAGGTATGCAGGGAGGCGAGGAACGTGGAAGGTATGCAGGGAGGCGAGGGACGCGGAAGGTATGCAGAGGGACGTGGAAGGTATGCAGGGAGGCGAGGAACGTGGAAGGTATGCAGGGAGGCGAGGGACGTGGAAGGTATGTAGGGAGGTATGCAGGGAGGCATGCAGGGAGGCGAGGGACGTGGAAGGTATGCAGAGGGACGTGGAAGGTATGCAGGGAGGCGAGTGACGTGGAAGGTATGCAGGGAGGCGAGTGACGTGGAAGGGAGGCGAGGGACGTGGAAGGTATGCAGGGAGGCGAGGAACATGGAAGGTATGCAGGGAGGCGAGGAACGTGGAAGGTATTCAGGGAGGCGAGGAACGTGGAAGGTATGTAGGGAGGTATGCAGGGAGGCGAGGGACGTGGAAGGTATGCAGGGAGGCGAGGGACGTGGGAGGTATGCAGGGAGGCGAGGGACGTGGGAGGTATGCAGGGAGGCGAGGGACGTGGGAGGTATGCAGGGAGGCGAGGAACGTGGAAGGTAAGTAGGGAGGCGAGGAAGGGAGGCGAGGAACGTGGGAGGTATGCAGGGAGGCGAGGAACGTGGAAGGTATGCAGGGAGTATGTAGGGAGGCGAGGGACGTGGAAGGTATATGCAGGGATGCGAGGGACGTGGAAGGTATGCTGCAGGGAGGCGAGGGACGTGGAAGGTATGCAGGGAGGTATGCAGGGAGTTGAGGGACGTGGAAGGTATGCAATGAGGCGAGGAACGTGGAAGGTATGCAGGGAGGCGAGGGACGTGGAAGGTATGCAGGGAGGCGAGGGACGTGGAAGGTATGCAGGGAGGCGAGGGACGTGGAAGGTATGTAGGGAGGTATGCAGGGAGGCGAGGGACGTGGAAGGTATGCAAGGAGGCGAGGAATGTGGAAGGTATGCAGGGAGGCGAGGAATGTGGAAGGTATGCAGGGAGGCAAGGAACGTGGAAGGTATGCAGGGAGGCGAGGAACGTGGAAGGTATGCAGGGGGCGAGGGACGTGGAAGGTATGCAGAGGGACGTGGAAGGTATGCAGGGAGGCGAGGGACGCGGAAGGTATGCAGAGGGACGTGGAAGGTATGCAGGGAGGCGAGGAACGTGGAAGGTATGCAAGGAGGCGAGGAATGTGGAAGGTATGCAAGGAGGCGAGGAATGTGGAAGGTATGCAGGGAGGCGAGGAACGTGGAAGGTATGCAGGGAGGCGAGGAACGTGGAAGGTATGCAGGGGGCGAGGGACGTGGAAGGTATGCAGAGGGACGTGGAAGGTATGCAGGGAGGCGAGTGACGTGGAAGGTATGCAAGGAGGCGAGGAACGTGGAAGGTATGCAGGGAGGTGAGGAACGTGGAAGGTATGTAGGGAGGTATGCAGGGAGGCGAGGGACGTGGAAGGTATGCAGGGAGGCGAGGAACGTGAGAGGTATGCAGGGAGGCGAGGAACGTGGGAGGTATGCAGGGAGGCGAGGAACGTGGGAGGTATGCAGGGAGGCGAGGGACGTGGAAGGTAAGTAGGGAGGCGAGGAACGTGGAAGGTAAGTAGGGAGGCGAGGAACGTGGATGGTATGCAGGGAGGCGAGGAACGTGGATGGTATGCAGGGAGGGAGGCGTGGAAGGTATGTTGCAGGGAGGCGAGGGACGTGGAAGGTATGCTGCAGGGAGGCGAGGGACGTGGAAGGTATGCAGGGAGGCGAGGAACGTGGAAGGTATGCAGTGAGGCGAGGAACGAGGGAGGTATGCAGGGAGGCGAGGAACGTGGAAGGTATGCAGGGAGGCGAGTGACGTGGAAGGTATGCAGGGAGGCGAGGAACGTGGGAGGTATGCAGGGAGGCGAGGGACGTGGAAGGTATGCAGGGAGGCGAGGAACGTGGAAGGTATGCAGGGAGGCGAGGAACGAGGGAGGTATGCAGGGAGGCGAGGAACGTGGAAGGTATGCAGGGAGGCGAGGAACGAGGGAGGTATGCAGGGAGGCGAGGAACGAGGGAGGTATGCAGGGAGGTGTGGAAGGTGGAAGGTATGCAGGGAGGCGAGGGACGGGGGAGGTTTGCAGGCAGGTGCTAATTCTTTTGGTGTGGGCTAATGAATAACTCAATTGATAATATTAACACATGACAAAGGGAGTGACCTGACAACCTCACAATAACCAACTCCAAACTCAACTCAAAAAAATGTTCTTTTAAGATATTCCAAGAGACGTTTGGCATGATAACTTTGGAAACTGTTGTTTTGTGGTTGTCAGGTCTGTTTTGTTGACAGCTCGAAGCTCTGGACCGTGACACCAAACTCAGTGGGAACGTGAGCTATGCTGTCGCGGGGGTGTCCAAGCGTGGATGGGGCAAATTCCATCTGAGAGAACTTGATAAACTCGTGCTGATTTCCCCCGTGAAGGCCGGGGACAACTTTGTAATCGTGGTAGAAGCAACGGATCACGGCAAACCGCCCAGAAGGTAGAGGCCAATATGTACACCTTAAATCATACAATGGATTTTTTAGTTCAAATAATGTAACAGGTTAAGAATGCATATTTGAAAGAACGAAGAAAAATTATTTTTTCTTGATTTTCAAACTCCGCCTTGACTGCAGAATACCAAGGCTGCAGAAGTCCACCCACAGCTGTACTGATTGACCAGTAACTGTTGTCTTCTTCAGGGATCATTGCGCAGTGGTGGTCACCGTGAAGAGCGATTCGGAGGGTCCCTCGATTCCCAGTGATCGGTATACCGTTCGTTTGTCTGAAGGAATCCAGACTGGCAACCACGTGCTTACTATACCGGTATGTGTTTCTGTTGACTGGACAGGTTTTATCTAGTCAACTTTTGACGTGTGTGTCCAGGTGGTGAATGTTTGCCTGGATATGTTAGAACAGTACAGTATTTGATAAAACTGACGCCTGAATGATGAAATTTACATGTTGGTATTATACTTTTACTAAATGTCAGTATAGCTATGAAAATGATTAGTACTTGCTGGGTTAAAGAGATCATGATATTCACCTGCTGGAAATCAGCGACCATATACCGGTATATGGTCCCTGTGTAAACTGTTGTACAACTGACCCATGAAGACCCGGGTTAGAAAAAGGTCTTCAGCAACATATATGCTTGTAAAAGGCGACTATGCTTGTCGTAAGAGGCGACTAACGGGATCGGATGGCCAGGCACGCTGACTTGCTTGATGCATGACATCGTATCCCAATTGTGTGGATCAATAGAAGGGCAGTCACTGGATTGTCAGGTCCAGACTCGATTATTCAAGACCGCCGTCATGCAGCTGGAATATTGCTGAGTGCAGCGTTAAACAACAAACAAATGTTGTAAACTGCACCTGTATCTGTTTGCTCGAACATGGGATAGTTTACTCGGTCTGTTGACGAATGCGTGTTGAGCAAGGACTCTACGTGCACCACGTCACAATCCACCACATTCCCCTGTTCAAGGAGGGAAAACGGACATTCACTTATCATACGCCGTGATTTTCGAGAGCACGTTTAGGTTCACGTATGTATCAGTTCCACTTTTTCAACTAATCCAAACCAAACTCTGGTAAATCTGTCAACAACGGGTTTGGAAAGAAGGGTTCCGCCGAGGCTTCCACAAAGTCCGACAACTGGTAGTCTAGATCACGTACTTTGTGTACCCCTCTGACATTGTGTTTTCATAGCTTTCGGCCATGCGAGTCGTGCTAATTTACACATGTCAGAGTTACACAAAGTACGTGATCTAGACTACCAGTTTTTCATTTTTGTGGAAGCCTCGGTGGGTGAGGGGGTTTGATCGCTGACTTTATGTGCTGGCGATTAGGTGCCTCACTCGGGCAGTGTAAGTTCGAATCCCGGACGGGACTCAACCCCAAAAATACGATAATCTGTTCTTTACTCAGAAAGTGTTATCCCAAATGACATTTGTTACATCTATACGTAGATACAAAAAACAACCTTCATATTTTCTAGGCGCGTGATCCCAGCAACGGAACTCTGAACTTCGAAATAGTATCGGGCAATACCAACGATGACTTTGCCATAGACGAAGAGTAAGTTTCTATATACCCAAAGGTGCCAGGTGTTCCTGTAATGTGACTTAAAGAAGTTATATTATTTATATATGGTTAAAAAAAACCATAACTCTTCTCCGGTGTCTACCGGTGAACGTCCGGGTTAGAATTGGTCTTCAGCAACCCATGCATGTAAGAGGCGAGTGACAGGGCGCCTGGCCAGGCTCGCTGACTTGTTTGATGCATGTCACGTACCCCAAATGCGTAGATCAATGTCAGTGACTTGATTGTCTGGTCCAGATTCGATTATTTACAGACCGCCGTCATATTGGAACATTGCCGAGTGCGGCGATAAACGAACTAGTTCATGGTAACCAAAAGGTTCGAAAACATTGTAACTGGTTAAACGGTTCGAGGGAGCTAGTTTAACCGGTTCGAGGGAGCTAGTTTAACCGGTTCGAGGGAGCTAGTTTAACGACGAATTGCAGTAACTGTTCTATAACAGTGTGGATGCAGGTATTCCGGGTAGAATAGACCTAAGTGCCTCATGCTTGTAACCTGCATGCTTGTAACCTGCATGCTTGTAACCTGCATGCTTGAGAGGATCGAGTGGGCTAATACCTGTCTGATTGTGCCCCAGTGGTGTGGATCGTTGCCCTTTCTTTCAGTCACTGTTTTAATGAATATTGCTGATCCGGCGTTTAATACCCTTTACTCTATTAGGGAGGAAATTACAAAATGAGTTCGGTCTTAAACCTTCAACACTGACACTCACTTGGCACATTATCGAAGAACATAAGTGTCAAATGTCATGACATTTATATAGCGAAAGTCAACTTTCCTATTTCAGAGGCGTCTTGCGGAATGTTCACGTTCTGAATATCAACCGTACCGGAGAGTACCGTCTCAAGGTCAACGTGACTAACACAGATGGATTAGTAAGTACTAGGTTAGGCTGCACACTGTCGAAAACACCAGGTTAGGTTAAAAAGCTGATGTACTACAACGTGCCCGGCCTTTCACCTCCTTTAAAAGGATAGTCACTTGGGAGATCAGGGCCCACTTGCACAAAGCGATCTTAGCGCTAAGACTATTGTAAGCCTATGCTAAAGTATGGGAGTTACGATCATGTTATCGCTAAGATCGCTTTGTGCAAGTGGGCCCTGGTGGTCACAATTGGTCGGATCTGTAACGCTGATACGATATACCTCGGCGTGAAGATCTAAAGATCCGAGTAGAATAGGTCTTCAGCAACCCATGCTTGCAGTAAAAGGCGACTCTGCTTGTTGTAAGAGTCAACTAACGGGATCGGGTGGTCAGGCTTGCCGACGTGGTTGATGCATGTCATCGTATCCCAATTGCGGATCGATGCTCATGATGTCAATCACTCGATTGTCTGGTCCAGACTCGATTTTTTACAGACCGCCGTCATATAGCTGGAATATTGCTGAGTGCGGCGTTAAACAGCAACGAAACAAACGAACATCGGTCGATAAATTTTACGGACCTCTAGTTATATTGAAACAACATTGCTTCGTCACAATGATTTGCTTATCCCCGAGACTTTCCTGTGAACGGTGACAGTTTCTCTGTATACACAAACTCTTTGAAAATGTAGCAGGGCGTGGAGTCATCTCACAGATGACGTCCAACCTCTACAGCTGATGGAATGACAATGAACTGCGACTTGACCAGTCGGCGAATGTTGAAATGTTGTATTTGATTGCAGTCTGACGACACATTAGTGGACATCCGAGTGGTCCAACATTACCTACACGTCCACAACTGCTCGTGCAAAAAGCCCGAGGGCCCACGCAATAGGCGTCCCAAGATTCCATCCCCCCTCTACATGGTCCATATTGGAGAATGGGCCCTCATCAACACCACGATCTTCACAATACCGGTAGGAGATGATACACAATAGGCCCCGTAGGGGTTCCGGGTTATAATGTTTCTCACAACCTATGCGGGGCGGTCGGGTAGCCAAGTGGTTAAAGCGTTCGCTCGTCACGCCCAAGACCCGGGTTCGATTCCCGACATGGGTACAATGTGTGAAGCCCATTTCTGGTGCCCCCAGCCGTGATATTGCTGGAATATTGCTAACAGCGGCGTAAAACCTTACTCTAACAACCTCTGCAGGTCGTAACAGGCGACTAAATGGCGACAAAATCGTGTGGCCAGGCTCGGCATCCAGACAGGTGGGTCGTTGGTGCAGGCCGTCATGTCGCTGGAATACTGCTGAGTGCAAAAAATACATTCTTGTCGTCAATGTAAATTTGATATGATTAATTCTTCAAATCAAAACCCTGATATTCCGGGATATCGGGAACCAGAACAGATTTTTGCACTGTGTAGTATTAAATATGGCGAACACGAGGAGTGGCAATGGTTACCCTTGATTATGGATACAGCTTACCTAGCCTTGTGAATGAAGCTTTCGCACGTCACGTTGAAGGCCAGGTTCGACTCCTAGAAGAGTGCAATGTGTGAAGCACATTTATGATGCCCCCTCCGTCCCACTATGCTTGTCGAAAGAGGCGACTAACGGGATGGGTGGTCAGGCTCGCTGTCATGGTTGATGCATGTCGTAGTATTGTCTGTCAGTGGATTGTCTGGTCCAAATTCGATTATTTACAGACCGCCGTCATAAAGCTGGAATATTGCTGAGTGCGGCGTACAACAAACCAAACCAATGTATGTATACCCTATTGAAATAACCCGACCATTCCATATTTGTTTTAAATTTGATATTTGCAGGGAGTGGATCCCGATGGCGACAACTTGACCTACAGTATTGTCAGTGGTAACGCGGATAGGGATTTTGAAATTGATCCATCCAGGTAAGGGTGCAATAAAGTCGTGTGGTATTGTGTGCTGCTGTTGTTGGTGGTGGTGGTTACTTCAGGCCGCCTTGTGAGGTGCCTGGTCGGTGAGGTTCCATGAGGTACCCGTGAAGATCCGGGCTAGAATAGGTCTTAAGCATCCCATGCTTGCTGTAAAAGGCGACTAACGGGATCGGGTGGTCAGGCTCGCTGACTTGGTCGATGCATGTCATCGTATCCCATCGTATCCCAATTGAGTGGATCAATGCTCATGGCAATCCCTGGATAAATCATGACATTTCAGACCGCCGTCACATAGCTGGAGTATTGCTGAGTATTAAAGAGCAAATAAGCATGACTGATTGTTACTTCGCTTATTGTGTAGATAGATGCTCATGACAATCACTGGGTTATTTGGCCCATACTCGATTTACAGACCACCGTCATATAGCAGGAATATTGCTGAGTGTCGCATTAAACATCAAGCAAACATAAATGATCTTTATGCAGAATCTCTAGTGAAGAAACTTTAATACAAACTTATAAAAATGTTTCAACTTAAACTGGAAGTAAAGTATGAACTTGAAATATGTATTGTTTAAAATGGCACCTAAAGTTCTTGGAACGTATTTTACACAACGTTTTGCATAAAGAACTTATTCTCAAACGTGTATGTGATGACTTGAATGCCAAATGAATTGATAAAGCATTTACTTTCAGTGGTCTAGTGGTTAATGTCCGTTCCTTAGACTACAAACGGAAGCCAGGCTACGAGCTGAGCGTCAGGGCTGTGGACTCAAGAGGGGAGGTGTGTATTACTTTTGGTTTTTGCTATTTTACTTTCCTGGTTATGTTGAAGTTAAAGTTTCCTAGGCGTATCGGAGCACGGTTGGCTCTGTCGCCCAAGGGGCCGCTGTGCAGTTGATGTCTGGGTGTTTCTAGGTTTGTGAGCACCACAAGCCAGCTGGTAGGTTTCCCTGTGGTACAAGATCCTGATTACCTCCGACTTTAACCCCACATCATGCTGAAAATCCCTGATGTAACAGAAATTCTGTGGATAGATTCATAGACGTCATGATCCGGGTGAGAATTGATCTGGTTATGAGGCGATAGGGCATCAGACTTGCTGACTTGGTTGATTTGTCATCGTATCCCAATTGCCAAGGCTCATGTTGATCTCTGGATCGTCTGGTCCAGACTAGATTATTTACAGACGGCAGCCATACATCTGGAGCGTACCATTGTTGGGGGAAAAAGGTAGCCACCCGCGACAAGTAGTACGATGAACACATGCGTGTCCTGTCTCGGCTAACGTGTTCTAGTGGCATTTCAATAGCACACAATAGGACGTGCCCATGTGAGGTACCCGATGACTGGGAAAACGGCGACAGCAAATTTGCATAGAAAACAACACAATTGAGAAGTTTCCTGACAATGAAGGGAATTCATTGCTGTAAAAATGGAATACTTTTATTTACCGGTAGAGCAATAAAGAAGTGTCATGTCCATCAGATGATTGTGAAGGTTGAGACCTTAACGTCGTGATAGCTGACTCAATGGCATACTCCTTAATTAATCCCATGTGATTGTTTATGGGGTTTTAGCATACTGAAAACGTAATATTGCTAGCTGGATTTATATTGAAATAACTGGATATCCGTAGCACTAGTCTTGCATAGCTTTGACCTGTTTATTTGATTGTAATAAACATATATCAAACGACTTTAAGAGAACTCTGGTGTCGACCTCTTTATAGTCTGATGAGCAACACGTGTGCACGGGAGCGTAGTCAATTAATTGAACTTCATCATGACCTACATAACATGCGTACACCCTCTCTACCTGTAACAAACCAAATATGTTAGCCCAAAATCGGTGCACCACCTACGTCTCAAAGCCTATTTGTGAGTTGGTTTCAACTTATCCTGGATTACCAGTAATGTTAAATTTTCAGTCTGCGTCAACACGACTTCGGATTATAGTCATCAAGAACACCACCACCACCAACAACGACGACCACCCCCTCAGCGACATGATCGTGGACGCCAAGACGTGTCAGTGCGACATGTTGAATGCCGGAAGGAGTGACCACGACCGAAGAAACCTCATCGCTGTCATCTGCGTGCTGACGGCCATGGTGCTGTGGGGGATGAACTGACACAACATGTTTATTTTATGAAGACATGTAAAAGTTTCAACGTTATGTCTTGTTTGTTTTGTTTTCTCGACGTACAGACGCGCGTGGAATGGTCATCCAGTAGTTTGATCGGTCGGGTAGCCTAGTGGTTAAAGCGTTCGCTCGTCACGCCGAAGACCCGGGTTCGATTCCCGACATGGGTACAATTTGTGAAGCCCATTTCTGGTGTCCCCCGCCGTGATATTGCTGGAATATTGCTAAAAGCGGCGTAAAACCATATTCACTCACTCACTCATCCAGTAGTTATGGACTTGGCTGAGTGTAGAACGTGAATAAGTTGGGTTAATCACGGTGTGTCAGCTTAATGCTGGAGGAAATCCTGAGCCCATGCAGGTCAGACGTTTACCATTTTGGTGAAACCCACAAGAACGGGTACGGTCCTGACAAACAGGGGAGTCCGGGGGACATAATCGAGGCGACCCGTGATGATCCGCGGCAGAATAGGTCTTTAGCAGCCCATGCTTGCCGTAAAAGGCGACTAACGGGATCGGGTGGTCAGGCTCACTGACTCACTGACGCATGGCATCGTATCCCAATTGCGTGGATCGATGCTCATGATGTCAATCACTGGAATTGTCTGGTCCAGACTCGATTATTTACAGACCGCCGTCATATAGTTGGAATATTGCTGAGTGCGGCGTTAAACAGCAAACATATTCGAGGCGACCTGGGATTCGAACCCCCATCATAGGTTTCTGGCGAGCCCAAGAGACGCAACTCTGCAAAGGGAATTGCGGCGCCTTAGACTGGGCCACCTTTGCTAACTAAAAAAAATTATCAATATATACTGAACAACAAAAGTTCCTGTGATATTGAATAAGATTCAATGTTTTTTACCAAATCTGAAACAATTTCGGTTTGCAGCAGATAAAAGACTCCTGCAAGTGTTCAAATGGTTTAATTTGCCATACTGACCAGAAAATGCGTGATTTCATAAAAAAACAAACATGAACATGCCAAAATGTCAATTTACAAATCAATAGCGTGTGTGTCCACCTCTGGTTGCGATGCAAGCAACACATCTTCGTCTCGTGGAATGGACCAGGCGTCGCACAAATTCCTGTGGGATATCTGTCCATATCTGATGGAGCATGTTTCGAAGTTCCTGGTTCCGCCCCCGAACCGATCTTCTTCCATGACACAATGATTGACGTAACGTTCACCTCGACGTCGGTACTCTCGAATCCGTCCATCGCTGTGGCTGAGGTGAAAACGAAACTCGTTTGTAAATAGAACTTGTCCCCACTGCATGGCCGTCCAGCGTAGACGCTGTCTGCACCACTGTAGACGTGCTTGACGGTGGTTTCCACGTCTGGCGGGTCTCCTGGTGACAATCCCTGCACATCTGAGGCGACGACGTACGGTTTGTGAAGATATTTTCGAAGGCCAGGGATGCATCTTGCAATCACTGTCGCTGGCTGGAATCGATTTTGTAGGTGTGTTGTCTTGTCGATCATTGGTTACGCGTGGCCTGCCACTCCGAGGATGGTCTGACTGCATTCGTCTGTTGTCAACGTTGCCATAAACACCAAATGGTGTTTCTGTGGACGTTAAATTGTCTTGCAACATCACGATGACTTGATCCTGCTTCAAGCATACCAATGGCTCGCAGGCGCTCAATTTAGGACAGGCGTGGCATTTCGTAATGTTGAATTTTGTTGTTTTTCTGAGTGGTTGTCAGCACGATGCTAAACAATGCATATGGAATCCCGTTAACGCATATGTTTTTATACCCATTCTTGGGTATAGTGAAATGCATGGGGTTTGCATAAAAGTCAACTTTTGCAAGGAATGCATGATGCTTTTCTGTAGCAGTTGCGTTTTGGGGCTTGATTCCATACATATACTACAATATTGAAAACCAAACTTTACTTGTTTGAAAAATACACTAAAATATTGGTGTCGCAGGAACTTTTGTTGTTGAGTATACTTTTTTTGTTTAACGCCACACTCGGCAATATTGCAGCTATATGACGGCAGTCTGGACCAGACAATCCAGTGCTTAATATCGTGAGCATCGATCCACGCAATTGGGATGACATGCATCAACCAAGTCAACGAGCCTGACCAGCCGATCCCGTTAGTTGCCTCTTACAAGCAGTCGCTTTCTACGGCAAGCATGGGTCGCTGAAGACCTGTTCTACCCCGGATCTTCACGGGTCATCAGTATACTAAGTTACAACTATTGGAAGTCCGTATACTCCTTTTTAAAAAATAAACATATATACTCTGCAAAAAACGCACTCTGCCTGCAGTGCTTAATGCCAACTGTCGGGGGTTCTATTGTTGCTGACGTGCTGGCAGTCGTTGATCCAATTCATCACATAAATGTTTTATTGGAGGGCCATGGCAGGATCTAGGTGTTGTGATTGCACTGCGGGAAGAGTGGGTGAACATTCCCCAGGCCACAATTCGGGAGCTGATTGCATCCATGGGACGACGATGCCAGTCAGTTTTGGATACTAATGGTGGCCATACAAGATACTGAGCACAGAAGGCCTTCACCTTGAACATTTACTTTTCTATAGTGCCATATGAAACCCAAGTCAATGAAAATGTGTGCAAATTTTGAACAATTGATTACCATATGTTGATTATTTATGATACATAAAGTATACATCTAAAGTCACTTTTGCGTGTCTTTATTTGCAGAGTATATAAACATGTCAAAGCCCGGTAAGCATTGTCAAATCCTACATTCTCGGGCTCGAGAATTAACCTGTAATGTCATAAGTTACAGGGAGCCTGAAGAACGTACAAATATACTACTCAAAAGAAGTTAAGGATCACCTGATTCTTTCATATTACTATAGTTAATCTCTCATGTCATGACGGATTAACTTTACCATTATGAAAGAATCGGGTGATGCTTAACTTCTTTTGAGTAGAATAGATCTCAAGCATTGTCAAAAGCTAGCATTGCCACAGGACTGACTGTATCTTCGCTGAAGGACATTAGAATGTGAAGACTATAGTGCTATGATTATCCAGTTCAATCAATCTTTATTTCACGTACTGAAGAGGCAACAGGCCTATAGTACAATTTGAAGAATATACAATTTTATACAATTTATGTACATATCTCACCAAATCACCTCACGTCATTCCACATCGCATCTCAACAGTCACATAATTTCACACATACAGTACAATACCATACCCTGTAATTTCATAAGACTATAGTGCTATGATTATCCAGTTATTCCAATATAAATCCAGCTGGCAATTCAGTATGCTGAAGCCCCAAGCAATCACATGGGATTAATTAAGGAGTGTGTCATTGATGCAACTATCCCTACGTTGTCTCAACCTTCACAATCATCTGATGGACATGACACTATTCGTTATTGCTCTATGGGTTAAAAAGCATTCCATTTTTACAGCCAATGAATTTCCGTCATTGTCACGAAACTTCTCAATTGTTGTTTTCTATGCAAATGTGCTGTCACCCTTTTCCCAGTCATCGGGTACCTCACATGGGCATACTATTATGTGCTATTGAACTCGCCACTAGACCTCGTTGATCTGACACGCACAGATCCATCGTACAACTCGCCTCGGACCACCCGCTACCCCTTTCTTCGCAGTGGTACGCGTCAGTGGGTGGACCTTATTCGTCGTACGGGGTTAATTGTCGGGGCACAACTCAACTTATCCTGGCCAAGAGCCAGACGGTGTTTTGACGCAATACACGCGGAGTGTGGCCTATCCAACGATAGAGAACTATTCGGTTCATCGACAAGTAAAGATTTATGCTACATCGAGCTGATGGGAGAGCCAGGGTCGTTATCGACGTCGCTAACTGCGTACGGAAAATCAGCTTGGGCGAAATTCAACGCTTGTGATAAAATCTGACAGGGGTACCCTATCCTCATAATGAGGCGAGGTGAAATGGGGTTTAACGTCGCATCTAAGATTATTGCGGTCATTTTGCGACGTACGTGTGTGGGTGGGGTTTCGGGGGGGGGGGGGGAATTGCTTGGGGGGGATTGCTTGGACGAGTCCAGTCTAGTGCCGATTTTATAGTGCTCGCCCACTGAGACACCATGCCGCACTTTTAACACGAATGACTCGCTCAGACACAGTATACTGACTCCGAGCCGACCAGGCCTTGTTTTATCCCCTTAATATCTAGTGCCAGACAGGGTAACAAGTACCATCCTTCATCGTCTGTTGGTATGACGCGGTCGGGGTTCGAATCCCGGACCTTCCGCTCTCGGGGCGGACGCTCTATCACTAGACCACGGAGGCGGTCCTTAATGGTCAGAGAATCGAAATGTTGGTGTGATGAGTAACCTTCCACGCCAAATGGGTAAAGGTGTGTACATTGTTCTCCAGTCCCTGTCACTTTGACAGATGTCATGTTTTCATTTTATAAGTGTTCATGTTGTATGTGGCACTGTTCTGCATTACCAGCCAGCATTTGAATGCCATACGACTTCATTGCATCCCTACCTGGATGGTTCTATTTCATAATCCCCGTTGTCGTTACCACTGAGAATACAGTAGGTCAAGTTGTCGCCATCTGGATAAACTCCCTGCCCAATATCAAATTAAAAACAGGTATGGAATTTTCAATATGGTATACATACATTGTTTGTTGTTTAACGCCGCACTCAACAATATTCAAGCTATATGAAGGCGATCTGTAAATAATCGAGTCTGGATCCGAGTCTGGAAAAATCCACGCCGCAATTGGGATGCGATGACATGCATCAACCAAGTCAGTGAGCCTGACCATCCGATCCGGTTATAGTCGCCTCTTACGACACCCATGAGGTAATGAAAACCGATTCTAACTCGGATCTTCAAGAGGCAAAAACTGAAGCTGTTCTGTTCTGAGTTTCTCGACTCGACATGCACACACATGAACAAACAAACAAAACCAAATTTAAAGTCAAAACTGATTTTCATATTTCGCGCGAATGGAACTCGGGGCAAGTGCGAAACAGTGGCCAAAAATTTCGCGCCAAATATCCAAGATGGCTGCGCACATGAACAGATGACCAATGTCAAAATAATTTGACGTTTTTATGAAAACAGGTGCGGTATGAATTAAATTTGGGAAAATGTAATATTCACATTGTGATAATTTAGTTATACAGCAATGAAACGCTACACCTGTATTCTATATGTGCCAATACAATCAGAATTAGGCAAGGACTTATCCTCAAGCGATAGCGTTGTATCACCTGAAGACACATTACATTCAGATCAAGGCTAACACGTGATGCATACCAAGGTTGTTGGCATCTGTTCGATCAGTTTATATGCGATCAAAATTGGTAATGCATATTTCATTTCTACAAAAGTCTCATGATCTACATTGCAAATAGGCCCGTAGCCCAGAATGTTATTGTTATTCTCAATCAAAACAACGATGACATAGGCTTATCTATCGTCCAGATAATATAGGTGGCGGAAAATTCAGAAATACAACGTTTTATTTTGCAATTTGTCAACCATGTTCAGTTGTCATCATAATATTAATGCCAGGGAAAGTTGTCCTGAGGGGTGAAATAAAAAATCATACACATGAAAAATGAAACGGAGATCGCCAGTACTGACATTGAAGGGGTCGTTGTCAGCAAGAGTACTACAGATATGGACCCCATTTCTGTATACACAAATGTACCCTAGATAAAATTAGAATACAGAAATGTATCCGGTACCAAAACAGACGGATGAGTCCATATTCGTCAACCTGGTAACCGGTTCATGTTGTTCAGGTTTGCCTAATAATAGGTGCATGCTGGGTAATACTGTGTGCCTGGCAGAATATACACTGTGTATGCTCGTTTCTTATATAACACACAGGAATGCATCTCATCCAACAGTATGACACAATTTGAAAAATATTTTGTTAAAAATGAAAAAGAGATTTAATTGGATAAATTGTGTCATGTTTGGACAAAGTGGAACTGAGTGCGTAAGCGTTCAAGGAACCGGTTAAGAGCTCTGCACAATCCGTTCAAAGAACCGGTTAAGAGCTCTGCACAATCCGTTCAAAGAACTGGTTAAGAGCTCTGCGCAATCCGTTCAAGGAATGCAATGAGATATGGACTCGTCCTAGGGTACGTTTCTGTATATTGATTTTGGCTAGGGTATATTTCTGTATACAGAAACATACCTGGGGTACATATCTGTAGTACCTGTGCTGACTACGACCCCTTCCGTAGAACTGACCTGCTTGACCAACTAGAAGTTAAATGTTATACAATATTGATAATCAACATAGCCAGTGGATACTCCAAATGTTTCCAGATCATGAATCAAAATTCATACATATTGTTACGACTATTTTAAACACATGGTTTAAATTTAAGTTTAAACGGAAAGAAACTGCCAGTATAACGTGACTTACGTGGGTAATGTAAGTGATAACGAATCCTAGCACTCTTTTCTATGATGCGAGTAATTTAGATTGTGTGGTCAGGCTTGGTTACATGGTCGAATGATTGCATGTCATCATGCCCCACAGGGTTAGAACTGAACTCACAAGCTTTACTGGCCCAGGTAAAGATAAAATGCCCATGTAACGTTAAAACAATGGGGAAATGTGTACTAGCCCCAGGATAGTGGGCTGTTGCTCTAACCCTGCCCCAGCTGCATGAGACGTTGCTTCTAATATCATCCCCTGGTTTGTCCGACCCAAGCTTGATTTTTTTACAGGACGTTGTGATATAGTGTGAATGTTGCTGGCTGTGGCGTAAAACAACACTCACTCTCATTATCATTTTGATAATGATAATCAATGATAATGAAGTACATTTATTCATTAGCTGACCTACACACACTAAAAGTACAACTTACATATACACAGATTATAGTTCTGTTTGGGTCACTCAAAAAGATCAGCAATTTTGTATGGGTCAGCTAATTTGGGGGTCGAACTGGCCAGTCATAACATCTTGTATTCAATAAATGGAGGGGGGAAATGATGCTCTAGCCTAACTGTAAATTCCTTTTTCTCTTACAGATACCAAAATGCTGAAGCAGATAGTGAAGAGTGTATTTCTGTTAGCATCTTCAGCAGTGGCTGTGCCATATACGGTGGCATTCTTATGCAATGTCCTATATGGATGGCCACAGTCTCGGGACAAGTACAAACGAGCATTCCATCCACGAAAAGTGTATGCTCTAAACTATGCTGTGTTGCAGAAACTGCTCATCTTTAAGTATGCCCCGTTGTACTTCAGATGGAAATTTTTCTACAGCAATGCTGATCGCTCCATCCTTGCTAAGGTATCTGGTAATATATTTTCAGTTACCGGTCTGAAAGTCAAGTGTGCTTATGTTGGGGGCTGTTAGTTAATTGTCTGTCTTTGTAGACATTTTAGACTGTTGACTTTGCATATCCAGGTGAGTTACAAAATTATTGAAAGCAATAATTTGTAAAGTTTTATATATTTATATTAATTATATATGTAGGTTGTTGACAAATTGTAACTTGGTCCACTAGTAATTGCCTGTCAATGTTAATCTGGACCATTAAATTTTAAGATTAACGTGTTCAGAATGGCTGGTGGAAAATATGAGATGTCAGTCACCATATTTTGTTTACCTGTAACAGATAAACAGAAATATATTGGTGAATATTAGCAATGTATAATAATGATGATGATGATGATGATGATGATGATGATAATAATAATATTAATATTAATAATAATAATAATGTGCTTATTCAGAATACTCTTAATCCACACCCTAAAGCATGGGCAAAGCACTACATTATTACCACAGTCAATGAATCAGTGTACACTCAAATTTTAGTATCAGCTCCCTGGGGAGTATATGACCAATGTTGCCTAGAGGGTTAACACTTAACACTCACATTTCTATTCACCATTCACTGTTGGGTGAACAGTGGCATATTTTGAACAAATTGTCTTGCCTAACGAGACACCCCATGTAACAGGTGATTGAGTGTGGGGCTGGACCGAAGCCCTACATACGCTTGGCTGTCAAACTTGCCAAACAGAGTCACCCAGCCAACTATTCTCTGCGAACAATGTTGCTTAACAGGGGTAGATTTAGCAACAGATTTGGATGTAGCCAGTAGGGCTTGCTTGTATAAAAGTAATTGGCCCTTCTGTGAATCTCCAAACTAACTGGCCTAAAACTAAATCGTTAATGGTGGAGGCCACGAAGTTGCTGAACTTAAGGTCGCATAGCCACCTAGCAGGGGTGTGACAATTTTAGAACTTCTCACCCCAGAAACATCTTTTCCTGCACTCTTGAGATTAAATCTTGGCTTCCATTTGCCTCATTTCGTGGTGATTTTTGAGCAAATAAAGATGTCGTACACAGTGGCATCCGGTTGTCGTTCTACTGAGGTGATCAACATGTATCTTTCTTTGGGTTAACCATTTACACGACCTCATCCCACCTAATTATTTTCTCTACGAAATTACATGATTCATGAGCAGTGTCCAATTTATGGAGAAGGGGTGAAATTTTGCCTAGCCAGACAGGCCATCTGCTTAACGTTTCAGCAAGCCCTTTGTAATTTTAACTGGCCATGGGCCAAGGGGCCAGCAATTAACATTGTCCTATCATGACGCCATTTCTGGAGATTCGAACATACGCTCGCAACTTGATGATGTTAAATGGATGATGCTATCTTTGATCATGTTGATACAGTTGTGTGTTGTTCCTCTTCGTACTGTAGTGGGGGCACGGGTGGCACAGTCGTCTAAGGCGCCGCGATTCGCTGTGCAGAGTTGCGTCCCTTGGGCACGCCAGAAGCCTATGATTGTGGGTTCGAATCCCGGTACGCCCCAATTATGTTTCTAGGTTTGTCAGCACCATACCCGTGCTCCTGGGTTTCACCGAAGTGTTAAACGTCTGAGACCTGCATCACTTCGGGCTTTCCTCCCACATCAAGCTGACACACCGTGATATAACTGGAATACTGTTAAAAGCGGCGTTAAACCCAACTCACTCACTCACTCACTCACTCACTCACTCACTCACTCACTCACTCACTCACTCGTACTGTAGTACCCAGTTGTTGACAGTTAGACGTTTCACCATTTTCTGTAAGGCTTTAAGAATGACGTTTGTGAACACAATATATATATATATATATACTTGTTTTTGATGTTTGTGAGAATATTCCGAAAATACCAAACAAAAAAAACCCTGTTCATAAAATGGACTTGTCCGTCATTGCCAAGATCGGATTGTAATAAGCGAGCCATTATTGTTTAAATATGGGTTAATATTTTTAAAGCTTGTACATTTTATACATTGATCCATGCAATCATAATACAATGACATGCATCAACCAAGTCAGCGAGCTTGAAAACCCAATCCCGTTTGTCTCTTCTTACGACAAGCAAAGATACCTTTTTCGGCAAGCATGGGTTGCTGAAGACCTATTTTAACCCAGGTCTTCACCATGTTCACGGGGCAGTTTTGTTAGTGAAAAACAAAAACAAAAATTAGATAACTGGTACCATCCTGAACCATTCAAAGTTTTATTTTAGGTGCAATGAGAACATTTGTTTGTTTCTTGATGACAGGAGATTTACAAGTGAGATAAACAAGTCAAAGATGTGTTATTGTTTTTCAGGATTTGTCTTACGGACGCAATGACCGGACATTAGATGTGTATTCCCCGTTTCCCCACAACCCTGTTGAGCTGCGCCCAGTGGTGATCTTCGTTTTCGGGGGGGCGTGGGGATCGGGGGACAAGAGCAGGTATGGATTGCTGTGCATGCAGATTGCATCCAAACTGGGGGTGATTGTCTGCTGTCTCAACTACTCACTGTATCCACAGGTAAGGGTCCTGTATGTAGATACTGTGTTTATATGTAATGTTTGATCATGTTCAGTATAATGTCTTGAGTATATGTGATTTTGTCTTGTTACTAAATATACATTCTAGCATTACTCAATTGTGATTGGGCAATCAGAGGTTATCAAATCACAAAGTACCCCCTCGGACTGAAATAGCCAATCTGATGTCTGCATCACAGTGAAAGCTAATATTGTAATGTAATATTGATAGAATAGTACAGTCAAGTCCTGTTAATCCGACATCGATGGTTACATATGGTTATGTCGGATTAAAAGAAATTAAGTAGTATCAACATTCGTGATCGAAAATCGGACAACTACACGATAGATAACGATTCAAACACGTAATAAAAAAATAAAAAAATAAATATTCATATTGTTATGTTACATTGTTGGCGGAATATGTTTTCTATTCATGCAACCTCTAAAGTTTAACACAAAACAACTGTTACGGACTTTATGACTTATTCAGAATACTTTAAAAAGCATAGTCTGGAATTGACGTTGCAAGCTTGAAACTGGTACCGCAAAGCTTAAGAAAGCTGCTTTCTAAGTGGCTAACGTTGACTTCCTGTTAGTCATTTCATTGGTAGGTCGAAAGGTTGTTCTGACGTGAGATTTAGGTAATCTAAGCATGAGATTAATCCTGTTTTCTTTATTTAAAGCATTAATTGTTTATTGTTATGCAGCTACCAGCCGATTCGTCTCGCATCACAGCACGGGCTGTGTACTCGCGGACAGATGACAACGGAGTACGCTGATCACTGTGTCGGATTAAAGAGACTGATTAATGAGTGATTTCGGTAATTCGTTGCAAATTAGGTGTGTCGGAGTCGGAGTGCGAGACTCTCGGATTAACGGGTCTAAATAGCACTGATTTAGTCGGTTCCCATCATTAGTGTCAGATAAAGCTGATTGTCGGATTAACAAGACTTGACTGTACTTCTTTTTCTGTTATTGTCAGTAGACATTTTCAGATCATGATATGTACACTTATAGGTTACAAATTCAAAGTTATGGTTACTACAATATTCAAAGTATGTGTGGCAATACATTTTGTGCAGAAAACATGAGAACTTTTCAAAGATAATGTATTTTAAAGTTTTGGGAACAGGAGACTTGTCACTTTTCTATGTACGACTGTGACGTCTTATCATTTGTGTCACAATGAGGCAAATGACGTGAGGTGTAAAACGAAACCTTGCAAGTCTTGCTCAGGTTTTTTTGAACATTCTTCTTTATTTTTACCATGTTTAGAAAAAAAGTCTTAGTGCATTTTAAAGCCAGTGTCATGGGTAATGCACCAAACTGAAATCCTGGTTTAGTGTTCCCAAATGTAGTGTTGCATCAGTACAAAACAAAAAGTGTTATCCTACCTTCACAACAGAATGATAAGATCTGATTGGTTCACATGATCTTGATAAATTATTATGTATCCCGCCTGGGAAGGAAATAAATTTCTCCACAGGAGAATAAATCCCTTATACCCCGCCAAGAAGAAGACAGGCTGCATGTGGATTTGTGAACGGGAAAATAAATCACTTATACCCAGCTTTGAGCTGCACTCTTTATCAGAGTCAATGAAAATCATGTGACATCAATTTTGAATTTGTTCTAATTCTTTTACAATGGCACATCAAAACATGTCAGTATGCTACATTCGTTGTAGCAGAATCTTTCAGGGTACATGTGGTTTTATGCGTTCAGGGTACGTGTGGTTTTATGCGTTCAGGGTACGTGTGGTTTTATGCGTTCAGGGTACGTGTGGTTTTATGCGTTCAGGGTACATGTGGTTTTATGCGTTCAGGGTACATGTGGTTTTATGCGTTCAGGGTACATGTGGTTTTATGCGTTCAGGGTACATGTGGTTTTATGCGTTCAGGGTACATGTGGTTTTATGCGTTCAGGGTACGTGTGGTTTTATGCGTTCAGGGTACATGTGGTTTTATGCGTTCAGGGTACATGTGGTTTTATGCGTTCAGGGTACATGTGGTTTTATGTGTCCCCTGTTAGGTTTGTACCACTCGCCTCCAGCTTGTAGTATAAAACATAACACAGTCGCATATGACCACATGTACCTAGCAGAGTGATACTGCTACAACATACTGTAATATAATAAACGCCCCACTCTAATGGCGATATTTGCTAATATATTGGCTAGTAAACAATCCCAATTAGCACCCCTTCCGATTGATCAATGTACATGAGACTTATTTATTCGCGTATAATATATCTGTCGTATATAAACATTTCAGGCTGTCAGCATCAACCACAAAATTTATCTTACAACTCTGTTTTTTTCACCAAATTAATAGTCTAATAAGAGTCCCCTATTTCTAATTTTGATAGCGTCCTGAGCGCTTATTACATCGAATACAGTATATTATCCTGGTTATAGTGAACTCAAAACTAAGTTCCATAATATGACATAACGATGAACCATCAAAAACATGTTTTTCATGGATTGATCGGTGGTAAGGAGATAGTATTCTGTTTGGGAATATGAAAACATCTGTTGCACATGCAAGTATGATATAAGCTGTCTTCATTGAAACTTTGACCTAAATTGATTGTGCCCTAACTATTCTGTAATATCCAGTTTCTTTTGTGCAATCTCTTATTACCATTGTTAGTTATATCTTGTTCATGTTGTTACGCCTCAAACAGAGGTATTATGTTTCTGGCTTATAGGCGGATCCAGAGGCGACTAACGGGATCGGGTGGTCAGACTCGCTGACTTGGTTGATGCATGTCATCGTATCCCAATTGTGTGGATCGATGCTCATGATGTCAATCACTGGATTGCCTGGTCCAGACTCGATCATAACAGACTGCCATCATATAGCTGGAATATAGCTGAGTGCAGCATTGCTCAACAAACCAACCAACCAACCAATGTAAAACCCAAATCAGATATTCCTTGGTTGCCATAGTTACTATTGTGTTGTGTCCAGGGCTATGTGGATGATATGGTGCAGGATGTGGTGGACGGGATCAACTGGGTGCATGAGAACATCCACACGTACGGAGGCAACAAGGTATGTACTTGGGGAAAGAGTGTGAATTATGCACGAAAATATGGTACATGTTCTATGGTCTATGTTCTATGGTCTATAGAGACATGGTCTATCTGTGTTTCCTTTTAGTCATCAAATTTGTTTTCTTAAAGACTAGTCCATAGTACAAGTGGAAACCTGATTTCACTAGTCCTCGGACCTTGTAACTAGTCCTGCTTGTCCTCAGCATGATTTAGTAGTCAGTACGATTTATTGCAACCTTCATAATTTGATATAAATATGTTGCCTAAAGTATGACTTATCAAAATATGATTAAGAATATTTTGGTTGGAATTAGCGGGATTTCTGCATTCTGTGAATCCCTGACTATGGATAGGAGAACAATTTTTTCTTTCATTATGTTTTGGGTTCGATTCCTCGCAATGTCATACCAAAAAATGTTAAAAGATGCTATTTGTTGTTACCCTGCCTCTGGCAGTCAGTATTAAGGGGATAAAAAACAGATTTCTGTGTCTTAGTGTGGTATTTATAATATTCATTCAGCTTCGGCAAGATATCTGAGTGGGCTAACACTATAAAACAGACATTAGTCCAGACTAGCACAGACACACACATGCGCACGCACACGCACACACACACACACACACAGACACATAGACAGACAGACAGACACACACACACACACACACACACACACACACACACACACACACACACACACACACACATACACACACACACACACACACACACACACACACACACACACACACACACACACACACACACACACATACACACACACATTGCTACATAAGTGCAATAACCTGGAATGCGAAGTTAAAGCCATTTCACCTCACCTCGCTTCAATATGTTTTGATTCATTTTCATCTGTACAGGATCAAATAATGCTGATTGGCCACTCATCAGGGGCCCATCTGTCGTCCATGGCAATTCTGGAATTGTTGCACGACGAACGCATACAGATCCAGCCCTTCAAGGGGAGGCAACTCCAGTTTGACGACCAACACTACACAGGATCCAACAACAACAGTAACGGGGAGGAACAGGAAGGTCAGGAGGGCAGCTCCGGGTCTTCCGAGTCCTTCGCCCTCCTCAGTGATAATGGGGACCAGCACACTAATGACATTAATAACAGTGCAACGAGTACGTTCGAAGTCCTCAATGGGCAGCAAGCAGGCAAAGAATCCACTATGGCCAGCAGTGAGAGCAGACCCTCTGACGACAGTATGGACGTCATGGCAAGTCCCACGGAGGAGGGGGCTGAGCAGGTGGGCGTGGCTGAGGGAGGAGGTGGGGAGGAGGAGGAAGAGGAGGATAGTGGGGACGATGACTCAGTTGTGACTGTTCGACCCAAGGATATTGAAAGACATGCTACCCTGGTGGATCTGTGCAAGTCGGTTAAAGCATTTGTAGGTATGTGTTGTATTTTTACCATCACAGAAGGGAATAACCCTTGGGGATTGTAGGTGAGAACAGGTCCCCTGCAACCTCTGCTGGTATTTAGAGGCGACCAAATGGATTGGGTGGGAAGGCTCGGTGAGATGGATGGATGGATGGATGGATGGATGGATGGATGTGGTATGAATAGACAATGCCGTTTAGAAAGTGGTATCAGTGTGGGTTTGAATCCTGAATGGGACTCCACAAAAGATATTACAACAACGTATATTACACTTAGGTATTGTATGTCTTGATGTACCAATCCTTTCATTCCTTGTACATACCTCCAACTGTGTGCTGCAGGTTTAGCTGGCGTCTACAACATCGCCGACCACTACGTCCATGAGTATGGGCGGGGCGTCGAGGACATCTCCAGCATGGGGAGAGCCATGTATGGGGAGGATCACTTTGAGAGGTTTTCCCCCACAGTCATTATTAAAAACCTGGGCAGGAGTATCAGGTGAGAGTGCTGCAGGAAAAGGGATTTACCTGGGCTACCTTAGATGGGGGCCCAAGGAACTCAAAGCCTATATTGTAGGGGTCCCAGGTTAGACATTGGGGCCCCAAGCTAGAAAATGGAGGTTGCATAGAAATGTGAAAAATGTAATGGACCATCAGAAAACATATTGGCAGCAATGTCTCTCTTTGTTGTTAGACTGTTTTGCATAATTTTACATTTTTTCACTGGTTTTGCCTTGAAGTTTGTCATGACATTATGGTGAGGACATCAAGTTGCAATCATAGCTTTCATCGTGAGTTTTGGATTCATTAAGCATGTAAAGTCTTATCAAGGCTGAAAGTTTCTTAATTTATGCATCCCTTGCCAGTGGTAAAATCATTTTATGTGCCATTATGTCACACAATAAGATTATTATGCAGTGATGTTGTGAGTGAAACAAAGCAGTACAGGTGGCCAAGTTGTCTACGATGCGGCAATGTTGATGTGAAGAGTTGCTTCCCTTAGGTGGGCCAGAACTTGTGATAGTGGGTTTGAATCTTAGTTTCACCCTGGTTAGGCTGACAAGAATAAAAGAATAGTTTTCCAGGGAATGTTTTTTGGAAATTTAGTGAGGGCAGGGTTTTGTTGTTTTTGTTGTTGTTTTTTTATGCTGTTCAAACTAGTATTTAACCGGATATACAGTTGTGTGCTCCCTACATAAATGTTTTCCTTGATGTGTGAAATACTGGAATACAGTATTGGACTACCATTGGACTACCAGTGTGTGCATAATACATGCGTACAATGAGCTTTGATTTTATTTCACAACACGACGATGTTATCGAGCACACAACACTGGAAGAAGCATGTCAACAAATCAGTATTGAAGTACGCAAGTTCATCTTGTTATTACACTATCTGGCTATAAAAGTGTTCATTGTGTATCTGGACGTACTTTGTAATCCATTATATTACTATTATCTAAGATTTCGTTCAATTTTGTTTACATTAATTTCGGCGAAATCTGATCAACAAATCACATCAACTCACAATGAACTCGCCCTGAAAAGAACATTTTACTCGTAAGAGATACAAAGTCTTCAGTCTTCCTATCACTGTATTGAAATTTCTGTTCATTTATGATATTAGCCATGACATTTAGTATTTTGTAAACTAAATCATCCATGGATAGGGGAGAAAATGTCTCAACAGCTGATTGCTATTTCTTCTTATTTTATAGGACAAATTAATATGTAATCTTAATCTCTGCGTATGAAACATTGGCAGGCATACAGTACACAAAACCTATTGAATTTGTCAATCTTCGTGTCTCGTGTTGTTTTATCATATACTTCTTGTTTTTATTGAAAAATTTGCAAGCGTCAAAACAAGCCTCTATTGCCGCAAATGACTATAATGACATGCGCAGTAAAGTAGTGCTACTGTAAACGTAAGTAACTGTGCATATATTGGATCGCATAGTTTTTCACTCACTCACTCACTCACTCACTCACTCACACTCACTCACTCACTCACTCACTCACTCACTCACTCACTCACTCACTCACTCACTCACTCACTCACTCACTCACTCACTTTACCTCCTTTCGTCTCCAGCCTACCAAAGATGGTGCTTGTCCATGGAACAGAAGACAAAGTGGTTCCATTGTCATCGACAACCAGATTCAGTGATGCACTAAGTGACATTTTCTCGGACGTGACGGTGCGGGTGTTGCCAGGCTGCGACCACTTCGATATCATGCTTGACCTCATGATGCCAGAGCGCCGGTTCTATGACTCTGTAATGGGGATTCTCATGGAAACATGCAAGAAAGTGTTTTGATGGCAACTTTGGAATAGTTTAATCTAATCTGGCCAGTGCTTGAACAAGTCATTGTTATGTTTTAATTATATTTGAGCTAATCACACCATGTTAACAGCACTGTTTTGGCTTGGTAGAATTTCATATGTTTAGATGAGTTGTTTTGTTATTAATCAGGCAAAACTGCTTTGAAAGTGAATCTTGTTTACAGTGTGTGTAGGCTCTGTTTTCTTGTTGATGGAATCAGGTAATATAGATATAAATTTTATTATATGTTTATTATTGAGTAATTTGCGGTTGAAAACTGATTATTTCGCACATTTTGGTATTTCAAGCCAAATAATACAAATTTTGTCCTTAAAATATATGTCAGTTCCCAACCAATACCACATCCATCTGTTATGTTGAAGCCAAGAAAAATATTGATCATTCGTTGTGAATTGCAGCACTCTGCCATTGAATAGTCAATATTCCCCTCCGCTAGATCTCCCGTGACTCTTAATGTTACCAAAGATGTGACACAGGACACGCTATCCTTTCAAAATGGCCTCCATTCTGCAGCAGACGCAGGAAGACCCTGCTGGAGACATTGCCCGCCATCTGAACACAGCTTGTTCCCTGTTCTGTGTCCGTAAGCAGTAGTCAGGGGACGTAGACTTCGTATATCATTCATCACCACTCGCCCCTTTCCGTCACCTGCAAGAAGACTCGTCCCCCTATCGATGAATGTTATGTGCGAAAATACGACAAACCAATCAGAATGCGCGTATGATTTCAAGTTCTACATCAAAGAATCCCTCAGAAATAATTTTTGATTTTACATATGTCCTGCGTCTAAAAATATACCCAAGACACAGTTAAGTGTGTTCAATCACACTGTATAACTCCGCACGTCCCGATGTGCTTTAAATTGCATCTGAAATATATGTGAACCATTACGCAACGAGTTGACAATTGTTTTAGGTATGCCCGTTTGCGCCAAGACGGAACCCGGTCGCACAAAATGGCCATGAGAGGGGCACGAGTCGCTATTCGGCTTGTCCTGGAATAACACGAGTTGGTCACGAATGTTCATATATGTCCAGTGTGTCTGTTGTCACGTGACCACTGTATGGAGCGTACAACCCAGTATTGAGGGTCTCAGTTCCATGCTGCACGGAGGCATCCCTCACTGGTAACATAATATGGTAAGGCCACGTCAATTGTCACCTTGTTTCACAGATACATCTTTCCTAATTCTTGGTAAGGTAAACAACTCATTAATGATTGATGTGGTTTTTTCAAATCATGTACATGTACTTGTGTTTTTTTCATTTTACACAAGAGGTTCTTTAAAGAAAAGAAAAGAATTATTAAAATTTATTATTTCAAAATCATATCTTTAATTCTTATCATATTTACTTTCCATGGATCTTTTGTTGTTGGACAGGATCATGTTCAAGTCATATTTGGACTGTTATTATAGTCTGGAAACTTTGTAGAACACGAACAGATATCGATCTGGCATTATAAAGTATAATATTCAAAAGAAATAAAAGTACACCCAATTCTTTCATAAAACTAGTGTAATCTGACATGACAGATTAATTATAGTGTAATGAAAGAATCATGACCTGATAGATTAAATATTGTGTTATAAAAGAATCAGATGTTCTTTAACATTTTTAAGTAGTATATTAGCACATACAGGCATATATGTAGTGTCAATATATACTGTGAATGATCATTAAACCTTTTTTTTCTTATGAAAAACATGGAAAGGCTAATTTATTGGTTTGGGTTTTCTTATTGTCAAGAGTAGGTGTACAGTTTTGCATTATTTTGTTTGATTTCCTTATGTTTGGGATGAAAGAGAAAATGTCCAAATGGATCTTGGTTGATGTTCTGGTAGCCTGTTGTACTTAATGTCCGAGGATAGACAAGAGGAAAGTGTATAGAGTTCACAGGAAAAACACCCTGACTTCATATTGTCATAGTAGAAACAATTCTGATGATAAAATTTAATCATTTTGTTTTTGCCCCAAAATTTTTTGAAGTACTTGACCTGATAACTTCATTTTCTTGATAATACATGTAGTAAGCTGACAAGACCGAAACTAGCTTATTGTGTGCCAATTATTAGTTGTGTCTAAAGCAGAAATAAATCTTTTTTATTTATTTATATACCTTTGCCTGAAATCCAAGAATATATGTCTATATCTGGTTTGAACTTAAGCTTAGAATATTCTACTTTATAATCCGACCTGTGACGAGGACCCAGCAGTAATGAAGACTGTAATAATGAAAGTTAAATTAAAATGTCCTGGTCTTTGCACGGATGTTAAAAGTTGGGGGCCCTAAACTTAAATACTACAGGAGCAAACCTCAAGGACTCAATGACCGCCTTCATTTTGAAAACTAATACAGTATTGTATCACCACTTTCATACTAAAATATATATGGCTTCCCATCAATTTTGATCATCAAAGCCCGATGTCAGATTTTTTTAACTGCACCTTTAATACATTGCAGAAATATATGGGCATTTTTAGCTATATTGTCTTGGTATTGATAAGTTGCGTGAATAATGATGTATTAGTCCATCTTCCAGAGGCAAGGGAGTTAACTCACTATAAGAGTCCAGTTTCCACCCTTGCTGAACTAGGCTGGCGTTATGTTTTGGCTGGACTAACGAGTCTATGCATAGACCAATCAAAATCGCATAACTAAATTGTCATCCGGTACGTAAAGTGCTGTGCAGATTTCGGGTGATTGCAGGATTTGCACAGCATATGTATCGCCAATTTGGCATCAACAGATATTTTCTATTTTTTTCATGAATTAATCAAGGTGCTCACATGATTTGATGCACTTCGCAAATTTTATTTTAAAGCAAATGCAAGTGATATGAGAGGTGTAATCTGATTGGTCAATAGGACAGACATAGAAGGGACATAACTCATAATAGCCACTGTTAATTGGCGCTACAATCAAGTCCATAAATTCCAACCTAGTTCGGCAAGGGTGGAAACTGGACTTTCATGGTCAGTTAACTCCCTTGCCTTAGGAAGATGGTATTAATCAGGCTAATCTCCATAGTATGGCAGTGTTTAGTATTAAGCATTAAGTCAATGGGTCCTTGTCATAGCTGTGATGTTGAAGACTGACGGTGTCCCTAGATTCAAATACCGGTACTACAGGACCAAACCCCTATGAACCCTTAATTGTGAACACAGTGTGCTATTTTCAGCAAGATGGAGTGCTATGGTGTTTCATTGTATAGATGTTATGTTTTCGCTGAAGCAATTTCATTATAATCAGATCTATTACTCCCAATACATTTTTACCCTTGAGGGAAGATGTGAGGACCCCTCCACAGGAGGTTGTGTCAGGTGAACCCATTGTAAATGAAGGTCAGGTTGAGTGGGTTTTGGAGCTAATCACATGTCAGCTTTCTTAAATCATTTGGCTTCATTCCTTTCCCTCTTTAGAATTTAGAATATTTCCCTTCAAAGGTACTCCCTTCTGGGTGTAGATGCAACGTGCTCAGAAACGACAGTATAAAATAACTACAATATGATTGCCTTATTCATGTACATTCGGAACTTATCCTTTCAGTTTGTTTATGAGTCAGATTGATACAGAAATCAGATATGCTAGTCTACATGCTTCACTCGTACTGAGAATTTAGAAGCCTTGAAGCTGATTGGCTGCATAGGAAATCCACTGGCATGACCTCTCATGTAAATTATTGGATTTCAATGAGATTGTTGCTTCAGCTCATTTATATATGTCGTGGGTTCTGTATGTGATCATTTAGGAGTCGTATGTTGCCATGAATCCGTGCAATGTTACATTGAATTACATACCTGAAAAGGTCTATTGTTTTCATATCAAGTTTCCTGCAATTGCCTCAGAAACTTTAGATTTTCAGTTTTATTGTTTTACAGTTTGATATAAGGTATTTAGTTTTAGTTGCTTTCTTTGTGGATCTGTCGATCCAAATTTCACAAATGTTTTATTTCTGTTAAATATTTCAGTATCCTGGTAAATAGTTCAGTAGTGGATAATATTCAAAGTAGTTGATAATGGAAATGAAAACATTTCACTTTTGAAGAAAACTATTTCACTGGTTATTTTTACTAATTAATCTTTGTCTTGAATGTTTTTCTGCAAATGCGAAGATTATGAGTCATCTCTTTGAAGAAAACGCAGATGATGATGATGATGATGATGATGATGATGATGATGATGATGAACACAGTATTGTAGGTGTTTGCTGTGGAGTGTGCAAGTGAGTAGCGTTCTGCATGTTCGGAGTGATTGTTGTGAATATTTGTTACATATGGCCTCGACTCAGGTTTGTGGGTTCCTGGATGCTGTCAAGTGTCCTTGGTATTATGTTTGTCTTTTTACTTGTACTATTCTGCTTGGGATGTACGCTGATTGTTGTGTTTTGTCATTCAGTTTATACACAAGGTGTTTTAATAAGTGATTATGCAGCTAATGTCAATGCAAATCATTGTAGATTTTTTCATTGATCATGAAATCACATATATGCATTTTCTAAACCGATATTTTGATGGTCGAAATTGAGATTTGAGATGACATTTAATTTGCTTTAAGAAATGAATGGGGTTTGACTTGAAACTCGGCAATGTTACACCTATTTCATATATATATAATATAGTCCTCACAAACAAGGGGTGGACAGTGTGAGCAACCAACAGTACATGCTGAAATGCAGTCAATGTGATCCCAAATCCAGATACTATTCATATTGAGTAGCCATTGGTGACCGCACAGTCCCCATTCTAGAAAAGGGCACTGGAGAATTCCTGTGCCCTGAAATACCCCAAAGAGATCTATGGTGCTGAATAGTTTCTGATTATTGATACACCAAGGTTCTGCTTGCAACACATGCCTCTATTGGTTTCCAGAACGTTAAATGTCTTTCATGACTTGATGCAGTCAGTACATGATTTTTTTATAGCAGCCAGCTGCCATTTTTAATATGAAAATGGGTTCTGTCTGGCTGTTGTCTTGATTCAGAAAGTGCTAATGATTTCTTTATGTTGCCTGTAAACCAAAACAATCATAAAGTTTCATGCTTCATGTAAAGAGAGTTTTTAAAAATATATGTTACCTTGCCATATGTATGATGTCTAAGTAATGCATAATCCGTGTGTGTTCACTGTCTGCAGTTGTGTTGTATGTCACTGATAATGGGTAACATATTTTATAGGGCTGGGACGGGTAACTCGGGTACCCGGGTCGGGTGGGTACTGAGTAGGACCTGGGTACCCACAGGACTACACTTCAGTGTATGAATGACCAGATTGTTTAATATATATATCTAAATACGTTTTGCCAGGGCTATGCTAAAAATGTTCTCGGACATTTTGAGACATCCTAATAGGGTGGTGGGTACCCGGGTAGTAAATTTGGACTCGTCCCAGCCCTAATATTTTAGTATATAAAGTGTCTATTTCGGAACATCCAAATATAGGTGAGCTCAGTCGTTTGTTTTACTTTTTATTTATTTAAAATGGTTTTTTATTTAATTTTGTGTGTGTGTGGGGGGGGGGGGAACGGAATTCGCAATATTTCAATATTAAAACATGGTAAAAGCCTTCTTTCAAATTATAAAAACTGGTTTATCTATAATGAAGCACAACAAATGTACGATGCAAATGGCATAAAATATGGACAATTATGGGATAGTGATACAAGTTATGGTTCAGTTCAGTATAAAAGGTTTGGGATCGAGGACTCCTGATTCGGGTCGGTCAGGTGAAGGGGGTGTAACGATACATCACCAGTGCACCAGTTTCATGAGATGATGATACGATACACAATATTTCTTTTCTGTATTGATGCAAGACGATAAACTTGTTAAAATAATTACTTGCTACTGGTTTAATTACACACACATCCCTAGAGTTTTTGTCAGTGCAAGACATGTTGTAATTAGTGTTTCAAATCCACTGCAGAAAATAGCGCCTCTGAACATGTGTCTACAGCTAGCTTTCCTTTGAACCTGCTCTGAACTATTTACAGTCAAGAAGTTTATCATCTTCTCGAGGCAAGTGAGTTAACTGACTATAAAAGTCCAGTTTCCACCCTTGCCGAACTAGGCTGGTATTATGGAGTTACATTTTGGCTGGGCTAACGAGTCTATGCATAGTCCAATCAAAATCGCGCACCGAAATCGAAATCCGGTTCGTAAAGTGTCATGCAGATTTCGGTCGACTGCAGGATTTGCAAAGCATGTGTACCGCTAACTCGTTGTCAACAGATCTTTTCATGTTTTTAATCAAGGTGCTCACGTGATTTGATGCACTTCGCGATGTAAGACTCGTTTGATCACAATATAGATCTTGATTATCGATCAGATCGTCTTGACTGGGCGCCAGCCTTTTGTTTGAAGCAAATGCAAGTGATACGAGAGGTTGAATCTGATTGGTCAATAGGAGAGGCATAGAAAGGACATTACTCGTAATAGCCACTGGTGGCGCTACGATCGAGCCCAGGAATTCCAGCCCAGTTCGGCAAGTGTGGAAACTGGACTTTTAAAGTCAGTTAACTCTCTTGCTTCGGGAAGATGGAAGTTTATGTGCGTATAGTGATTCGTATTGTGACCCTGTTATAATGTTTCACCCTTAATATTTTTGTTTAAGCCTTTTATTATGTTACAGCTAGAATGTTTATCTGTGACACTTTGCCTGAGACAGTTGGTGTCTGTAGAATACAGTCCCAGAAAAATTGCAGAAACTTTCTTTATTTTCAGACTTTTCTCTCAAATTTTGCACTCAAATGATGCCCAAACATTTAACATACGATTCAAACATGCAAAATATAAATCATACCATAACACAATATTTGAACTGATTAATTTACATGATTAAATGTTCTTATGGTATTATGACTACATTAAAGTTAAACCAAGTCTGAAATGTCTAAAAGCAAAAGATTGAAATGTGTTTAGAAAAAAATGAGTTTGTATTAATGAGGGGGAAATGGTTATGTTTTGTATCACGTTAAATTCCCAATTTAAGTAAGTGATGTTTTTACCGCAGAATTTTGGTACTTTTACTGCAGACTTCGCTTTGGTCAGATAATATATTTAAACAAGAATGTCATATGTCAATGTACTTATCAACACAAGAAGTATCACTTGCCACAAACCCTTGTTTGTTTCAGATTTAGTAGGTTGTTTTTTATGAGAAAAGATTACCAGAATATATATTTACAAATTCTGTTTTGCATTATGAAAGGATTTTATTTGTTGAAGAGTACAATGTTAAGTTTTTGTCTTCTTTCCCAAAAGAATGTTTTTCTGTCAACTTGTTTCGTATATTACGTTTTTGATGGTGTATTCACAAGTGACCTATGGAAGTATGTGGATTACTGGATCGTGAATGAATCAAAGTTTAAAGTTGGAGGATCTTTTTAGTTGGTTTGTTTGTTGTTTAACGCCGCACTCAGCAATATTCCAGCTATATGATGGCGGTCTGTCAATCCAGTGATTGATATCATGAGCATCGATCCACGCAATTTGGATCGGTGACATGCATCAACCAAGTCAGGGAGCCTGACCACCTGATCCCATTAGTTGCCTCTTACGACAAGCATAGTCACCTTTTACGTCAAGGATAGGTTGCTGAAGACCTGTTCCTCCCCGGATCTTCACGGGTCTGGAGGATCTTTTTAGAATTATTTGCATAATGTCATCAAACTGCATACCCTGTTTCTGTTCACTGGGTTTTACGCAGCCTTGTAAAAATGTCATGATGACTCACCAAGGGCAAATCCAGCATTTTCAAAGGGTAGGGGTCCAAAAAAACAAAATCCTCCCTTGGATAATTTTACTGCCTACAACATACTACATTTGGTTTTCAAAATGGGGATTGCGGATCCTTCACCATAACCAGTTACAAGTTATAAGGATTTGAAAGTAAATGTTAATTATTTATTGAATATAAGTATTTAGTTTCCGTGCCAACCTTTCCAAATTCACATGGAATCTCTCATTTCTATGAGTGGCAGTGGGTACAATGTGTGAAGTCCATTTCTGGTGTCCCTTGCCGTGATATTATTGAAATATTGTCAAAAGCGTTTGTGTGCTCAATAGTTAAATGCCAGTATAAAGATTACAGCAGCAGCTTCCAAGAGGGAATGTCCATTCCCCATGCATTAAGGAAATAGCAACCAGGTCTCAAGGTCAGTCATTCTTCGGGCAGACCAGTAATTATTTGCTCTCCTATCCCATTGTCAGGCTGCGGTGGGGGGTGGGCAGCTGCTATTTACTGTGCAGAAAGCTGTGATTGCAAGTTCAAATCCCAGATTAATCCAGATTATATTTCAAGGTTTGTCAGCACCCATGCTTGTGACAGATCTGCATCACTTCCGGCTTCCATTAGGCCGACACTCGGTGACAGACTGGAATACTGTTCAAAGAGGTGTTAAACTGACGTTTTCTCCATGGAGATATATATCATATCATATCATCCATCCCTCCCAGATAATAGGGAGGGGCAATATGTAGCAGGTATCCAAGATGAAAATAAAGTATCTTACGTATGCTTTGCAAGTCTATTTGTCCAAATGATCACCAACCTTTAAGGGAGGATGATGTTTGTCTTTACACACTGGCAGATATATTCATATTTTTTCATATTTTTTATTTATTTCCTTGTGCCTCTGTATATATTTGTCTTGTGATGGTTATGTTCGCAACACTTAATGCTTATGTACAATTAGAGATCATTCCAGCTTGGGCATTGTGTTAATGTTAATAACTGCATGGGAGTTGAACAAGATGACCGAATTGTGATCACATTATGTAGACATGTTTTAATAAAATCTGTGAGTAAAGTTTTGTTGTGTCATTCTTTACCCCCATGGGGACTCTGAGGGCAGAATGGTCACCAATACCCATGCTTGTCATGGTAACCAACCAAGGAGTATATGGTGGTATATGTGCAGCCTAGCTGATTGTGTCGTGAGGAGAAATGGGGTTTAATGTTGTAGGGCTGGGATGAGTCCAAATTTACAACCTGGGTACCCTTCCCCCCTATTACCCGACCCTACCCGAGTACCTGCTGTAGGTATCAAGAGGTAGGTACAAACTGTCCGATTGGGAAAAGTTTGACCATAGCTCTGGTAAAATGTGTTGAGATACATGTATAAAATGATCTTGTGTATACGCTGAAGTTGACTGAAGTTTTATTTTTATTCAAACATTTAAAAGTCAGAAGGAAAGGGCGTAGTAGTCAGGAAGAACTACGAACATTAGTGACTTGTAGTTTCAACAGAGTTTTAGATACTTTTTGTCATTGAACAATATATCATGTAGCTAACCATGGGTCTTGGTAGTCCTGTGGGTACCCGGGTCCTACTCAGTACTCACCTGACCCGAGTACCAGAGTTACCCGTCCCAGCCCTATAATGTTGCATTCATGTTGGAACCCACTGAGGTACCATGCCACAGTTTTAACATGGATACCCCAATCAGACACATACAGACTGACCTGTGAGCATCCGTGGTACGATAGGTCTTCAGCAACCCATGCTTGCCGTAAAAGGTGACTATGCTTGCCGTAAGAGGCGAATAACGGGATCGGGTGGTCAGGCTCACTGACTTGGTTGATGCATGTCATTGTATCCAAATTGCGTGGATCGATGCTCATGATGTCAATCACTGGATTGTCTGGTCCAGACTTGATTATTTACAGACCACCATCATACAGCTAGAACATTGTTGAGTCCGGTGTTAAACAACAAACAAACATACAGACTCCAAACAGATCATTTTTTGTTTTGTCTCCTTAATGCAGAGTGATAGGCAAATACGAGTACCATCTGCTCTCCTTGCAAATGCTCTGTCCACTATATCACGGAGGGGGTCTTTGAGTCATGACTGGAAGGCATGGAATGTTGCTGGTGCCTTCAGGCATTGGTCAGCTTGATCCCTATTTTATTTTGTACGGGCTGCAAGGATATACCAGCAGCTGGACTATTGTTTTATATAAAAAACATGCACTAAGTGAGGGACGTTTCAGATACATACATTCTTCAGATCTTCATCAGTTGTATCTTTGCATGGATGCTAGTTACAGTGCTGGTTGATAGGGGTAAATCTGGGATAACAGCACATCCTGACACAACTCTGTATGCCAGTCTTAACATTGTAGAATAAGCCTTCAGCAACCCATGCTTGCAGTAAGAGGCAACTAACGTGATCGGGTGGTCAGGCTAGCCTACTTGGTTGATGCATGTCATCGTATCCCAATTACGTGGATCGATGCTCAGGATGTCACTCACTGGATTTTCTGGTCCAGACTCAATTATTTACAGACTGGCATCATATAGCTGTAATATTGTGTTAAACAACAAACAAACTTGTAGTACTTGTAGACAGTATGTAATCTAAATCTGACATAGGACAGATGTCAAAAACGTCTTTCACCAAAAAATAAACAAAAACAGAAGGTGGTGTTTATTCTATTGATGTTTTATTGTAGCAATGCTATGAGATTTGTACAGCTATGGCTGTCACAGCCATAAGGGAAAACAAGGGGTACAGAACCGTCACACCGACCGTATCAATATCTACAAATATAGATAGACTGGTGATGTGTCACTGACGAGAGGAGAAACGGACACATTGTCACAACACAAGAAAACTTCACAGAGACTGGGGTCAATTTCATTACCCAAAACTACAATATCTCATCATGTGACGATGTAATCGCAATATCTTGTAGCTACTTCCTTCAGACAGAAAGTTGACACATTTTTTCAACAGGAACAAAATAACTCATTTCCTTATCAACTGGTGTGCATTGTTAGGAACAACTACTGAACAGTACTGTCGTACTGTCAGTTTTTATTATTAATGAGTGGGCAGCACACTGTCACATTCACTGTAGTTCTCTCCCCTTAACAGCAACATCTGATCTTATTTAACATAGCCTTCCTATATGAAATGGAAAGGTATAAGCTAAACTAAACCTTACACATTGTCATTAAATTATTGTCGTGAGGAATATAATCTACCTACATTGCAAGTTTCTGTGGTACAACCGTTATCCATGTTTCACCAGGATTTAACAATACATATCCCTATTTAGAGCTGCACTGCAAAGCAATACATACCCAACTATTGATAAATATGATTAGATTAATATTCTGTGGCCTGAGATTCATGTCTTCCCTTTAACATCCCCTAACAAAACATTCTGCTGATAAGTTATCGCATTACCACACCACTCAAACTTAAGAAGCAATTGATGGGTGACATTTTCGCATGGGGGAAACATGCAAATCTTCTTACCATTTCTTGCAGTTTCTACCTAGAGATCTATACTCAATACAAGAAACCATGTCTGCTAAAAGACTGACTCAAGTGGAACTGCTACAAAGAGTTAGAGCTCATATTCGAGTCTTCTTTCCCTAATAATGACAACATGAAAAAGCATGGATTTTTCCATCACAAAGATATAAATAAAATCTAGCTGCTTATGATCAGTGTCTATTTTTTTTTTCATTTCAAAGATGGAAAATGTGTTCCAAGAGGAAGAAAGCTTGTAAGACTTAAACAAAATCTGGTTCTCGGGAACGACTTAATGCATTGTGCAGTGGGCTGCTCTTTTAGGGTAAAGCGTGTTTCTCGGGCATCAATGGTGGTTGTTTTCAAAGCTAGAATATAATGCTTAATGAAGATGTTCCTGCTAACATGCAAGTACTCGAGAACCAACAATATTTAACTGATCAAATGCAAACTTATCACTGCCATACCTAAGCAAAGCATAGAAAACAAAAAAAGAGAATTATTAAAAAAGATGAAACTAACCCAACGCATAGGGTGGTTGATGAAGCTGACAGACATCTTGAACTCGACTTAAAATTGCATAGATTTAAACGCAATCTAGTCTAAAACTTGGTTTATGCCATTGCAAAGAGTCCTGTACACCTGTTGACTAGATGGAACTTAGTTACAAAATCATGCACTTATAAAATGAATACATGTAAATACGACTCAACTTTTGGTAGGGACATCTCATCGTCACAACTCCGCTAGTTTTGCGCACACTCCATTTCTCCATCACCGGTGAATATTTGCAGTGTAGTCACTAGTTGAACCAATGAATCAACCCATGGCCTTGTCCCGCCGTGACATTGCTGGAATATTGCTAAATACAGCGTAAAACCATACTCACTCACTCACTCAAGCAAGGGAAACTAGCAAGTGCTCAGATTACGTCCCACAAACGCAATATTTCTCATGCCAATGTGCCATGGCCTTGCGGTCATCTAGTCTACACATTGCTTCAATATCAGGTAGGTAGTGTGCACACACAGTTCATGCACAGCCTTACTTCCTAAGCCAACTAACTTTCCACCCCAAAGTGGCCATACATATTCAAGGGTAAAGGAGAAAGTGGCGCTTCCACCCCAGTGAAGTATTGATGATGTATCTTTCCATCATACACCCAACTGATTACTTTCAGTTATTTGTGAAAAGCTTAATATATCTCTGCATCTAAAGAGCTGCGATATCTCTATTTCCCTGCCAAAAGGTGAGACTTATATTCTGAAGTGCGCTTACAATTTAGAGGAGCATCTTTTTGTTTGATAAAAATAAAAAACAATGCAAAAAATTAGTTATTGAATCCAAACACTACTAAGAGAGGTTCTGTTTATCCACAGTGTTACTTCCAATGTGCACAGTTCCACAGCGAACCTTTCACCCTTGTGGTTTCTGGATGACGTACTGCTTTTAGTTGCTGTAATTTGGGCGAGTGAGTGAGTTTGGTTTTACGCCGCTTTTAGCAATATTCCAGCAATATCAATGCAGGGGACACCTGAAATTGGCTTCACACATTGTACCCATGTCGGGAATCGAACCTGGGTCTTTGGCATGACGAGTGAAAGCTTTAACCACAAGGCTACCTGACTGCCCCTGTAGTTTGGACATATCTTGAAAAATGTAGCTCGTTGAAAGCACCATTCACGTTTCCACATTTCTGCTATGCTGTATTCTAGATACCAACTCCAAGGTCCCCAATGTTCCAGTGTTTGGATATCAACAGCTGGTTTGTTATAATAATATCAGGCCATAGCAACTGTCTAATTGTTTATAGCTGCATTTTATTTATCAATGCGACAACCCAATTTTCGAAAAAGTAAAATTAAATCCTTGTTCTCTCTCTACATATATAATTCTTTCTCTTATAGATAACTCTTTCTTTCAGCATCTTCTTGTATTTTATTTAAAAAATCTTTCCTTCCCATAGTGACCTCTACTATACCGTCACTAACATCAACTCAACCATAACATTCTTTTTATCAAATTTTGCTTCCAGACACTTGGCACACTGACCAAGAAATCTTATAAAGCTAGAAAAAAATTGTTGTATGTAAGAATAACAAAATTACGATTAGAATCACCATCTATTGTTTTAATTTTGGTGGGAACTACAAGAATAACCATTCTTGAAACGGAAATAGGAATAATAATTTCCATGATGAAAAGCAGTTCAAACTTGGGAAAAATTACTTGACCTTGACATTTTCTAGCCAAACACGAATGTCGTGACAGCTAACAGTGTCACCGGCCAACATGGTGGAGACAAGCTGCCACTGCGGCAATTTCAGGGGATAAGTTATTGCTGTGATTCTTATACCATCCCTGCTTGTGAAACAATGTAACAGTCACCGATACGACAGAAGAAACAGACACAATAATGTCCCTAGCTTTCCTCACACCTGGCAGGCTCACCGATACTCTCCAATTTCATTTTTTTAATTTGGTTTACCAATCTGCTAACCCTTAAATTTAGGAATGTGGATAAAAAATAAATACTGCTGAGCCAAATACTCAAACTTACAAAATATAAATAATTACTTATGGTTTTTCTGCTCAAGGCAAAACCTGAAACCCTAAAAGACACCCAAAAGTGATGTGTGGCTTTCTTACATATAAAAATTTCAATATTCATGTCACCCTTTACAATGAGTGAGTGAGTGGGTATGGTTTTACACTGCATTTAGCAATATTCCAGTGATATCACAGCGGCGGACACCGGAAATGGGCTTCACACATTGTATCCATGTCAGGAATCGAACCCGTGTCTTCTGCATGACGAGCAAACGCTTTAACCCCTTGGCTACCCGACCGCCCCTCACTCTTAACAAAAATGCCAAATGAAACTGAGAAAATTTAGAATAGGGAAATTTCATCCAATTTAATTTTTTTACATTTTTGGAATGGCCTTTTCTTATTTTTTAATATATATTTTCTTAAGTTTTATTTCAACCACAAACACATTGTTTTGAGAAAAATATATCAGAAAACCAACAAATTTAAAATAAAAGCCTTACATGGATGATATCTTTAACAGTTTTATATCTCTAACTTCTTTTTATTTGTTTGGATCAAGTACAAGTATTAAATGTTCTTCATGCAGCTATTCCTGTAAATAAACTGTTGGTTGGGTCCAGACTTATGTGACCTGCTCTCAAAGATCATGGTGACATCATAATTATCCTCATAATACGAACATAAATATATGTCTTTTCATCGAATCATGTAAGGTTTAAAAACATAAAAGAATTGGTTCTCAGGCAACGGCTTTTAAAATATAGTGTGGCTGGGCGTTGTATGTATGTAACCCAAAAAACAGTGTACAATCAACCTGGGAAAGGGCCTCCCTACATAAATGTATTCCTTGATGAGTAAAATACTGGAAAAAATCCGTAGTTTGTCCTGTGTTGATATATCTTTTCAGTTATGATATTGGCCACGACATTAAGTATTTTCTGAACTAAATCACCCATGGATAGAGGAGAAAGTGTGTGAACTGCTGATTGCTATTTCTGGCTTATTTCATAGGACAAATTCAAATGTAATCTTAATCCCTGTGTATGAAACACATTTTTTAGGACTTTAAAAAAAAATTAAAAAATGGAAACCTGTGTCAGACTTTATGATGACGCGTGCGGTGCCCGAGAACCAAGACCATTATTTTTTTAGCCTAAACCATGAGTACCTGGCAGTCTAAGACTATTTTATTCCTAAATAATACAGTTTTTACCTCTAGGATTAACCTTTTTTTTAAGTTTTTCCATCAACAGATGTTCCTATGTTCATGGGAAGAAATGTAATCCTGAAGTTTTATTACACGTTTGTATCATAAAAAGTTGTTATGAAACTGAAGATATGTAGATGTTCAAGAAAAACAAAGACCTCGTTCAGTGACAATATTCTAATTTTTGTATACCAAATATTTCTAAAAATTCATATATGTGGTTTACAGAAAACTCAATTGTGTTCAAAGACGACATGTCTATTACCATAAAATATTCCAAAGAATCATAAAATTTTGTACATGCAAATATTTCGGTTCATAAAACATTTTTTTATGTAAAGTCTCAACAAAACAAAAGCATAAAATGTCAGTGTAAACTTCTCAATAAAACACAATCTGCGCTGTTTTAGAGGCTAACAAGAAATGCTGCACATACATATTAGCTATACAGCTTCAAAGGGGTACAATATAATGACACAAAACTGGTAGTCTTTCGACCAAACACAGAAATTTGCATAATTTCATGCTGATTAAACAATGATACATAAAGGACCATTTCACTGCATTTCATCCAATATACACATGAATTACACCTCAACAGTGCCCATTAATGTTTTACATGTTATGGAACTCAAATTAAAACAAAATACTGAAAAAAGATAGAAAAATTCACCTAAGTTTTTAATAGTTCCAATCGAGTGAAGTTTATACCAGTTTCAATGCAAGAATTGAAAGAAGAAAAAAAATTGTTTGGACTGTATTATGCTAAATAAAATTAATCCTTAAATCATACACAGAATCATGGAATTTTACAAGAAATATCCCATACAGGCTTCTTTCATTATAAACAGTATGCATGTAAAATTATTACTTAGTTCTGAAAAAATAGTTGATTGACTTTAAGTTCTGCTGACTAGACAAAATGGACTGTTTTGAATATAAAGCCCCTCATATTGAGACCCTTGGATACAGGCCTGGCAAAAAATACCCGTTACGAGAAGTGAATTTGACAATCTTTCCCAGCAGGCCCAGAACACAACCGACAACACAATGAACAAACAATATACACTGGTCTATACATGACGAAGGGGTGTATTTATATACAATCTGCAACATCCTTCAGAACGCTTAACACCCCAGCATAACCTTCCCAATTGCACAAAAACCGCTTGTGTATGCACCGCGGCACTACACCAACACAGAGATCACGATGCTATAGCTAACAAACTTGTCATCGCAGTTCAACTAATGCACATCTAAATATATAGGAGGCAATTCAAGCTCATGTGGTTCTGAGATGTTGAACAGTTTTTGAAACTCATCTGAAAATTAATCAGGTGATGAATTGTTTCATTAATAGCAAAATGGTAAATTTTCAGAAAAAGTTACCTGTTTTGATGAAAAGATCTCCCTAGAACAGTCAAAGAAGAGTTTTTGAAACACTGACAGTAACAATATTTGTGACTGCTACCAGTTATCTTAAATCTTTTCATTTTAAAGAAAACCAAATATAAATACAGAATGAGGAGATAAACCTACTGTTTTTTTAAAATTTGATGTAGTCCCACTGTAGAGTAGATACCTCATTATTTTAATTTTGAACCGAGCGCTTTAAGAGATAAGGTTGTTTCTTGCAGAATTGCCTCCCTTTGATAGAAGAGAAACTTCACAGCAAAACACTTTCTTAGCTATTTTGTCATCATTACTTCAAACATATTCTTATATCGTCAATGCTTGTAATACTGACATCTCAAAACATGTTTGAGATTTAATGGAATGCATTATCAATATGTTACTAGATCATGCTCAACGACTCCCAGCATGTGAGCCCCTACATCCAACACGCACTTGCAGGGATGCTGACATGAGCAGCATCACTACACACGATACTCATTATTGTGTTTTGGTGAGGGAGAACATTTATAACTGCCGGCAAGTTTAACATATCACCACAGCATACCATAGCAGTTAGGCACCCCACCGTGGTATTCCTCCTATCAAACCACTATATATATATACATTCATCTCTCTAAGGGTAGACTTACTAACCCTGAGAGAAATGGACCGATACAAATGGATATCAGTTTTAATCTCAATTTCATTATGAACATCCTCTGAGACATTGGGAACTGAACACAAACTACACAGAGATATCTAGTTTTTCAGAAGTGGCCATTTTGAATTTGAGATTTGGCAGCCATTTTGAATTGAGGTGGGGCAGCCATTTTGAAATTAGAATCTGCCTACCGGTGTGTCACCACATGTTTTTAGGTTTTGGTGGAATTTATCACTGAGACAGTATATGGAGCTATGGTGATGTCAGATTTTATACATAGAAATATTCCTGTTCGCATGTAATGCATAAGGAACAAGTTGTCTTTATTCACAACAGAAATACAAAATACGTGCTTCAGTACTCTGTCAAGTTGCATTGTACAAACCTATATGAAAATACCCCATTTGAATGAGCTACTGTTACAAGGAGACTAAACATTCTACTGCAAGTTGAAACAAAAGTAGTTCTCAGGATGAGCTTGAGTGGGACAACATCTACACTTCATAAGAAATCAAATCTGAGGCATTGGAATCCTACCGAAGACAAACCCCATAACTGTCTGGGTAACCATGGTAACAGCAAGCTTAAAACATGAACATGATGACCAAGTATCAAATAGGGCCCAGTTCCACAAAGAGATCTTAGTGCTACGACTGTCACAAGTCTGTGTTAGAGCATGGAGTTACAATCGCTTAGAGCTATGATTTCTTTGTGGACGGGCTCCTGGTTCTCAGTACCAGGTAAGATGACGGTGAAATCTGTAGTACTGAACTACGTGATGATAGACGTACTCGAGGCCAGAACCTTCAATAGATGAATCCATGATGACAGATACAGTCCCTACTCTAGAACCAAACATCTTTGTAGATGAACCTCGACACAGAATTTCAGCAAACAAAAGTTCTTGTTAAGATTTGAACATTCTTAAATCTGAATGATAATTATTTGATATAGGGAGATAATCTTCAACATATATATCTACCTACGTTATCTACCTACATTTTCGCAATGTTTCTTTGCAATAAATCTTTTTAAAACATTTTAGTAATGATACAAAGAGATAGAACTTTTCACTAAAGAGTCTGATCGGGTTCTGTTTGATCTGGTTCTGTTGACAAATTGTTTCTTTAACAACCTGGATTCATGACAGATGCTACCTCATTGCTAAAGTAACAATGCATTAAACCCAGGGTCACTTACAAGCTACAAGATATTGTTTTCATATTGTTAAACAAAAATGCAGTATATGCCAACATAAAATCAGCTTTGAAGTAGCAGACAATATCAAGACTTGGACAATCTAGAGGTGCCATGGCTGGACTGTTGGAGGACATTGTGGTGGCTGTGTCCGTCTGCTTCAAGATGACCTTTGGTTGGTGTGAGGAGCAGACGTCAGACTGGTAGGCAGGCTGCGAGTTCCGAGAATAGCAATTTGCGATGTGTTTGGAGGTGAAAGGCGTATGGTACATCTATCTACACAGGACGTAGTGGTGGTGTCCCACGTACACTCGCCACCAATAAATTATGCCTCTATATATAATACAAGGGACTATGTACATGACACTCCAGGCCCCCTACCAACTCCTCCGTCCGACTGGCGGCCGCCGACTACATCCAGTGACGGACCAACAGCTGGACAACTGACCCATGGTCAGAAGGACAATATAATGGAGATGGTTTTGACTACCCCACATAACAGGTCAAGGCTTTCAGCCAAACAGAGAGCTTACATTGTTCACAGTTTACAAAATACCTGCACTGAGGCTGGTTCAAGGAAATACTTGAAGATTAGACAATATATCATTCTGAAAGCAATCTGACTCAACTAACCAATACAGCTGATTTGTCCTGAAGCATACTTTTCAGTTGATTGTAACATGACCCTAGAACCTTTTAGACCGAAATAAATTTAACTCCATCTGTCTAGCTGCTGAGCTTGCAGACAGTGATAACATTTTTGTAATTTTCTTTGAACCGAAATGAAATGTGAATAAACTGGTATCATTGGAAACGTTCAGTTCTACAAACACTGATGGACACAAACCTTCATTTTCCTCATCACCGTGCTCAGAACAGGTATTTGTGTCTGCAGCATCAGTACAGTATCTGATGTCAGGAACTCTAGTTTGGATTAGTGACCTTGACCTGTAAGTGAGGCATATAGTATTGAAGAGAGGATGAGGATGAAAATGGGGGTGGGCATACACGTGGGCGGGCTTATGTGCGGGTACATACTGTAGCAGAACCACTGGCAGCTACACCAGCATTTGGGGCAGTGTCGTTGCTTGGCACACCATCTTGTGCTGCAGAGAGATAAGGTTAAGGTCATCATTCCGCATACAACAGCTTGTACTTGTAAACATCTCGGTACATGACAGCAAAGTCACAAACATTCAATATATATTTGACCAATAATACTTGTCTGTGCAAGAGAAGGGCACTCTTCGTGGTCTAGCACCTATGTTGACTTTGTTGCATTATAATATATATCTTGATCGTACTGTAGAAACATGATATATACTACTCAAAAGAAGTCAAGCATCACCTAATTCTTTCATATTATATAGGTAGTCTCTCATGGCATGGCAGACTAACTTTAGTAATATGAAAGAATCGGGTGATCCTAACTTATTTTGAGTAGTATATATGATATTGAATACACTCAAACCTTGTTGTGTCGAACTCCTAGCGGCTACCTCGAGAAAAGTTCAAGTTATCCGGGGTTCAAGTCATCAGGGGAATTTTATGAATAATTAGGATACTTGGAACTCCCAAAGAAGTTCGTGACAACTGGGAATTCGACACATCCATGTTCGACACAAAGAGATTCGACTGTACATGAAAACGCCATCATGTTGTGGTTAATACCCTGCACCCTAATGGCTACAATAGCTTTGTCTGGAACCTGATATCAATGGCACCATGCTAAAATTAGCCGTCCAATCAAACAACCCAGAGGCATTCTCTGCTGAGTTAGTGATCAGTGCTAAGAATGGAGATAGTGACATCTGTTTTGAAACAAATCACTGGATGGTGAACAGGCATTGCAACAGACAAATGAGATTATACCCTGAATTATTGAGGCGTTGGATCTATTGGTTTGTCTAGCCACTAAAACTATGCTAGATTGAGAATGATGTAGTTACATGCAGTTTAGAACTAATGTCAGAGTCTCTCATTTCTTTATACTGATTCAAAACCATGAACACCTAAACCTTGTAACATTACAGATATTATGTTGTTTATTTTATATGATGCATAAAATAAGATAGGCATCATTATTGAACTCAAACACCACCAGTTTTCATCTTGTCAGCAAGAGAGACAAACACGTCAGTACTCACCTTTACTTGTATGGTTTTGCATAGCTCTCTGTCGTTCTCTATTCTCATATTCCATTACTTCATTGTATATCAGACCTGAAAATAAACGAACTGGTGAATTAGTTAATTTGTAAACTCACTAGTCAAAAGAAGTGACTGCATACTCGAGGTCACATACTTCTATCAGTAACAGGAGTGCCGCATCCTGGTGAGTGAGTGAGTGAGTGAGTGAGTGAGTGAGTGAGTGAGTGAGTGAGTGAGTGAGTGAGTGAGTGAGTGAGTATTGGGTGGGTGGGTGAGTGAATGGGTGGGTGTGAGTTTGGGGGTGTGAGTTTGGGTGTGTGAGTGGGTATTTGGTGGGTGGGTGGGTGGGTGGGTGAATGAATGAGTGGGTGGGTCTGAGTTTGGGTGTGTGAGTGGGTATTTGGTGAGTGAGTGAGTTTTACACCAGTATTTCAACCACATCACAGCTGGAGATACTAAGAATGAGCTTTATACATTGTGAATATGCTATATGGATCGAAACTAGGTTCTTGGCACGATGAGCTAACACATGACCAGCAGTAGACACTGTATGATCAGCAGTAGACACTGCATGACCATAAGTAGACACTGTATGACCAGCAGTAGACACTGTATGACCAGAAGTAGACCAGCGGTGGACACTGTATGACCAGCAGTAGACCAGCCGTGGACACTGTATGAGCAGCAGTAGACACTGTATGAGCAGCAGTAGACACTGTATGAGCAGCAGTAGACACTGTATGACAAATAGTAGACACTGTATGACAAGCAGTAGACACTGTATGCTGAATATTACCTTTCCACTCTTCGACCGAATGTTCCTTCTCATCTACCGAGTGGTCGTAGGGATCAGGGGCAGGCTGGAACGGGAACAAGAAGCGTTCTTGTTATTACTAAACAAAACTCACGAAACACACACCTTAACATTAACATAGGCCACAACAGTGATATTTCACCTGTTAAGTAGAAGATAGCAAAGAGAAATTCATCAACTCATTTCAACCTATAATCTCTTACACTACAAAAATATGAAGTCATATCGGGAGTAAGGTTTGCTTAATTTTCTCAATATTATTCAGTATCAAATGTTTCAGAAGATATGTAGAAGTAGAGTTGTCTGAAACCAAAGTTGTACTGTTACATCTTATCAAAAAAAATAATTCAAACTAAGACAGAGTTTGAAATTAAGGATGAAATTCAAATGTTTCTTGTCGTAGTCCTATGTTCTATTAACTATTTCAAAATCTGAAAATTTTATGAATTTTAATTAAAGTTAATTCGCTTTGGCCTTCTTTACATTACATACTGGTCTAATGATTTAAAAAAAAAAGAATTAAGCCTGGCCTATCCAGTGTATCAAATATAACATACTTCAGTGTGAAAGACTGAGTTTTTGTAAGTTGAAAGTGATATTTTCATTGCAGTGAAAATAACACTTGATATTCCACTGCAGTGAACATAACACTGTCAGCACTATTGTTATACAAGAGTTACCTCCCCGCAAACTGTCTCCCTTTATCCAGTGTATCATGTCTTCATTCTATTATGATAAATACCCTGGACCAACATACCACCAAAATTTTCTTTTCGGAAATGACATCACCATTCTTATCTCTCGTACCGCTAACCTAGCACAGACCTAGACTTTCTCTCACTCATGAGTGTAATCTGATTGGACAGCTATCTGTAGCTGTGGGGGCATGGGTGGCCCAGTCGTCTAAGGTGCCGCGATTTGCTGTGCAGAGTTGCGTCCCATGGGCTTGCCAGAAATCTATGATTGTGGGTACGAATCCCGGTTCGCCCCGATTATGTTTCTTGGTTTGTCAGCACCATTCTCGTGCCTGTGGGTTTCACCGAAGTGGTAAACGTCTGAGACCTGTATCACTTGGGGCTTTCCTCCCACATTAAGCTGACACGCCGTGATGTAACTGGAATACTGTTAAAAGCGGCGTTAAATCCAACTCAATCACTCACTGTAGCTGTATTTTTTTAAAATAGGGTTGAAAAGAAGCTAGTGAATGGTTTAAGGGTATATATGCTTGTAGAATGGAGATCTAATACAGTAGATGATGGAGGATGGGCTTTGCTGTATCCCAATCTTTCCATGTCTAGCTATATACTCACAGCATTGACTTCTCCATCGTCGTACCACACATTAATGTACGGATGCATGAGTGCGTCGTCCACTGATATCCTTCTCTCGGGGTCAATGACCAGCATTTTGGACAGAAGGTCCCGTGCCATGCTTGCACGGAGACCAGGGTGTTCGGTACTGTCCGGCGGGAACAGTACATCAGGGAACAGTCTCTCGAAGGATGAGCCGGCGTGCCGGGGGCGGTTTTCCACATAGTTCCGCACTGTTGATTGTAATCTGTTCATGAAGTCTTGACTTGGAGTACCCAGCTGTTCAATGATTTTGTTCCACTGATCAATGTCTTGATAGAGTTAAGGATAACATAGAACAAACTGTTACCACGTGCAATACCACTGTCTACAAAAAAGATGTGTGAGTGAGTGAGCGAGCGAGCGTTTTGTTTTTTTGTTTGTTGTTTAACGCCAAAGTCAGCAATATTCCAGCTATATGATGGTGGTCTGGACCAGACAATCCAGTGATCCACACAATTGATAGATATGATGATATGCATCAACCATACGGTGGATTAGTGAGTGCGTGAGCGAGCCAGCGTGCAAGAGATGCTGGTTGTTGCTATATCATGGTGGATGTCAGTAAATAATTGAGCTGAGACAAACCATGGTTGATAGTACGCCCAACAATCAAAGTCAACAGAACACAATAACACTCCCCTATTTTAACTCAGGGGGTGGTTTACATGGTCCGTTAATCCATAGATGTGTGTATGGAAAAGTATATCAGCAAAGATCAAGTCTCTACACGAATGTATTGTAAAGAGATATGAGAACATGAGAAAATTAAAGCAGTTCAAAGTGAATGTTTAGACAAGATCAGGGACACTAAAATGTGGCATCCATGATGTCCAGGCTTTGATGTGAAGGATACGGTCACTGCCAGGAAACATCACTGTCCCTCGTATTAACTCGGCCATGATGCAGCCCACTGACCAGATGTCCACTGTAACAGACAGGATGAAGATGTAGTGAGACTGCATGGGACTTGAACGTACATCAGGAAACTTACACAGTGTCAGGATGCTAGGCTCAAAATTCAAATATACTGCACCATCAGCCCGACTACAGACTATTTAATATCTTACTCAGTCTCATACCAACAACAGTCCATTTTCACAATGTAATCTTTCATGGACATTCAGTTCAGTCAAGCATCTTTCAGCATCCTTATGAAATCAATGAAAATGTCAAGCTATAAAGTAACATCAAACTTTAAACATTGGAATGAAAACTATGAGACATGTTTAAATGGCCGACGAATTGTCTTTTTTATTTCATACATTCCAAATTGTCTTTTTGTTTTCTGTGTCCTTTTTTGCTATTACTGAATACAAGAGTTGTCGTATCCCTATCACTGAATACGAGTGCTGTCGTATCCCTATCACTGAATACAAGTGCTGTTGTATCCCTATCACTGAATACGAGTGCTGTCGTATCCTTATCACTGAATCCGAGTGCTGTCGTATCCCTATTACTGAATACAAGAGTTGTCGTATCCCAATCACTGAATACGAGTGTTGTCGTATCCCTATCACTGAATACGAGTGCTGTCGTATCCCTATCACTGAATACAAGTGCTGTCGTATCCCTATCACTGAATACAAGTGCTGTTGTATCCCTATCACTGAATACAAGAGTTGTCGTATCCCTATCACTGAATACGAGTGTTGTCGTATCCCTATCACTGAATCCGAGTGCTGTCATATCCCTATCACTGAATACAAGTGCTGTCGTATCCCTATCACTGAATACAAGTGCTGTTGTATCCCTATCACTGAATACGAGTGCTGTCGTATCCCTATTACTGAATCCGAGTGCTGTCGTATCCCTATTACTGAATACAAGAGTTGTCGTATCCCTATCACTGAATACGAGTGTTGTTGTATCCCTATCACTGAATACGAGTGCTGTCGTATCCCTATCACTGAATACAAGTGCTGTCGTATCCCTATCACTGAATACAAGTGCTGTTGTATCCCTATCACTGAATCCGAGTGCTGTTGTATCCTTATCACTGAATCCGAGTGCTGTTGTATCCCTATTACTGAATACAAGAGTTGTCGTATCCCTATCACTGAATACGAGTGTTGTCATATCCCTATCACTGAATCCGAGTGCTGTCGTATCCCTATCACTGAATACAAGTGCTGTCGTATCCCTATCACTGAATACAAGTGCTGTTGTATCGCTATCACTGAATACGAGTGCTGTCGTATCCCTATCACTGAATACGAGTGCTGTCGTATCCCTATCACTGAATACGAGTGCTGTCGTATCCCTATCACTGAATACAAGTGCTGTCGTATCCCTATCACTGAATACAAGTGCTGTTGTATCCCTATCACTGAATACGAGTGCTGTCGTATCCTTATCACTGAATCCGAGTGCTGTCGTATCCCTATTACTGAATACAAGAGTTGTCGTATCCCTATCACTGAATACGAGTGTTGTCGTATCCCTATCACTGAATCCGAGTGCTGTCGTATCCCTATCACTGAATACAAGTGCTGTCGTATCCCTATCACTGAATACAAGTGCTGTTGTATCCCTATCACTGAATACGAGTGCTGTCGTATCCCTATTACTGAATCCGAGTGCTGTCGTATCCCTATTACTGAATACAAGAGTTGTCGTATCCCTATCACTGAATACGAGTGTTGTTGTATCCCTATCACTGAATACGAGTGCTGTCGTATCCCTATCACTGAATACAAGTGCTGTCGTATCCCTATCACTGAATACAAGTGCTGTTGTATCCCTATCACTGAATCCGAGTGCTGTTGTATCCTTATCACTGAATCCGAGTGCTGTTGTATCCCTATTACTGAATACAAGAGTTGTCGTATCCCTATCACTGAATACGAGTGTTGTCGTATCCCTATCACTGAATCCGAGTGCTGTCGTATCCCTATCACTGAATACAAGTGCTGTCGTATCCCTATCACTGAATACAAGTGCTGTTGTATCGCTATCACTGAATACGAGTGCTGTCGTATCCCTATCACTGAATACAAGTGCTGTCGTATCCCTATTACTGAATACAAGAGTTGTCGTATCCCTATCACTGAATACGAGTGTTGTCGTATCCCTATCACTGAATACGAGTGCTGTCGTATCCCTATCACTGAATACAAGTGCTGTTGTATCTCACCATTTGCCTTGTATCCCATGCCCAGGATGACCTCTGGTGCCCGGTAGTACCGTGTCACTACATATGGAGTCATCATGAACCCGGTGCCGGCTGTCCTTGCAAGACCAAAGTCCAATATCTTTAACGTACAATCTGATTTCACCACTATATTGCTGGGTTTTAGGTCCTGAAAAAGAAGGGAGTGTGAGATGAAGTATCAAAGTTTAAGTGTCCAGTATTTGTATTAAATGTCAGTGTATACGGCTCTGGTGTAAATGAGTGAACACTATCTACTGGGCTATTCTTAACCAAGGTCATAACCTGGACCTATTGGGAATCAAACCTGGTTCTGGTGTAGATGAGTGAACACACTGTCTATTTGGCTATTTTACTTAACCAAGATTATAACCTGGACCTATTGGGAATCAAACATGCACCTCATGTAGGTAAGTGAACACACTGTCTACTGGGCTATTCTGCTTAACCAAGGTTATAACTTGGATCTATTGGGAATCAAACCTGGCCCTGGTGTAGATGAGTGAACGCTTTGCCTACTGGGCTTTCCTGGTATTACCTGGACAGAGCTTACAGTGAACTCACCCTGTGTATAATCCCGGCGAGATGAAGATGTTTGATGCCACACAACATTTGATATAGAAGGTAAGACATGCGTTCATGGTCTAGGTCCATCTGTATCACCTGGCATAGATTGGCATCCATCAGCTCCATTACTAGATACCTGCAACATGAAGCAAGACATGACACCTTGCATGTAGGATACACCCTTGTACATAGGATACATCCTTGATACACCCTTGCACTTAGTATACACCCTTGCCTGTAGGATACACCCGTGTACATAGGATACCCCCTTATACTCCCTTGCACTTAGTACACACCCTTGATACACCCCTGCCTGTAGGATACACCCTTGTACATAGGATACCCCCTTGAACTTAGGATACACCCTTGCACATAGGATACACCCTTGCACTTAGGATACACCCTTGTACATAGGATACACCCTTGATACCCCCTTGTACATAGGATACACCCTTGCCTGTAGGATACACCCTTGATACACCCTAGCACTAAGGATACACCCTTGTACATAGGATATACCCTTGCACTTAGGATACTCCCTTGATACCCCCTTGATACACCCTTGCACGTAGGATACACCCTTGCTTGTAGGATATACCCTTGTACGTAGGATACACCCTTGCACTAGGATATACCCTTGAATGTAGGATACACCCTTGCTTGTAGGATATACCCTTGAATGTAAGATACACCCTTGCTTGTAGGATATACCCTTGCACGTAGGATACACCCTTGAACTAGGATATACCCTTGCACGTAGGATATACCCTTGCTTGTAGGATACACCCTTGAACTAGGATATACCCTTGCACGTAGGACACACCCTTGCCTGTAGGATACAGCCTTGTCCTCACCCCCTACTACGCCTATGACACTCTCACTGCACCCCACCTCCACCGGACTCCCAGATTTAGAAAAAACATACATGTTACCTCATACATTTTAATCAAACAAAAAGACTTGGTTAACAATAAAAAATAATTTATTGCCTAAACAATTGCAAATGACTGAAAACAGAGCTTTGGTGACATCAATGATATCAATATCCATACACTAATGGTAAAAGGTTTTAAATTGAAGTTCACTGGTGATATCTGATACTGAGATGAGGATATACTGTCAGTGGCAACCATGGCTGACAAGTGTGGTGGTAATTGAGTCTCTGTGTGTTGATTGTGAGTGGGAGTAGCCAGGGAGAGACACTCGGAGTGATCCGTACAGTCCCTCAGTCACTGTCTAGCTACAGGTGAGGGAGAGGGTGCGCGAGTCGGTAGGTGGGTGAGGGAGAGGGTGGGTGGGTGAGGGAGTGGGTGGGTGGGTGAGGGAGAGGGTGGATGAGGGAGAAGGTGGATGAGGGAGAGGGTGGGTGAGGGAGAAGGTGGGTGAGGAAGAGGGTGGGTGAGGGAGAAGGTGGGTGAGTGAGTGGGTGAGTGGATGGGTGGGTGAGGGTGAAGGAGAAGGTGGATGAGTGAGTGGGTGGGTGGGTGAGTGGATGGGTGAGGGTGAGGGAGAAGGTGGGTGAGTGAGTGGGTGGGTGGGTGGGTGAGTGGATGGGTGGGTGAGGGAGAGGGTGCGCGAGTCGGTAGGTGGGTGAGGGAGAGGGTGGGTGAGGGAGAGGGTGGGTGAGGGAGAGGGTGGGTGAGGGAGAGGGTGGATGAGGGAGAGGGTGGGTGAGGGAGAGGGTGGATGAGGGAGAGGGTGCGCGAGTCGGTAGGTGGGTGAGGGAGAGGGTGGGTGAGGGAGAGGGTGGGTGAGGGAGAGGGTGGGTGAGGGAGAGGGTGCATGAGGGAGAGGGTGCGCGAGTCGGTAGGTGGGTGAGGGAGAGGGTGGGTGAGGGAGAGGGTGGATGAGGGAGAGGGTGGGTGAGGGAGAGGGTGCATGAGTCGGTAGGTGGGTGAGGGAGAGGGTGGGTGAGGGAGAAGGTGGATGAGTAAGTGGGTGGGTGAGGGAGAGGGTGGATGAGGGAGATGGTGGGTGAGGGAGAAGGTGGGTGAGTGGGTAGGTGGGTGAGGAAGAGGGTGGGTTAAATGGGTAGGTGGGTGAGGGAGCGTTAAATGGGTAGGTGGGTGAGGGAGAGGGTGGGTTAAATGGGTAGGTGGGTGAGGGAGAGGGTGGGTTAAATGGGTAGGTGGGTGAGGGAGAGGGTGGGTTAAATGGGTAGGTGGGTGAGGGAGAGGGAAGTTGAGTCGGTAGGTGGGTGAAGGAGAGGGTGGGTAAGCGGGTGAGTAGGTGGATGAGGGAGATGATGGGTGAGGGAGAAGGTGGGTGAGTGGGTAGGTGGGTGAGGAAGAGGGTCACGCCACAAGGAACGCCAAACTCAGCAATATTCCAGCTATATGACGGAAACATGTAAACAATCGACAATCAGACAATCCAGTGATTGACATCATGAGCATTGATCTAGCAACTGGGATACAATGACGATGACATACATCAACCATGTCACTGACCTGACCACTAGATCCCCTTAGACACCAGGCATGGGTCAATGAAGACCAATTCTAATCTTCACAGAGGAAAGCAAATGTATGGGAATGGTACAGACAGTCAATGGGTAAGCTTCACTTCTGGAGCCTTTGTACTTATTGACACATCAGGGATAGGCTGGCCACATGGGGAAATCAAGCCGTGGTCCTTTATAAAGGATGAGGCAGGATAAAGGCCCTTTTGGGCCCACTTGAAATGTAATATTGGTATGAAAATCACCAGACTTGTTGCAGTGGATGATAACCAGCCCTTTTTCATTCTTACACTTGCAAAGTTGGTTTTTACTTCTGACATGTTCAAGTACACAAGAATGGTTAAAATGAGCCAAAATGGGTGAATATTACTGTGACCCAAGATGATTGTTTTACCATGTGTTTGTACTATCCACATCTCTTCAGAAAATCAGCGTGGGTAAAAGACTTGCTCATGTTCAACTACTAAAATAATTATTCCTGAACACCAATTAAAATAAGACATATTTTAGTCTTATCATAAGCAGCACTCTACTACCATGTGAATGAACTGCTAGTCTGTCTCTCAGACCCTAGAGAATAAATTAACAAAAATAATCCAACTCAAGTGAAGAATGATTGGGCAAGTCTATATTGCCTCAGCTCTGAAATTAATAAGCATTGCTCTGGGCTCCATATGGATATTATTTTTTATTTAGTTATATATTTTAAAAAAAGATAACTTTATTTCTGGGACGAAATGTTAGTCTAACCTTAGGGTACCCTTAAAATTAGCAAACTTGGTCAGAAAAGCAAGGCAGTAATGTTCTCTCTTGAAGTAAGGTGAACATTACAAGCAGAAGCCCAGACATGATGTGAAGGATTTATGGATGAGAGTATACAGAAGATTTATTGATATTTACAGATGAATTAGGAAATGTCTGAAAAGTTGATATTTCTGCCAAGATAAGCGCTCCAAATAAAGTAGTGGCTCAAGAATGACAATTTCATCAAGAAATGTGAGCACTCTGGTCCAGACAAGCCTAGAAGGCTGCCTGAACACAGATGAGTAGGTACCACCATTGCCGCTGCAGCGAACAACAGTTGCTGCACTCCTGTGTGTGCTGGTTGTAATCAAAGACCAATGATTAGGACACGCCCACACGATATTGATCTGTGATAGACCTCGCAAGACTTAGCATGGTGACCTACATCCCAAGCACTGCAGATGAGCACAGTGTAAGGGGATGTATCCAGCCTCCCCTTCTCTCAAGCAGACCTTCTGACTGGCTCACAGTGGCTCACAGTGGCTCACAAGGCTGTGTTCATAAGGCTGTGTTCATGACATTCACATCATTGATTCTGGAATACCCATGTCAGTGAAGACTGACTGGAGGCCTTCAAAAATTAAGAATTTTGGATTCCGACACTTTTGTAGTGTTTTTTAGTGTCAAAGTCAGTGAGTGAAATGTGTTTAACGCTACTGTCAATAGTATTTCAGTCATATCACATCACGTCGGCTGGGTGACGTTTATGACATTGGTGAAACCCACAAGCATGGGTATGGTCCTAACAAACCAGGAAACATAATCAGGGCAGGCAGGGATTCGAACCCGTAGGTTTGTGGAATTCTTAAGGTACGCAACTTGGCACAAGGATAAGTAGCACCGGACAATTGGGCCACCTGTGCCCCTGTCTAGTGTCTGAAGCCTGAATGATTGAGGAAGTTTCTTGCAACAACCATAGACACCATCTGATCAATTCTGGTGCTAAGAAAACATGACTAAAATTAGATAAAAGCATGACAATGCCATTCCAGAGCTAGACTAAGTCTCAAGTTCTTCCTTTTGGTCACCAAGGGTGGCACTACTGCAATGCTAGATGTTTGAAGACCTGAGTTCAGGGCCAGACAAGGCTAGGCTCTGTGAAGAAAACGCATGGTGGCACTGAATGATACTGCTGAAATAATGCTGACACAGCACAAAACACCACTCTTGCACTTTATCCCAGCCTTGGATATCAGCATTCTGAGACAGTTCACAGCTGTGCAGGATGTTGGCCCTCATTACACAAAGCTTCAAACATTCTGGTATTAAATCTACAATACATCTGAATCCTTAAATTTAAGTAGCATATGCCATAAGGTTTCTATGAAATGAACTCCATCCATATTAAAACTTGGCTGGGCTTACACTATGATCTGGGAACTTCTAGCATGAAAATCAATCCAAAAATAATATTATCAAAACCCATATGCCAAAATATTGAACAGAATTTGACTAGCAAAGACATATATTAGCCACTGGTGTTTTTTTTGAAAATTATTTCGATTGCACTAGAGTATTGCTTACCTAGTAATGATATAACAATACTTCTCATAAAACTTCAGAATTAGGAGAGTCAGGCTCTGTGACTTGGGTTGATAGTGTGTATCATACAGCGTGGATCTTTGCTGACAATATATATATCAGTGATTTGTCTTGTCAAGACTCAATTATTTACATGCCATCCAAAATCTGGACCATAGCATAAAACATCAAACACATGCATGTTAAAAGTTATAATATATATCTCAAGAAGTGTAAAAAAATGAGGCCAGCAGCTTCCATATTTAATCTACAATTCCTTCATTATATTAACATTTTATAACCCAGTCTCCAGTTTACAATCTTCAATCTCAGCCAAAACTCCAAAGTAC